CACATCGACTGTTGAAAGTATTTTGAAAAGTATATATCACTGTTTTGCTGGTTTAGTTTGGAATATCTAGGAAATCCTCACAAATGGGAAGCCATACAAAATTTATATAATTAATATATTTATTTAAAAAATTTATGTTTTTGTTATTTTTAACTTTAAGTTTAAAAAGCCATAGAAAAGGTTTCAAAATGTAAACCTTGGCTTCCAACTGGCAAAACCGGAAAAATTACAAATCACATCAAAAATTACATCTTACATCAAAAAATTCGCACATAATTGTGTATATAAGTAAATGTAATAACATAAGAATGCTCATTTTGTCGGACGTCTTAGTAAATTAATAACATAAGAACTATTTCCTTTTTCCCATTTACTAAACAACCACAGCTAATTCGCTAAAATCAACGTGCCACAATTATCCAAAAGTATGTAAACTTTCGTAACAGAGCTGTATCAATATATTTATGCCACCACTCCAAGGTTGATACAGAAATTGGGCACGTTTGCATGCTAATCGGGCATAGCTAACAAAATGTAAAGTAGAATTTGAAAAAGTCGAGCGGATTGGGCCCGCGGCGAGAGCCCATTAGCCTTGCCATAACAGAAGTGGCATCCAAAATTTGCGCTTGTCACCAAATGTCCTGAAGGCGCGCTTTGACATCGTTGTCGAATCGTTGACGGGCGCACTCCACGATGACAATAAAATGAAATCAGGCCAACAAAAGCGGCTAAAGAGAGAAAAAAAAGAGTTCATAGAAATCTGATATGTTTCTAACATTTTCCCAAACGGAGGCAAATGAAAAAAATGTGTTGGGTGTTCTATTTGAAAAATCGCTGAAGGATAACTAAAGCATTCCCTTAAGGGTATTCCAGCGAAAGTGATTTGTTTGCGAATTTACATATACAAGCCCGCTGCCATTATTATGGGCTCTCGGTACGCCAGCCAGCCACACAAATTTACACTCCCCAGCATGTGTTTTCCATCTGGTTGAGCTGCCGTCACAGCTCCGATACGTTGCGGCAATAATTTTGCATAAAGTATAAGTAAAATTATCCAAATTGAATCTCTGTAGAAAATTGAATCGACTGCCTTGATGCCAACCCTACTCATAGCTCTTCACTCCTCCACTCAACTTTTGTTGTTGTTTGCACACCTTCAGGCAGGCAGGCTCCATGGGGCATAAATAACATTGAATACCGGCTTCGATACGCTGTATCCTTAGCCACTAAGTGGCAAATTCAATTTCGCTTACACTTTACAGTTTAGAGCCAGAAAGTGACATTTATGATCCGTCATCTTGGGGTATTTTTGCACTGCAAACACACTCGTACATCAGGGTATCTATAACCAGCCATTGATGGTGGAAAAATCATTAACCCCAGACTCACACTCACACACACACACCTACACCCACAGTCACACGCACGTTCAGCACAGTAAATAATGTAATTTATGAATTACAACTAAAAATACAACAGCAGCCGTGGCTGTGTCTGTGGCTGTGACAGCAAAATCAGGGAGGACGACCACATGCGTCCCACACATAGCACACACAGTCTGAGGATAATGCGTCCCCTTGCCACCGCCTTTCCTCTTCCATCTGATTCGGACAATTGCTGGCCATTTTGTGCTTTAGTCATCATTTCTGCAGCTGGTGTAATAAAACTCCCCATTTGGTCATTTGGCAATTATCCCGTTAAATTAGCAGCCGGGCAGGACAATGATGGCACAGCAGCCACGAACTGAGCAAAATCGGAACGACTGTCCCCCGTCACCGCCGATATTTGATGATTCTTCTCCCATTTCAGCAGCATAAATTTTGAGCCCAAATGCAATCAATTTCACACAACTCACACAGAAATACAATAAATGAGCTTCGGCAGCGTGTGTCCATCTTTTGAAAAGGTACTCCTATAGGTATACTAATATTTTAATCTCTCTTTGTGAATTAATCGATCCGTAGAAATGAATATGGCGGTGCTGTTAATTAACTTCTTTAATGTCAAGCTTACGACATTTTGCTGAGCACAAGAAATAACTCTTTTCACATTTTAAGTAAGTGGAAATGAAATAATTATTGAATGTTTGAGATATGTATGTACGTAATTCAAAAAGTATTTTTGTGGTATTATAAACACATTATATTGACTGAAGTTGTAGCCTTGCTGAAAATAGGCATTATTTTAACTTAACACAATTTCGTGAAAGATGAAATGAAGTAGGAGCTGAAACAAGACAATAAAAGATGTGTAAAGCGACGTCCAATTAATTTAATTCAAGTGCGAATGTTTAAGTAAAGGCATTTCATGATTTTTAAACTATTTCCTAATAATGGCACAAACCATTTAGTTTGGAGAGCACAGAAAAGAGTAATTTGCTTTAATTTATTACAATTATTTTATGGACCCATTCGGATTGCGGCGTATCCCTTGAATTTTTTTGAAATTGAAATTTGAAATTGAAAATATGCTTAAAATATCCTGCTTATATCCAACCCAAACGAAAATGCTGATCAAACATATACTGTTACTTTTGTAACAGTGAGAAGACCTGTTACATTATTTACTTACCTAATACACTCCTGTACCACTTAGGTGCATACTATAATTCAAATAGAATAATATTTATAAATAGCTAAGTTTTTTAAGAGTTTGCAACTAATAAGAAAAACAAATTGGAGGTGCTGCTAAACTGACTGAAAAAGGGGAAAATTACGTCTTAGATTTGAATTTCCCAACGAACGAGCATCGACTTTTGGGCTTACAAATTCAACTTGGTCAAGAATTTAAGCGCCGGACAAAACGTATAAAAGCACTTAGAAAAGCACGTTCACACACACCTATTCACACACTGGGTGTATTGCAAAAAAAATGCAAAATAAACGAACTGCTTTTAAAACGCAGTCGAAAGCCCCAAAATCAATCAATCAACAAACGAATAAAGCGCGTATACGCAATGTTGTCCATGCTACGCCAAAGTAACAAATGAACACACAACCAACAACATGCGCAGGTCCTTGTACACACACACGCATACACACACCCTTTCAAACACAGAGGAAAGCGGAACACACACCGGCTGTGCGTTGTTTTGCACTGCTTTCAAAAATACCACAAAATCTATTTCGATTCGCAATCAAAATCCGAAATTCCATTTGTACTATGACGGCCGGGCCAGTAGGCCGTTTTTGTCAAAGCGGCAATTCACCTACACGCCCCCTTCCATCCCTCCACTCCAACCCATCCTGCCACACACTCCCACACCCCCCAAGCGATGGAAACTCAACTCGCAGGCAGCTTGTGCTTGAGTGCTTTCGTTTGTATTTAGTGGTGGACTTAAAAATACAGAGGCGCCCCACACACACACACACACACACAATCGTCTCCACATCCGCTCAATACATGGCAGAGGCGCGTAAACAAAAGCACTGAAAAGCGTTGGAAATTTTTGGTGCAGAATGATGGGTAGTTGCAGAGGGGGGTGGGGGAGATGGGTTTGGAGAGCGCCATTCACATTCGTTTCGAATGTTTTCCAATTTCGTTGCACTGCGTTGCATGCAACCAAAACGGCGAAAAACGCGTGCGAAAGCAACAAAGAAAAATAGTTGCTCGGCGCTCACGGAATTTAGTCATTGTTCGCGAAATTGCTTAAATACAGCATCACCGACCACCCCCAACCACCAACCATCATACTCGGCCCAGCATCCGAAACTAACCGCACTCAACTGACCTGCCATGTCGACTCTCTAGTTTGGGCCAAATGTGTGTTGGCGACGGCTTTGGGAGCCGCCAAAGCTCCACAACCGCAGTACACCCCCTTTTTCATTGACGTAATGGGAAGTGATTAAAATCGTGCATTGCCGACTCCTACATACCCTACAATCAGTATTCAAACACATTTCTGTAGCAAAGAATGTGCAAAAGTTGTCAGTTCAGACAAATTCGGTTCATCTCTGTTCGGGTAACAAATGCCCAACATTTTGCAATTAATTGTAAGTATTATTTTGTATTTTTTTAATTAAATATTGCATTTTTTTGATTTAATAACAATTACTTGTTGTATCTCCTCATAAAACTTAATCTAATTAATCTAACAACATCAGTTCCTTGCGAACCTAATAAATAACTTTTGTATACATTTCAAAAGTTTGCGAGAACTGCTAGAATAGACTTTCCTGAATTGGTACAAACACTTCGAAGAATCTAACATATTCGTTTAACCTTTGGCTACAGGGTATTAAAATATTATTGCACTCTGACAATCCCCCAACCAAGTGCCAGCCAATTGGTTGCCTTTGTGCAGAAACACCTATTAACTCGTGGAATCGGCGCGACTGCTGTTATTCGCAGTAAATTGCGCTCATTACCACAAAAGTAGCAAATTTTAATGTTTAGATTATTGCGGGAAAACCTCCTCCTGGTCCTTTTTGGTGCAGTGCATAATTATAATACTAAAAATAATGTATCCGGGAAATAGGCTCCAGCGTTTGTATGGAAAATCGGAAATTTTCAACCGATTAACCTCAAACTCTCAGAAGAAATACAAAATAAACTATATTCTTGGTGTTTCGAAATGTTAAGGTTTCCGCGTCTGTCTCTCCGTATGAACGCAAGGGTATCAGCAAGTATAAGAGTTAGAATAACCAAACTTGGTATCCAGATTCTCATAAGCCTGAGAAAGTACGAGATTGGGCTTTTTTTTGTTGCACTCCCCCGCTGTTAGTGATTTTCCATAACATCCAAAACTCTTGGTATTTTCAATTATGAAAATTACCTTTTGTGCTTATGTGTTCTCGATACCCTAACTGCTCTTAATGTAAGTTCATGACTTTTCATCGGACCAGGCCACATTAAGTCGCTTATACGATTGACAATGCATTACAACATACAAGTATATTTATGAAATAAATAGTCATAGTCTCGTGGCAGTCTGCCACGCCTCGTTCTGGAGTTGCAAGCACAATTAACCCTTTGCAAAGGTATAATAAATCAAATGAAAGTTCAAGGGAATTTGAAAATGCTTACTTTAATAACAAAACTTTTGTAGAATGTTAACTTGAGGCAACAACAGCCGTTTGGCTAGTTTCTTCCGTATTTGGTTCTGGGACTGACGCAGGTTGCAGCAGCACATCAACTTTGGTGGGCAGGAGATGCTTCAAAGGCTGCAGTATAATGGAATGCTGCAGATAAATAATCTGTTGCTGCTCCAGCTGAAGCAAGCTTATACCCAGCTGTACGGTAAGCGACTGAGGGGGAAAGATTGCTTGTATGCAGCGTTGAATGTATGGTACCAGATCGTAGGCGAAGCACGAACAAAGCTTTACGAACGTTTCCCTCTCATTGTTAGAGAAGGCTTGTTGCTCTTGGCGGTAAAAGACTAGCACAAGTTCAGCGACCAACTGCAAGGACTCCTGTAGGCAATGCGTTACATCAGTAGCCAGAGCAAGGGGAGCGCAAAGTCGCAGATCGTTAAGTGCATTTAAATAACCATTGCAGAGAATGGCTAGTGGATAAAAGTCCAACAGAGTCTCTGGCGGCGAATATGATTCCTGCTCAGAACTCGTTATAGATGCAGGATCTAACTGCTTGCGTGTATGCAACGTTACTTTGTTGATGAGCGTAAACTTCTCCAATTCCAGCTGAAAATTCTGGTTCACCTGGTCTATGCTCTTTTCGAATTTGTTACGTATGGCACGCACAAATATGGGTGCCATAAGACCGCGGAAATCCGCGCCGACGCGGCTAAATGACAGACCAAAGTACATACACTGCCCCAGGACAGTTTCTAACGAGCTGACGCCGCGCTCCAGATCTAACTCGAGTGTCTTTAGAAAATCATCGATCTGTGCGGAAAGAAACTGTGATCAGTAAAAACTGAGATGTTCAATGGAACGGCCGTACTTTGTTGTGCAACCAGGACTGGAAAAGGCGGTCCCCATTACAGGTCACGTCCTGTAACGGATTTAAAGCGACTGCTTTGCTGCTGTCATCCTCTTCCGGGAACAGTGCTCGGTACTGTGTGATTATATTAAATAGATTGATACGTGTCGTCTCAATTGTTTTCGTCAGGTGCTGCTGAGCTGGAAAATAAACATTATTATTCTGGCTGTAACCACCCTGTAGGCTTACCATCAACTGCAGATATTGCCTTTAGGCATCTGGTAAGCCAAGCATTACGAGCTTGCAGAAATTTCAGCTTAAGCTCGTTGTCACCAAAGGCTTGCATTCGACGCAGGTAGCCGACAAGTTGCAAGCATTTAGGAAGTTGCAAGTCTGTGCGCACCAGTTGGGCAACCAATTGTACCAGCATAGTGTGCCACAGAGCCTCCACAGCTCGCACAATGTTCTGCGAGTAGAAAAAGTATACTATTTCAGAGGTTGTGGGGTCCGGCAAAATAGCCTACAGGCACATACATGCACCACCGGTATGTGTCCTTGATGATGGCCCAATTTTTGCACATAGCTGGCCAGTTCGAGGGCTTCTTCGTAGCGAGCCTCGCGAATACAGCGTTCCATTAGCTGCGGCAGTTCTAGGATTTCCAGAAGCTGTGCGTTTTTCTGCAGCGTAATGGAGTTGAAGCGCCGATCCTCGTTCAATTCACCCGAGTCCTTTATAAACTTATCGCATTTGCCGCTGAACGTGGGCAGTTTTTCTATTAGCGTTTCCACCTGTTCCTCGGCTTTCTGAAACTCCTGGAAAATTGACCGTGAATTCTCCGCTGTTGCGATAAACGTTTTGTAATTGGATATGGCCAAATCCTGTGTTTTCTCCAAAATACTTCTTGCCTCATCTGAGAGCCGGGCCTGCTCCTTCTTCAACTGATCTACCTTATAGGTTCCCAGCGTATTTAAATAATTGTAGACCTCTGGGTTGCCACGCAGATTGTCTTTGTCTGTCGCAATAGAAAAAGGTGTTTAAATCCATGGCAGGACACGATTCATCGTAAAACGTTTATTTACCTGCTACCCCATCTGGAAATATGAGTTTCAGCACTCTTTCGTATTCCAAGTCCATTTTCTAATCTAATTTCGAGAGCACTTAATATCCCTTAAAAATTGTTGCTGTTGGACAGTAGTTCGTAGCGATGGTAGAGTTTTATCGATGTCCAACATTCAGTATCTACATGGCTGCCAATCTGTTAATCGATAAGTTTGTGCTTGAGCACGAGTTCAAAAATTTGCCGAAAATAATGCAATTTATATGTAATTGCTCAGCATTTTTGGTAATTTGAAGATTAATAATACTAAAATGCTACACAATGGGAAAGATCAACGCAATTATAACACAATATGGTCATATAACACGTGAAGAGCATATTTAATCCACAACCCGTATAAATTTAAATGATTAGATTTGAAATCAGTAACACTATCAAGAAACCACAATAGGGCTGATAATAAATTTCAATCTTCGCATCAACGATAACAGAATTATTGGGAACATTGTGTGTAGAAACAAAATCAAATAAATACAAATAATAAAAATTATATAGAAAATTCAAGTTGTATTTATTAAAACTGTATAATATAACATATAATTAAATTATTTTTGATGCAAAATGTGTTGGTTCGAGTTCTTAACCACCAAATAAATTTCTTAGGCGACATTTCAATTCGAAAATATAACCGGTTGTTAAGAAAACGATCTCCATTTCCATTATGAAAAATTAAAAAATGTGTATTTGCCTTAAAAAGAGTACAACGTTAAAATTGTAAAAATCATTGAAAATAATTGTAGGAGCTCTACTGTACCAGTAATGGACACACAAATCCAAACATAACTCCTGCAAAAATACCCGTGATTAGCATAGCGGAGGCAAACATTCCGGCTGTGACTTGATATTTGGGATTAACATTCTTGGGGGCATACATCATGCCAAGTGAACTTAAATATCCCGAAGTAAAGGACATTGAAATGCCAATAATCCAATAAATCCAATCACTAGTTATATAAACTGGCAAGGTCCTTATTACGGCCTTTGGAAGATAGTTGCAGAAAAGAAACAAAGGGATGAAAGCAATGCGTAGTACAACAGGCACTACCAAATATTTCGGTTTGGGCCACTGGACCCACGAGGTTGTCAAACTTCCCAGCATAGCAAAGAGGTTGAAAGTCAAGAAGCAAGTAATTAGGGTAAAATACTCATCTGATATAGGAAATTCTGCCGTCGATCTTTTGATATCTGAATGGACTGCGGGGAACACCGATAAAGTGACAAAGAATATTAAAAATATGTTCAAGAGTTGAGGGAATGCCTCTTTAATTATCTGCCAATATGGCGGTTTGACATTACTGCTGGATTCTTTCTTGCTTTCGTCATTTTGACTTAACATTTCGTAGTGTCTGAAGAATTTATTTAGGGGTAATGCAAAGTATGTGTCGAAGCAAACCAGTAATATTAACATAGCGGTCAAAAAATAGTATATAGCAGCGGTTCGTTTAGAATCAAACAAATATCTGCTGGCTATGGAAATAACGGTCGCAAACAACCCACTGATGTTCGAACCTAACACTACAGCTCCTGTATATTTGACCGGCAAACTGGCCGCCATTCCGTAAATAGTATTCTGATATATTCCATTAGCCATATTTAAAATTACAACGCAGATCATAGTTATCCAAAAAAATATACCTGGCCACTCGCTTGAATCCAACATCGCGAGCACAATTGTGATCACAAATATGACTATTTCGATTAGAATGCTGTAGACGATGCGTTTTGTCAGATCTCCACCAAGATTTACGAAAATGTTAAACCAGTTCAAAAGCAAGTTTGGAATTTGGGATGCAAAGCCAATGTATTGCAAGAAATTTCCAGCATATGACGATCCGGCCGATGCTGTCGTTGTGTTTGAGTCTAATTTAAACTCCACGAAGTAATCCTTGGCTGTTATAAACATGTTCCACGGCATTAGGGTTCCCAATCCATGGAGGAGAAATATAAAGAACACCATCTTATATTTATCTTTTGGTGGTTTCAAAGATGCAAAGAAATTGGACACCCTGCTACCCTTATTATGAAGCTCCTGGGTCAATCGGGACTCCCATGATGGGTTAAGTTTTACCGGTATTTGGTTGGATATAAAAGGTGCTTTTTCCAATTTCGGATCACTCATTTCGAATTGTGATCTCACAGCGCTGCACAGATTTCAAGATCCTCGCCTATAGTCTCAGCAGGTGTTCCTTCGTTTCCAATTAACCCCTTTTCCAACACTCCTGTCGGCGCTATGTTTTCTATAGATTAACCTGAGAAAAACAGTGAAATTATTCAGAGAGACAATTGATATGCGAGCTGGAAGTCTCAGTAAGAAACGTACTAAAATTGCCACATTTGTTAAGGTATTTAATTACTTAACAATTACGGTTCGTCGAACAATCCGCATGTGCGGGTGCACGCCAAATGGACGAAAATATTTACCGTGAGCGTACTGCAAGCTGGAATCAGTTAGGCTTAGTTATATGAGGATGTGACATAACTTTTAACTTGTAAGGTTAATGTTCTTGGTCCATGTGCCGTGTGTAACAGGATATATTTAACAACGCCCAAGAAAATCCACAAAATGCAAACCCCGGCTGAATACTCGATGGGTAAATAAATCAGCACTGAACAGCAATATCGATATATCGATTTATTTATTCGATATACAGCAGTCTTAAACCAAGGACGCATAACAGAAAATGTTATCAAAAATACGGGCACAGAGACTGTTTTCGTAAATATGTCAACAATACTCACGAAAATCACGAGCTAGAAATTCAGCTTTCTTCGTCAACGCTGAAACCTATGTCTAAAGAATAGGTAGGGAACTATGTATATATGTAAGTCAGACTTAAATGTTCTCATTTGGTTCCCATATCATTATAATTAAATCATATTGTTTCAATGACAACTATATTCGCCTAAAATGGTCAGCTTCGTCAGTATGTACATACACATACATATGTACGTTTTCTGTGTCCGCTAAAAGTGCCGACGAAAAGCTTTATCACAAACACAACACACAGTATCAGTATCTTTGTTTAGGAGTCTTCATCTTTTTTAATTATAGTTTAATTTTAGTAATATTTTTACACTAATACAAACTGTTATACAATCATACATATATTTTTATATTAAATTGGACTTTTATATTGAGTTGATAAATTGTTGATGATAGTCTAGCCTATTCCCGTTTTCAATTTCAAACAAATCTGTCAAATGCACTTTGTTTTGGTAAAAGTTGATTGCAAACATTGTCACTCAATCATTCTAAAAGATTTCTACAACTTGCTAATAGTCCGAAAAGAGGAAGCGCTCTACATACAAGTATGTATATACGTACTATATACGTTCTATAATCTTTTCTGTCTATCAGTATGCAGTGGCTCCTCACCACCCTTAGAGTTCGCTGTAGCAACTTCGCAACTGGCCGCATCAACATTATTACCAATTGAATCAAAACAAAAACCCAAAATAAAAAAAAACAACAACAACAAGAGCCGTCCACTACTGACCTACTAAGCGGGCGCGGTTCGGTTCGGTAAAACGCGAAGGGGAGCCGATAGGAGAGGAGTGGACTGGAGCGGCGTGTCGTTGTCGCTGTTGTTGGTTTTTGGTTTTGCATTTGTTGTTGGTCTCCAACGGCAGCTTGTCGTGGTTTTGTTGTGGCGTTGCGTGTGGCGCTTTTTTGTATTTGTGGTTTGTTTTCTTGTTGCCGTCTTAGCCGCTTCTTTTCGCTCATGCTTTTTATTGCCAGGCTCAGTCGTTTTCAATGTTTGTATTTTCGCTGAGCATCGCGGCTCAAATCCGAGCTCTTGGATCGCAGTTGCAATCGTGAGTGCAAAGCGTGTGTACGTGATTTTCGGCTTCGGTTTCATGCGTGGAGAAACCGAACAAACGGCAAAACGGAGGAAAAGCTCGCCGCAGTGTCGCGTCACGTCGTGGTCGGGAAAATTAACAACAACAGCAACAACGCCAGGCGAAACCAATCGAACCACGCGAGCCTCAATCAAGTGAGACATACATACAAACGCACATATGGAAATATAAAAAATTTCAGTATTGTTGCAAGTCATGTGAGGGAACGGCTCAGTTCGGCGCTCGGCTGCAAGTGCTGCAGTTTTAGCGGGAAATACGGTTGATCCTTACAGGCCATAAACAAATAAAGGGCAACATCTAAAGACGATTTGACTAAAGTAAGAACATATATGCATATACTGTGCTTGTGTAAGTGGGAACTTATCACAAAAGTGTATAATTATGGAATTGCAAATCATCAAAATAATCACAGTAAGTATTCAAACCCTATGGGAATGTATTAAATACATATGCATGCATATCAATTTTGCGGGGAAAAAACCTTAACCAATCTGCATTGAAACTAGAGTCGTTCTAGCTATGGTAATCCATTTTCTGTGTAATGTACTATATATATTTTTACATATAGGTAATGGTTAAAGTTATTCCGGTTCTAAAGCTTAAAATTTAATAAACACATAAGGAAATGTTCTCTGTGTTTTCAGATAGGTCCATTTTTGATTTATTCCCGTGTCAATTGTGTATGCGAATTATTAAGACTTATGTGGTATAAAATGGTGTATATCATGGGTGCATCATTAAATAGAAATATGTAATTACATTTAAATTGAAATTATAGAGAAAATAGTTTTTAACGGGTTTTAGGTAAATTTTAAGGAAAGTTTTACCCATGGATGTAATCTCTGCCCCATTTTGTATTTTTGTATAACCCAAGTTATTTTCGTTTATGCTCTGTGGATACTTGTATATATACTATATATGACAGGGAGAGTGTCACCAAAGAGATGGAATGATGCAATTAGTTTTTATTTTCAGACTTACTAAATGACTAATATCTACATATATAATCCAATACCTATCCACGTTATCATAAATGCTCAAAAAAATACATACAAATGTGTGTATTATTTGTTATTACCTTTGCTGTTGTTGTAGGGCCAAACTTCAATGTGAAAGAGACGAATTAAATTTTAAAGAAGGCATACAAAAAGTTTCACTTTCTTCGAGCGCCGAGTCGCGACCGTATGGGTGTCTCTTTCGAAATGTAAATAACAAAGCGAATAGCGTGCCCAAAAATACGAACGAAGATTGTACGAAGGGGAGGGTGAAGGAGAGAAATAGATATTGCAACAAATATATAATTTGGCGCGCAAAACCAAAACGAGTGAAAAGCTTCGCTTTCCGGCATGAATATTCATTAGTTTTTTATCTTGTCTTCAAATATTGCAGTGCATGCATTGCGAGTTCGTCGCCTAAGTCTTTTGTTTTTCTCTCTGCATCTGCAAATTTCACCAAAAGTGCTGAGATCTGCTGACGCGTCGGTCTATTGGCAATAATTAGCTTGCCAGCTGTGGTGGCACTGCCAATACCATGCCAGTGGCTATAAAGTGGCCCAATCCGAATTTGGTTATATGTAACATCAACTTTGTTTCAAGTGCCAATTGAATTTATAAATAATTCATACCGAGCATCGTCGCCGAGTGGCGTTGCGTTAAGTGGAAAAAGGCAGGCAGGAGAGGCAATAAAAAGAAAGAAAATTGAGGCAATTGCCAGACAGACAGTCTCACTCACTAGTGCAACATTGTATTTAGGAAATGAAGACAGCATCTTGTCGCCGCCGTCTTTCTGTTTCTGAACTGACGCCAAGAACGCACCAAAACTGAACAGATGGGCAGCCATATAGCTATACTATGTATATAGCAGGCTGCTGCTGATTCTCATGCGTTTTTCGTAGAAAGTCGAAGTCGTAGACGCAGTCGCAATCGCAGTCGCACTTGAAGTAGAAGTAGAAGCCGCTGTGTCCAGTTTTCAATGGCGATTCGCCAATTAAGTGGGGACAGGGAACGCTGCACAGTGGGCCAGAAAATACCATATTGGCACCAAACCGGAATACGCTTTAAGTTTAAAAAATTAAAGTTATGTAGAATACATAAGTAGTAAGTAGATAAGGTTATATTTTTAAATTCATATTTTTCGGCGAACTCTAACCAAAAGATCACTGCTTAGAAATATTCTATATATTCTTGTATAAAAATATTTATGGCGCAACAATTTGGTTTGCTGGCCCATCAACTGTGTACATTAAAGTGTTGCAACTCATTTAAGAGCGTCTGCCAGCTGTCGTTATTATTGCTGTTGTTGAGTGACAAATGTCTTCCTCGATGCGAATTGGCTTAAAACCCCTTTCATTGGCTGGCAAACTCTCACGACTGATTGGACATAATGGTTAATTTCAGCGACTTCAGCTACTCGTACCACTGACAAGTTAGCCAACAAACGGACAAGAAGGTGACAAAGCCGCCGACGATGACGATGATGACTGCTGCTCTAATTTTCCATCCCGCTTTTTCCATCCTTCACAGAAATATATGATAATAAAACGTTTGATTAGCCCCTGCGGCCCTGCATGAAATACGATTTAATTGTCATTGTCTGCATATACACATATTTCTGGTAGTGCGAGTGTGGAACCGCAGACCAACCACTCTGACGGTGGTGTTCGTTAAACAAAGCGAAAGTAAATGTGCTTTCCATTTCGGGCGCTTCTTTGCGGTTTACACTTTTTGACCTGATTAACAAACTTTTCGGCCCGAAAGCCCGCCGTTGTAGATGTATCGAAATCGACTATATACTTGACGTTTGCGATAAAACAGATTGGTCCTATTTCGATGATAACCAATTTTTCAAAGAAATCATTTCATTTATATTAAATCTTAAATGTATAGTATGTTTCTAATTAAAAAACTATACTCGTAAAAAGATTTATTATATCTGTAAGACATCAAACGGCTAGAGATGCACTGAGATAGAGTAGGCCATGGCTTAGATATACAAGTATTTCTATTACCCAAGTACACTACTTTTCTCAATATGTACTCTTTATGTTAATTATTTCATGTTTTTCTAAGTCCTTGTTGGTCTCAGTAAAGCTTTTGAACCTGCTAATGATATGATAAAGTGATATTTATACAGTTATCGGTTCTTATGACATTGTGAATTATAAACACTAATCTGCACCATCAAAAGCTGTTAGAACATTTCGTCTTTCCACACTCGTCTACACACCCCTCTAATTTCAGCCTAATTCAACGCATTTGGTCTTAGCTAAGGTCAACATTGTTCGCTGTTAGTTTTTGTGTGAATTAACCGTAATTTTTCCAAACCTGCAGCTTAGTATCATCATCTCAGCGACTATCGAAACCATTACCTAACCACAGCCGTAACAAAACAGGTTGGGCTCATTTCAACAAACCAACTACCACATCGACAAAAGAAACACGCATTACAACTAAACGTTTAACACTTTCTTTTCAACGACTAAAGTTTTAAAGCAAAACTGAAGAAACGCTTACTGCAAAGGTGAATCATATATATGTATATATGCATGTACAAGTATAGCCATGTATATCTCTATATATGTGTATTTAAAGTATGTGTGCATCGATAAAGGCATTGAGACCATAAATTGTGCAACACGCGCCCCAACCAAACCCAATGAACACTCCTCGTGCCGAAATGGAAAGTCTGTAGGGCCGGCCCGTCACTGCAAGAAACTTTTCTCTTTCCACACACACTTTGCTTGTCATCGTCGCACCGAATAGTGGGCTGAAAGCAATTTCCAGCATTAAATCACATTTTCAGTACAAATAATTTCAGCTTAAAACTAAATGTACACGACACGTCGAGTGAGATAACTTTAATAATTTATATCAAATCTTGTTTGTCTGTTTGTCTCTAATGGACTCCTAAGCCACCTATCACATAGGGATATCACTCCGTTCACCAAAATAACATCTAACTGTAGCGCATGAGTAAAGAAAGACATTGCACATATTTTCTGCAAATACGCTGGATACTCTCATTAGTCCACTGTTCTCATGCGTGCATTTTGCGATAAACTATTAACCACTGTATTTTGTTGGATTTTCCCAGCGCAATTGACTTTTACTTGGGCTGCTGTGGTAACCCATTTCGCTTTTGATTACCCGAGCCATTTCACTCCACCGATTCACCGGTCCATCATTCGTTCGCTGTCTAATGCCGGCAGCCGCATTTTCCTGGTCTCCCCGCGGCGTTTGTTGCCGTTTTCTCGTTGCAGTTGCATGCAAATGCCAGCAACGATCGGCAGCACATCCATCATCTTTCTGACTTGTGATTGTAAAGTGCCACGAGTTGTACGTGAAAGTAAAATTGAAGCCACTCGATAAACAGCAACTGGCCGGTCCACTTTTTGTCTTAGCTCGTTCATTTGTATAGTTAAGAAACCCATCTCTGTGCAAGTCCTATCGTTTATCAACAAGCAAGACTATTCGAAAGTATTATTTTATAGATTTTGTGGGATTCAGTCTTCTGACGTTTCTGCAAAATGTGTCAAGTTTCCTGTACCAGCTGAAATTTCTTCAAGCTAGTCCTTATCCAATTCACTCATGGCCATTCTGTTTATTTTCTTATTGTTGAATTACCCATTCACCCATTTTTAAAGACAGCATAGGAACTGATTTCCTATTTTTGTACTGATTATAATGATTGGTATCTGATTGGGTCAATATGTATATTTATCACAATTCTGTCTTTTTTGCAGGCCAAAGCTCTTTTGTTACTCTTGATCACTGCAACGGCATGGTCTGTGTCCACTGCCAGTTTTGGCTTCGATTCGGCCAACTCTTGCAGTCCGAATGGGAAATTGTTACGTCGTGGACGCTCCCAGATGCTCGCAGCTATACCTTGCGACCTATCGAAACAAGAATATTGCCATTTGCCCGGATCCGCTTATCCTTGGCATGCGGTGCGTCGATTTGTTCACGAGAATCAAGGCTTAATAAAACGAATGTATGGCGACGTCCGCCATATATCAATACTGCGCGACGAGATCCAAAATAATGAGGTCGACGTGGATGACATACAGGAAGCAGCTGAACGCTACCTAAAGGATAGCAAGCGTGCAGGCAAGTTGATGATGCGCGGACGGGAAGACTTTGGCAGCTACAAGGCCGGCAATGATGTAATCATGGAACCCCACTTTCGCCCGGTAACAACGATATCGACGCCGCCAACAACCACGAAGCAGAAACCCACAATTACGACAACGCCCAGCCCTGTGACAACACCAGCATCAGCTCTTGCTGCAGTAGAACTGGATCGTCCCAATGTGGAGTCAAACAGCGTTTATGAGCAACAGCCCGCCTCAGATTCGCCCACATCCGGCGACAATATACAAATCATCGCTTCTCCTAAACTCGGTCTACACAATATCAGCAGCAATGGATCGGAAAATCGACCTTCAAATACCAGCGATCCTACGCCCAATGACAAGCCAACAGTATCTACGGAAACAACTCCTTCTGTGGCATCCACACCAGAGAAACTCAACAGGATATCTGAAGCACAGGCTGCTAATATCACAACCACAACCCCCCCTGCGCACATACGGATTCTCCCTACAGGCGCAAACGCCACTAATACCGCCACCACAGTTAGCACACCTATTACGTTCGCAACTCTGCTCTCCGGCAGCTCTACGGCTGTGCGAAAACCCGTCTCCAGCACAGCGTTGCCTGCTGGTAGTGCTAGCTCTGCAAGACCCGTGCTACGCGAGGGCCAACTCTTCCAGGATGCAATGAAAAAGGAGCCTGTGGTGGTCAACAGCAGTATGCGAGGAGTGTAAGTGAAAGCATTTCTTCACACTACCATCGGTTGTTTTGAGAAAACAGTTCGAACAACCCCTGGTAGGGCGTACAAATCTAATCACAGGCTCCTCTATACTTTCCAAGCACTAATGATGTTCCTTCATATGCAACTTTTTCTTTCTTTTTCAGCAATGCCTGTCCCGTAAAAGACGAGGTGGTGGCACCCTTCTGGGCCAATAATACTCGTGGCGAGATGCTGGCGCTTCTCAATCTGTATCCCTTCGAGCAGTATGTCCATTGGGAGAAGTGCACGCACGAGTTCAAACAGATGTTCTGCGCCTCAGGCTGCCGCTGCGAGCAACAATATCGACTTCATCGCCTGCTCGCCTATGATCCGCACAATGAGTGTCGCGGCATCTTCTCCGACTGGTTCCGCTTCCCCTCCAGCTGCATTTGCAAGTGCTATAATATTCCTCACGAATTTCGGGTCACTTCGCGCAGCCCCCGATCCGAGAGTAGCGTCGAGAAGCAACCTATCACATCTCATCCATCGCCCCATCCCATAGATGTCGCCGAGGCAGAGGTCCAACGCGCCATTTACGAACACGCCACCGAGCAATGGTATCGACCCCGAGACGATGTAGAACCTTTTGAGGGTTAGCTTCAAAATGTTTGTTCTTAGAGATCGTACATTGTTTGTGGGCCAAAACATCCGGACTTGTAAGCTAGCAAATAGATATTTACGAATGCAAACGAACACAAGAGCGGCAACAATAGTTCTCGAAACAATCTTACTAACTGAAGAAAAACATTGGAAGCAGAAAGAAACCAACTTTCTAATATCAAAGTTTTTAAAAAATATTGAAATCGATGAGTAGCATTCAATTATTTTTTACAATTCCTATATTTAACATCCAAGACAAGGGGATCGATTTCACAATGTTAACAAAGCCGTCTTTTTGTTTCAGTCACTTTGAAAACTTGTGCTTAGATTTTGCAACGAGGCTTTATACTATATTGTTTTACCAAGACAGGTCAAATATACCATTCCTGGTAATACCTAAGAGATGTGAACAAAATTACCTTGAATGTCATTAGTTGTGGAATCCAATTTAGTTCATGCAGAACTTGGGATGGCTAAGCATTAACACAATTTCAACTTCGAGCAACATTTCTGTTAAATAATAGCATTTATAGTAAATGAAAAGTTAGGGTTAAATATTTCGTCCTGCGATAAATATATAAGTTTAAGACGTTTCTCAAAGTGAGATGCATCATGTCCTTTAAATCCATAAGGTTCGTGTACTTAACTGCGTCATTATGTTATTGTAAATATAGAGCGCAACATAATGTTTTCTCGAATCAACTTGACAGAGCACATGTACCTTGAAATACTTGTAAGGCAATGGAACTGGACAGCCAGGTAAACTACGTTTATGAGTATACATACACTATAAGATATAACATAGAGGCCATAACATTGTAAATAAAAAAACCAAATTTTGTTTTCGAAAAACCCGATTTATTGCAAAAATACACGCGACCGTTTTATATGTTCTATGTATTACATATGTTTGAATGTATATAAATGACGTATGTATGTATGTATGTATTTATGATATTCTCTCATCTGTATAAAGCAGATTTATTGTATTTAATACCTTGATATTAAAATATGTTAAATGTTATGCAATTTTAGAAATATATATATATTTTTATAAATATACTTTCTGCGTGAACTTACTGCAGCAGTTTATTCTTTAGAAGACACGACAATTTGCAGTTTTCACAAAAATACAATTTAAGGCTAGTGATAGCATTGATTAAATAACTCTTAATTCCAATTTTTGACGAATAAAGGCAATTAACACTCAATTAAATCTCAAACGATGTAACTCCCTCTCCTACATACACACGTAAGTATGTTTCGCTACATATTTGTAAATATGTACATATATAGGTAATTGAAGGCACATGGTGAGTAAAGCTCGTGGTTTTTAATGTGAAGCTTAAAAGGTGTTGTATATAAAAAGTTATCAAAAAAATGTTTCAATACTTTTAAACCAAATAAGGTGCATAAGCTAAGCATTTTACAATTTTGGGTCTAATCTGTTTCCGCGCTTCAAAACACACACAGCTTAGTCTAATTTGGTTAATGAAATTAATAGAAGCGAATAGAAAACAAAATCTAGACACACCGTCCGGGCCAGCTAGCAATAAATACTTTAAGACGAAACTGATAAATAACATTGAAAGATTGGCCTCCAAGTACCAAACGCAAAGGAGTTTATCTACTATATTTTATTGCTCAGGGATTAGTCCATCATCTATGCATTCGATGTTGGTACCCAAAGCAACTTGTCCTGCTCCTTATCGACAGCATCCTTGATCTGCGTGCACATATGCTTGATACTAACGCCGGGTATGACAGCTGAAGTTTGTTCGAAACAGCTAAGTTTATAGCTTTTGACTGTAATATCGTTCAATCCTACTCACCCGAAATATACTGCTTGTAGTCGAACTCTAGCTTCAGCGCTCTTTCATACATCTCCTTGGCGGCCTTGGGGGATATTTTGTCAATTCCGAAATCACGTATGTCCCGTATTTGCTTTGCCGACTTAAAGCGCAAGAGCAGCACAATTGGATAGATTTGCAAACGCTGCAGTCGTTCCACGGCTGAAATGGACACATCCAGTAAACAGTGGCGCCGATCCTGTTAATAAAAAAATATATATAAAAAAGGCAGTTGAAAAGATTTTGGCTTATGCTTACATTCTTGCAGGCATTGCTGATAGCCTCCACGGTAGTGCACTCGAATTTGTTGCCTCGCCGTCGATAGTCAACGAAAATGTTCTCTTTGAGCCCCTCCTCCATGGCCTCCTGCGAACAATCCATGGCCGTTACCTCGCACAGTTTAAAAAGATTGGAGAAGTCGATTTTCAAGCGATCCATTACGCATTCCGAAAGCGGGCCGATAATGAGCACTGGGCGGCGTATAGGTGCTGCAACAATTGCAATTCTATATTAGAGTTCATGGTATTATGGCTAATCTGATCGAGCAACTTACAGTCCAATAATTCGACGCGCTGGTAACTCAGCACACCCCCATCATCGTTCAAGATGCCCGAGTCGGGAAAAAAGCTTAGCTGTGTGTTGCTGAAGCTAGCGATCTCTGTGGAATCACGGGATGAGCTGCGTTGGTTCTTCTTGCGGCGGAAAAAGGAGCGACGCGCCGAGGTGCTGCCACGCCTTGCCGTTCCAGTATCACAGTCGACCACTTCTCCGGAACGCAGCTCCTCCTCAACCCTACGAAAGTGTAAAATGCCATTAAAATGCTAAGTCCCCTGTCACAACGATAGCTCACTTCATTTGGCTTGGTATGATGCCGCACTCCTTTCGATGGCCCATTGCGTCTAGCTTCCAGGCGCGCCACAAGCCAAAGGTGCCATTGAACACTGTGTTGTCCACATAAAGCACCTCGTCCTTGACAAAACGCAAATCGTCTTCGGTCAGCTCTCCGGTGCGGTCGAAGCCCACGCGTATATAAAACGAATCGCCGGGTTTATCCCATATCTGTTTTAGTGCTGTAGTAAATTTCGGATAATTATGAGACGTCAGTACTTTTGTGAAAGAGTTGGACTCACTCTGCAATTTGTTCTGCACTAGCATTGTTACGGTATCAGTGAGCTTGGAAATTTCGTTGGCTGCCTGCTCAGCTGTGACGCCACGCAAATCGACGCCGTTGTAATCCAGGATCTGGTCTCCTTTGCGTATGCCCGCGTGGTCGGAGGGCGAACCGGCCGCCACATCATGCACAAAAATACCAACTTGGTTGCCACCAAAGAGCTTGATACCCAGGTTTTTTGACTTATCCATGTGAAGCGTTACATAGCGAAGCGCTACAATGAGCTACGGTTAATGGATCGACATCGGAATCAAATGACTTGCTCACTTACTTTCGCTGGTCGACGTCGGCTTTATGTCCGAGGCTGTGGTCGTGGAAGAGTGTATGTCCTGGTTGCTACTTATGTCCGACTGATTTTCGAGACTGTCGGTGAAGCTTTGATCCTTAATGGACTGATGTGAGAGCAGCGAATTGCTCTGCGGGAGCAGATTACTCGACGCTCTTTCCGTACTTTCCGCATTGGGAGGCAGGGCCAGGAGTGCATTACGGGCAGGCGGACGGGGAGAATTGCGTGGTGTCGGTGAACCAGAATGATTCACTGAAGATTCTGGTTCCAGATTGTTTGTGCCCTCGTATTCCGCCGAGTGAAATTCTGAAAACAACAGAGTTTATCGTATTATAGCGGATAACTCGAATTTATAATGCATCACTCACTTTCCGGATTGTACTGCACGAGCATCGTGATGGAGTTACCGCACTGGCGTAGCACATTGGCAGCAATGTCGTTTGTAGCCGCACGCATATTGATGCCGCAAACTTCTAAGAGTTGGTCGCCCACCTGAAGACCCGCACGCATGGCAGTACTCTTGTCGGCTACAGTAGATACAAAAATACCACCTCCGTTGTTATTGCACTGAATGGTGATGCCGAGCGACTTGTCGCTCTTGTCGATCGTGACTCTTCTAAGGTCTCCAGGGCACAAAAAATCCGCCGGCACATTTGCGTTCCGTTTACTGCCGCCATGGCTGAGCACCTCGACGTGCACCTGCGGCATAGGGGAGCCCCGTCCGCTGCCACCGCCATTGGCTCCGAAGCTGGCATGGATTAGGGGCGAGGGTACCGATGACATCATTGCGGCGGCTGTCGGCCGGTCCGCGGGCACCATACCCGATGACGCATACTGATGGTCAATGGAACCGGAGCTATTCTTCACCATGTTGGTGTTCTTGCTGGCGACGCTCGGATTGGAGGGTATGCGAAGACGCTGGTTATCCTTTTTGCGCGGAAAGGTGCCGCCCTCGTAGATGACGCCCGTGACGTTCGTGCTGCCCACTCCCATGCCGCCCATGCTGGTCAGACCGTACGGATAATGCGGATGGGCGTAGTCGCTCAGATAACTCGGATGTGTATGCTGATTGGACGGATGCTGATGGCCAAGCCCATGACCATGACCCTGGCTGTGGCTATTAATAGCCGACGGTGACACAAATTCCAGATCGGTTGGTATGCCAATGGCGTTGCTGCCACTCTGCGTATCATGCGGTGTTGCGGGAGCCAGGGGTGGAGGTGAGGGTAGAGTCAATGGGCTAGAACGCCGCATATAACGTATCCCATGGCTTGGATGGTTGGATGGTCCGAAGCTGGGAAAAAGTGTATGCCGATTACCTGGCATGTGCGATAGAGCATGCTGCGTATAATTGCTGCCAACCCCGGAGCCAATGCTCTCACTATCGCTGGGATACTTGGGCACGTGCTTCACCGCCTGCGGCATGGGCACGATACGCTTCGGGTACATCGAGAGCACCGAGTACTCGCTAATGGGTGGACTCTTGGCGGAGAGTATAGATTCGATGGAGTTTTGCGACTTTAGCGAAATAACATCGGAGTGGGCGCTACCCGGCTGGTTGCCGGCGGAACCTCTTGAATTGGCGTGGACCGCACTCAACGGCATGAAGACGGCATTCGCTTTTGGCGGTGGCGCCGGCTGCTGCTGCTGGAACATGTCAAACATTTGCTGCTTCCGTGCTGAGAATTCGCTAGCCACGGATCCAGGAGTCGTATTGTTCATCACCTGCTGCTGCGCCTGCTGGCCGCTGGTTTTGGGCTGATAAAAATCGCCGGCTGGTGTGATGTTCAACGAGAAGCGATGTGAGTTGTGCGGACGGGCGGCGCCATAACGTTCATTGGAAGGCAGCTTAATGCGTGCATTGGCGCCCATGAGGGGTGCCGGACGCTGCAAGGGTTTGTGAGGATCGGGCAGCATATCCGCTGTGGCATATAACGAATGGCGAGGATAGCTGGCGCCACCGCCCGCGGCGCTGCTATTGGTGGCGTTACTGCTGTTGTTGGGGTTGGGCTGAAATAGTGTTGAAGCTGCTGAGCTGACCGGATTGGAGTTACGATTTGGATGCGACTTAATGGCGCTGCCATTGCCATTATGGCGTATGTGTGCCAGCGGCTTGGAGAGCTGCGGAGGTAACGGAGGCGGCTCCTCCTTGTCTCCAATGTCGTCGTCCCTGTCTACATTAATAGGACCCGCGCTGAAGAGCGACATTAAGGCGCGCTTCTTCTCACTGCGCTGTACAATGGTGCCGGTGGCACTCTCATGCGATATGTTGGTACGCGGCCAAGTACCCATACTCTTGCCGGCATCCTCCTTCTCTTTTTTGGTGCGCTTCTTGTTCTTAAAGAGATTCTCCTTGCTTTTCTCTGAGCTGTTTTCGCTCAGCACTGAATCCAGGGCGGCGATGGCATCGTCATGCTCCTGTTCGAAACTGTCGTCAGTGGTGCCCGGCTTGCTAAACTTCAGCTTACGCAGAAAGTCGGCGAACTTCGACGGATGTTTGGCACTACCACTGTTACTCACGTGCTGCATTGAATCTATGGAATCTGTTTGGGCGTATGAGGTGGTCATACGATTCTGGCCCTCGCCATAGCCACCCAACTGATTTTGCACGTACTTGAGTGCAAAAATTGAGACGGTCTCATTCCGAGTATCGTTCAACAACTGCATCACCTCATCGATGGACTGCACCGAGTCCATAGACTTGTTGTTGATGCTCAGAACGCGGTCACCTACATCGAGCTCCGGCTCATAGGAGGCCAGCGAGTTCTTCTCGATCTTGGCTATGAAAACGCCCATGTCAAGCTGCAGGCCGTGGTTCGCATTGTCGCGCATGTTCAGATGTACTGAGTAGGCATGGCGCTTGCTGTAACGGGTGCGGGACACAAGCAGCAAACTACGCGGCGCACTAGCCCGTATTTCGTCGAGCACCATTCGTTTGCTCAACGCCTGACAGTCAAGATTGTTGACTTTACAAATGACATCGTTTATCTTGAGCTTACCAAAGGCTGGAGAACTGTTGGTGACGCCACAGACAAGCTGCCGTTTGTTAGTGTCGTCCAGAATTATGCCCAGATCGGCGTCATGATAGTTGGAGAGCTCTATTTCAAACATGTCGACGGCCTCATAGCTACTCATGCGGAAGCTGCGGCGCGAGGCACTGTCTAGGTTCTGGTTCTCGATCTGCTCCTTTAGCAGATCGATCTTCTTTTGAGCTTCGTCCTTTTGCTTCTTAATTTTCTCGCTGTCCCGTATCGCGAGCAGTAGATCGGATATAGCTTTGTCACGCTCCTTGCGCAGATTATCGCAAAGCGTTTTCACAGAATCACGCTCCTGCACGATTTTCTCCCTCTGCGATATCGCCCAGTCCCGCACGCGCTTCGCCTCCTCGGCATCCTGCACGGCACGGTCCACCTCGGACAGAGCTTTTTCCAGATTCTTGCGGAGTTTCTCCAACTCCTTACCTTCATCCTTACTGTCCGAAAACTCCTTTGACCAAGAGCTTTCACGCGACTTAAGCAAATCGCGCTTTTTCAGATCCGCATTGGCCAGCTGCAATGATTTGATTTCGCTTTTGCAAATTAGTTCGTCCTTTTTAAGCCGTTCGATTTCCTTGTTAGCCAATGCCAAATCATCGGACATCTTCTGATGCTCTTGCAATACATTGTCCTTCTCTGATAGCAACTGATTCAGTTCTTCGGTTAAGGATACAACATTTTTGTTTTCCTTGGAGAGCATAACTTTCAACGTCTGAATCTCATCGCCCCGATCGCGATAGAAGTTGCGCTCCTTTTCCAACTCAATGTATGACTTCTTATATTTCTCGCGCTCGACCACCCACATATTTCGCTCTTTTTTGAGCTCGGCCAGCTTGTCGCTGCAACTTCCGTCACATGGTGGCTTGTTAAAGTAGAAGGCATTGCTGCTGGCTGGCGGGGCATTCCCATTTTGATTCTCTAACAGCAGAACCTTGTGTTCCAACAGTTTATTGTCTTGTTTTAAGCGTGCGTTTTCGGCCGCAATATCCGTAAACTTATTACGATCAGACACGTAATAATAACGACGCTCCATATCTGAGTGCTGGTGTCGGAGTGTGTTGAGATCCAACATATATTTTGCAGCATTTCCGCTGCTTACGTTGCTATTCACCACATTGCCGGCCCCATTATTGTTGGCCATATTTGTGGCCGCTGTGCTGGAATTGGATGGCGCGCGGAGTGTGCTGTCGTAGCCCACATACTCCGAACTCTCTTCTGAAATAAGCCAGTTAGCAAGGTGTCAATCCTCTGTGGCATATCTCAGTTTCACTAAATATCTCACCTTCTTGACTGCTTGTGCTGGTCAAGGAAAGGTCTCCCGATGTCATCTCCGCCATCACAGCATTGTGTTAATTAAATAGATATATCCAGCGCTTGGAAAATTCTTGTATCGAAGAGCATAAAATGGTATTTTATTAACAATGGGAAACAATCATGCATTGGCTTAGTATTTGGATAGTATAACTATTATAAGTATGTTAGAATCTAGCAATTTATTAAAACAGGAGAATAGTGTGAAATAGTCGACATTTCGAATCAAATGGTTTAAAATTAAATTACTATTTCACCAGCAGTATAAATTCTTTTGAATAGTATACAAATTATTGAAACTTTAAGAGATCTAACTTGGGACAATTTACTTCGTTTCACAGGGTTTAAGATAAAGAAACAGAGAATTTTGAGAAAGTATTTCCTTTCCAAATAAAAGCCTTACCTTAAAATAATAATCAACGGAAAAAAGATTAAAAATTTTTTTAAATGTTCAAATTGAAGTGCAATACATCAACCACAACAACTAAGAGGCCATCGCTAAAGACAAAACCGACGAACTCGAGTAGCAAAGCAAAAAACACAATTTTCAGCTTTCAAGGGGCTAATGACTTTATACGCCAGCGTTGATGCTAGTTGTGCAAAAATGTGTCGTAATTAACTAAAAGAGAAGCAGGCCCATAGTAACAAAACCAGCGCATTAATTGAAGCAACGAAGCAGAGACCGCAAATTAATAACAGCCTATAGTTCCACGCCGACACCAGGCAGATGAAATAAGTTTGGATTGAGTTGTATTATTATACAGATCACAAATATATAAAAACAGAATTTAACAACCCGTTTTAATTATAGATATTCTGATATTAATTTAGCTCCCAAAAATTAAGTCTATTTTCTCCGGTCCCTTCCAGCCCAACAAAAAACTTAAGGTACGACGAAATTTTTTGTTCGATGTTAAGAGATGGCATGATTAAGGGTGAAACTTTTTGCTGTTACCACTTAGATCAATTGGCTGTTTTAGACGAACGACATCACGAGAGAGCTTACAAAAACAAAATACTTGCAACCCAAACACAAAAGCAGATTGAGGCAAAAACAAAATACAAGTTGTACATGTGTCGTTGATAGATTTTGTGCAGGATTTACATGATCCTAACGGGGGTTTTTGTTGTGGACGTTATAGTACTCCGGATTAAAAATGTCGTGCCCACCGCTATCGTAGCCTATCGGATTTCAATTATTCTTCAAGTTTATTTTTCAAAACATAGTGAATTTGTTTATTAAAAATGCAGATTTCTAAACAGCGACAACTATTTTGTACATGATAAAATTTGTTTATATAAATATATTCATATTAAAAAAAAACGTATGTTTAATATGCTGATAATAGGGTAAGCATTTAGCCTGCAACTACTTGATTTAATCTCAAAAACGTCACAAGAGTGAATATCTGACGTCATTTTAATAAGCTCTTATTTCAGCCGTTTAACGGACCTGCGCAATGCATCTCCTTCTTATTATTTGTTCATGCGCGAGAATGGAAGAGCAACAGGCGAATGATCGCGACGTTTACCGTGTTTGGGGAGCAACAAAAAGCAGTTAAGGCGCATCAGTGAGGTCAACGAAATCCAGAAATTAAGGAAAGGGGTAAAAATTTCAGGCACATACAATAATCAAAGCCTTAAACAAGATAGGGGCCAACTAATGCAACACAATACCTACACAATCACAATGCAGACGTCACTGCTTTTTTTACTCTCACATTTTTTTTTTTTTGGTTTTAGAGATCGATCTTCATGCACGGTTACAGCGACGACAGAGCAAAATTTCAAATAACTTAGTAGCGCTTTTAGCAAATCCTATCATTTATATTTGAACATAATTAACTGATTCAGTTTTACGTACGTATATGTATAATACAATTGTTAATTATGTGTTTTTATTGCGTTGCACTAGAGATGTAAAACAGCATCGATGTCACTTTAAACTAAGGGTGATACTTTCACAAAACCGATAAGAAATATTTCACTCCCAATTTAAAAACTACACATCTCCGACTATATCAACTTCAAATATACCACGATTTTAAACACTCCAGAGATTTTTAACAAGCAACATCAGATTAAAACAAAGCTTTGACCGTGAACACCAAATACAAATACTACACATAACTTATGCGATAAGTTTTCACGATGAATAATTTATTTTGGTATTTAAGTCGATAGGCTAAATGATTATTCACCGAACCAGCTGCTGTTAATATTTTGTAATATTTTTTAACACTGCTTTATTCTTCGATGAATTGCTCATTTTATTTATATCGGTAATAACAGTAGCAGTAGTACTAAAATCAACAAAAAATCACACAAATTAAACAATAAAATCACATGGTTAAATTTACTTCAGCTTTTAGTGTTTGTATTCAGACGTAATTGCTTTTCTGAAAAGTATATTTCCTGGGCCGTTTGAAAAATGCCTGCTACTGGATGTAATAAAAACAGACTACGCCGTTGACCGTCGATATCCACCAATGCGAACACTTATCAATTCAATAACTTATCATTCAGTCGCTTTGGATCCATGGTGGGTTTTTATTTTGGGGTTTGCACTGACATATGCATGTAATAAATAAATTGCAATACATTTTAATCCGCTATTTTGCAACGCGCAGAAAAAAATATGCCCACGTTGACTTGTGTTTTATTGGCGTTGGCAGCTATCTGTCTGGAGGTGGTCGCCGTCAGCGGAAAATCCGACCCCGGTCTTATAGATATAGCTGTAGACGCGGTAAGTTGTAAACCATTTGGCCATATGATTTTTAATCTAAAAGGCACAATTCTCACTTTGGCAGGAACTCTCAAAAGTTAGGGAGCAGCGTCCGCTGCTGGCCGACACAGAAATTTATGTGAAAAGTAAGTTCGAATTGCCACAACTGGCTTAGAATTCTTAAATACAATTTGAGTATGTTTTTAGTACAATGTGCAAGCGATGCAGAGCCAGAATTGTCAATACAATTTACGCTGACGGAGCACCCATGTTTGTATGACGACAACATGGTAAGTGGGACAAGAACGTGCATACGCACATGCATAGGTAATAAGTAATTTGCTTGTTTGTCAACAATGTTTTTGGTTTATTGTGATTTCAGCTGCGTCTAATGAGCGAAACTCCAAGTGCAAACGCTAGTAAAGTGATCTCCACAGTAACCACAACAGCAAAATGTGTCAGTCTGATTCCACTGCGTCAGAAAATGGAGGACACAATCAAACCGCCCCCAGGCGATCTACACCCCATTAAGCAGAACAAACATCCATATTCGGTAATTTGCTCAAATGCTTTTAAGATAGGGCTATCGCGCATGTTTCTTATGTGTTTGTACAAATGTGTGTGTGTATGATGACTCAGCTGGCAGCAATTTCATAAACAAACTAATGTACCTGTCAGTATTAAGTACTTTTATCGTTTTAGTGTTGTTGGCGAATGTACATGGTTGTTTTAAAATGAATGATAACTAATGACCCGTATTGTTTAAAAATTTACTGATTTTTTAAGGCCACAACAAAGCCGTTCATTAAAATAACGGAGGATGGCATATACGAATTGGAACTGATTATACAGACTATTCCAGCAGGCCAGTCATTCAAAGCTACTGTGGGAATCGAGTTCTTGGGACCACATGGCTATATATCGGCGATTGATTGGCCGTTTCTGCCTGTAAGCATAATTTTTCATCATTCCTACACATAGAGGAATAATGTTAATTGCTCTTTTTTTATAGTTCTACTTGATAATGTGCATTGTGTATGTTATTTTTGGCATAATCTGGCTGTTGGTCTCTTTTGCGCAGTGGCGGGACCTGCTACGCATACAATTCTGGATAGGTGGCGTCATCTTGTTGGGTATGCTGGAGAAAGCCTTTTTCTACGCCGAATATCAAACCCTGAGCAGCACGGGCGTGACGGTACAGCATGCTGAGCTGGTAGCGGAGTTTGTCTCGTGCGCTAAGCGCACGCTGGCCCGCATGCTTGTTATTATCATGAGCCTGGGCTTTGGTATTGTGAAGTAAGACAAACAGGATGAACTCTTCTCTTTCCCATTACTTTAACTTCTATTTAATAGACCGCGTCTTGGGCCCATGCTGCATCGAGTAGTGGGTGTAGGTCTGCTTTATTTTATACTCGCCTGTATCGAGAGCTATTTGCGCATTACTAATGTGAAGAGTGAACGCAGCGAGCTGCTTGTAGCCAGTATACCACTTGCCGTGCTCGACACTGGCATTTGCTGGTGGATATTCACCTCCTTGGTGCAAACGACCAGGACACTGCGGCTCAGAAGGTATAAATGTGCCGTTTGATATATTCTACCCACTTTATCTATCTCTGCTATCTCTTAGAAACATGGTCAAGCTAGCACTATATCGACATTTCACAAACACACTGATATTCGCTGTCATTGCTTCTGTCATCTTCATGCTGTTTGCGTTGCGTTTGCGTAGAACTGAGAACTGTACACCAGTAAGTGAAGGACTGTCTGCTTAACTCGCTAATTAACTAGACTTATCCATAATTTGCACATTTCGCAGGGCTGGCGTGATATCTGGGTGGACACTGGGTTCTGGCACATACTCTTCTCGGTGCTACTGCTTGTCATTATGATATTGTGGCGACCTACGAACAACAATCAGCGATACGCGTTTACACCGCTTCTAGACAATCCTGAGGATGAGGACGAAGAAGGTAATAGCAGCAACCTTTCAACTAGATTTACAAACTGCTTTTATTACAGAAGAAGAAGATCAGTTTGTGGCTGATACTTACGGTGTTAAGATGCGCAGTTCACATCAGAATGGAACCAGCAAACCGCCGGCGAATGCACGTGCCACCACCACTGAGGAGGACGATCTGCGCTGGGTCGAGGAAAACATTCCTTCATCAATGGCTGATCCTGCGTTGCCGGTGTTAGACTCTGATGAGGAGATCATAAACACCAAATTTGAAGTCTCCAAAATGCAATAGACCGCTGCTCTTGCACAAGGACTAGGTCTAGACTAAAGACTTTCATATCTGTTGTTAAGCGAGCAAGCGGAGAAGTTCAAAACTTGCATTGGCACGGATATGAGTTTTATTTATTTGCGTTCTCTCACATCCTTCATCGAAACGACCACAATACGCACCAATTGCTGGACGACGCTTGATTAATTTCTTTCAGGACTTACAACAACCTGCGACGCCTGCTTGCTTGTCTATTTGCGCTATTAAGCCATGTAATATATTGTATGTAATCGTACTTTCGTTTAAATAAATTTAATTTATTGGTAATCACTAATTTAGGGTTTAGTTATATATGCAATCATATATTAATATTGAATTCAAATCCAAATGTATTCTTACATTATTTATTTTGTATTTAAAAACGAAGTCATGACTGTGTGTTAAAAAGATAACTTGCACACGTCCCATTAATGACATCAACACGCAAGCAAAACAAAATTAAATTCAACTATATATCGACGAATGTATGTATTTTCTATTTTACTTATTGTATGTATTTTTAAGGCAACACAAGGTAGACAGACTATTTAAAAAGTAGAAGCGCAAACCTATGATCTTTCTTATACAAATGCGATGAACCATCAATGTATTAAATGTAAATTTGATGTGAAAAATTATTTGATCTACACTGAAAAGGTTATACCGATTTAGAAAATTGTGAAGATTGGAAAGCTAGCTAATTACTCCCTTTACCATTTCAAGGTATTTTCACAATCTAGTGACGATCTGTTTATTAGTTTCCATCAATAAGAACTGTTTCGCGTATGAAATTAGAACGTTTCAATTAAAAGAAAAATACCGCACTTTATTTTACTTGTACGTTTAAAAATACAATAAAACTTACTTTGCTCTTTTAACAAACCCCGACATAATTTGCACCATGGTGTGCTGAATATTTAAGAGTAGTCCAATTTGTTAGGGCTCGCCTTTTTTAAAATTCTAGTAACGAAAGCACTATATTTTTATGAATGTGCTTCGAATAAATTGAATTCGTTTAGAAGAACTAAATGCACAATTTAAAGTGTTGGTTGTTTATGGGAATTTAACAATTTCAGTTAACAAAGTTTTGGAAAAAAACTGCAATGCATTTTGATTTAAGAATACATATAAGGATGAAATAATGCTAAGGGCTCTGATTCTATTTTGTATGCCATTCGGCCTGCTCCACATCAATAATTGCATGTAAATGTAAATGTTTCTGTCATTTAATTGAATTGCATGCTGTGTTTTATTCCGGCTTGACATTGCGCCTTAGGATTGCGGCTGCCAAATCCTGTTTCATAGCCGCCTGCTGACGCTGATCGGCCAGCGACTGCGTGCTTCGCAAGCCGTTCACAATATCCTTCGTTTTGCCGAAGTAGATTTCGTTGAGAGTGTTGCGGATTTTGTTTTCCATTTCCTCTACCATTTTGCCAATGTTGGCAATGTGGGGCGACGATTCGCTGACATTGGCATCCTGTTCAGTCTGGCGGGTGAGAGATCCTCCCAAGTTCATAGTGCCGGAGCCCTGCTTGTTTGTTTGCAACCACAGCATGGCGGTTGACGTCAGTTTGTAGTGCGCCGTGCGTCCAGTGGTTTTCTCTTGCACCTCCACGACATGTATGGAGTCCCAACAGCCACGAATCATTTTACTGCCATCGCCGGCTTTTTTAATAAGTATTACAGCGGCAAAGCCGTGATCCAAGTCCCACAGATACACCGAGGACACGCCGCCTTCGTAGTACATCTCCCGGTACTGGTCGAAAGCGTAGTTTGCTTCAATTTCCAGCTTCCTTAAACGTTCCGACGGCATTTGTCCATCTTCTAGTGGTGGATAGTAAGTATTCGACCAGGGCGATCGATACGAGTCACCGTCCCGGTTGTAGTCGCATAGCAAATAGTCCTTCCCATGCTCTTTATCTTTTGCAATTTTCAACGGTTGATCCACTGAAGACAGCAAATCCTCACACAAGTCTGGTGCCAGATCTATTAAGTCGATTAAATTCTTCTCGATTTGTTGGGGCGGCAGCCGGCGCATTAGATCCAGTGCGCAATCCATTTGCATTTCCGACTAAAAAATGAATGCGCACATAACATTTTGTTTAGGTAATAATAAATGAATAAGACGCTGCTATAATACTCATTCCTGCACTGCTTGTAGATATGTGTATGTAAGTCCGGTACAACATACATACATATGTATGTGAATATCTATATATGTACATATGTATGTATGAGCAATTTTTTGAGGTCAGTGACTACCGCCTTCGAGCTGCCAGAATTTTATCTTACACTCTGATAACAATGCATTTATTCAGTTTACCACAAAATAAAACTGATACCACCCGCATGAAAAATTCCTTTTTTGTTAGTTTGCATATCTTTTGAATTACTCACCATTGTGTTGAAGTTTTGGGAGCTTTACTTTCAGTCTGGTCCGAGTAATGTACAATTCAATGGATTCGCGTTTCGCAAAGCCCGTTTATTCGTCTTAGTTATTATTTATACAATTTGGCTTTTCAGTAAACCTGGACTTTAAAACAAACGAAGGCAAAATCTGTAAATCTCTTAGATACGAGTACTTATGCAGTGCTGGCGATGCATGCAACATCGATTTTTTAGTGTAACGATGTTTTCCGTAATGTCGATACATCGATATTTGAAAAACATGAGATTAAATACCATCACCATAAAATATTCCAATAGAAAACAGTTGCATCCAATATTTTTACTGGATATAACGTATATTTCCTTAAAAAAAACACCTTGAATGTAAATTAATGTAAGAAAAAGATACAAAGCTTTGTACCAATTCCATCAGCAAAAGTGCAACTGTTATCTATACCATCGGAGAAAAATACTGTAAATGTACAAGACTTAAGCATTTTTCAACACTTTCGGCAGAACAAATTTTTAGGTGTTGTGACATAAATAGCTTTAAGTACTGTTACCAAAAATGATTCGCAAAGTAAATGATATTACATTTTGCTGAGGGTTTTCTTATCAAACATATTTTTTAACAGGTTATACCAACGGTGCAGATTATTCTGAAAGCTCAAAGACCATTGAGCTCAATAAGATTGAGCAGTAGCAGCATTTACGAACCGGATTATCTTGATGTAAGTTAGATCTGATTGGAATTGTTTAATAAGAATTGATGCTCACTTCTATATAAATCAGTCGCTTAAACCCAAATACCCCCAATTTGAGAGTTTAAATGTGCAGATTAAGGGTTATGATTACCCCATACTTGAAAGCTACCAGAGCTTTTTGCACAGTGTAGCTGAATATTTGGACATTGACGTTTTGGATTGCTACGCCCTTCCGCCACAACAAACCCAAGTACAGCGGCTCCGTCCAAACTCTGCTGTCGTGGAAGCAGAGTATAAGCTGACAACGTACGAGCGCAGTCTGCAGCTAAACAACGTTGAAGCGCCCGTTTATCCCCAATTTCTACGCATCGCAGAGGCAGCGCTGCCCGAAGGCGTTAAGCTTACCGTGCAACAGCACACGGACGACTGCGAGGAGCGGCGTTATGTGCCTGACAGAGATTTGTTGGACTTGAAGGCGGAGTTAGAGCGCATGCAGGGTGGCGTTGTAAAAAAGAAATAGTTGGACCAGATTTTGCCATTTAGGAAAACATTTAATTACCACTAGGCTTTGTTCAAATATTTGTATAAACAAAGAAAAAAACAATAATGCAAGCAATGGCTTACTTCGCCGTTCACTATTTAAAGCTTTTTACTGCTTGGACGGAATTAATTAGCGGTTATCTTTAAACTTAGGGAAGACGGGCATCTAGATTTAACTTAGCGAGAAATTGCACTATAAATTAGCTGCGGCTGCTAAACCACACCAAAATGGACCACCTTAATGGATGGAGCTGAGGAGGCAGACGGTGTCGTTGTCGTGCCTTTACTGTTGCTCTGGTCTTCATCTCTTCGTCTCGCGGGCGGTCGAGTCATATCTGTAAACATAATTGGGTTAAAATGTGGGCTTCTGATATCTAAAGATATTACTCACTTGTGGATATGGGATTGAAATCCTTAAGGTATTCATCATTTGGATGACATAGTGGCAGACTGTCGGCCAACTCCTTTTTCGGATTGGTAAGATGACGGACAGCAGGGCGTGAATAACCATTGCGTTTGGGTGGCATAGGCTTCTCCTTGCGTGGAATCTCCTGCAATATTTGAAAAATACGACTGCTAAGCCCCTAAATTGAAGAACCAGCTTTTAGAACAACTTACTGGCACCACAGCGACCTGTATTGTGTCTGAGAATTTGACTTTGTTTTTCTCGCCATTTCCACACTTAACTATGGACGCATCCTTGCTGTTACCATTGCCATTTGCTATAGTCGGCGCATTAGCGGGTTGAATTGAAGTGCATGTTGGGGCCCCAGTCAAGCTGTTGGACAGGATGGAGGCAGTTGGCTTCTTGAGTAACAAACGCTTCTGGTACTCTTCATTGATCACTGTGGGTAGGACTGCGGGTATATTGCCAGACACCAGTGGGTGTTGGTAGAATTTCGGCTGATAGCTGTGACTTGTGGGCGGTGGCAGTGCAGAGAAGCTCTTGCTGTTGCTAGTCGGCATGGGTAGCGGGCACTGTTCGCTGGAAATTGGCGCATCTGGAGCTCTCGGCAATGTAGTTAACGAAAATCTGCTCGATAAAGTGACGTTGTTAATGCTAGGCAGTCCCACGGCTTGATCCGGCACATCCTGGGACAAAAAGTTGCCTGCAATAAAAACAATCAAGTATAATCAATGTTGATACTATCAAGCCATGAAAAGCACTTACCATTGTCGTTTATATTTAATGGACTTGCCATTACATTGCCGACAATTTTTTGTGATAGCGTTGCCAAAGATGTCGTCATTGAAGATGGCGGAATGATGGCCCGCACTTCGGGTAGTTGTGGTTGGCGTGTACGCTCCTGCAGCATGTCTACACGCAACTCTGGCTTCGGTATGTTGATTTTAATCATCTCCGCATTGAACACTTTTGACTTGAAGGAGGGCAATGGTGGCACATAATTTTTCAGCGCGTTTGGCTGCAAGGACTGACTGGGATTGCGGAGCTCGGAACAAGTGGATCGCGAACAGGCCGATTCTGAGCGAAACTCGCAAGCCAAACTCAGATTGCCATTAGCGCGGTCCTCCTCGTGGATTATGGCAGCGGCCTGGCTGAACGCGGCCTGCGCGAACTCACTTAGACTGGAAATGCATTTTGAAAGGTTGAAGATATCCATAAACAGATCATAGTCCTCGATCTCTTGGGCTATCTCAAAGGCCTCAGCGAAAAGATTTTTTCTAAATAATACATTGCTCTTGAGTAATATATAGTATTCGAGCCGAACAAATGTTTCTTACCGGAGCAGAAAGAAGCAAAAACGCCGCTTCAGATCGAACATTTGATCGCTAAACTCGTCCTTTGTCTCCTCGGATAGAGAGTCTGTGAATGTTCTAATGGCCTTGGCCATTAGCTCGATGCGTAAGCGGCGATGATCGGCGTAGAAGAACACATAGTTAGCGATTTTGTGCAGCGTTATTAGGCACATTGCTCCATAGGTATCCCAGTTCAGCGCGGCCAGGACGTTCACGGCACGTTCCAGCTGATGCAGTCGCAAATATTTGTCGGCAATTACGTCCACAGTCATGCCCGAGTTGTGGATATCGCCACGCATACCAGCACCTGAAAAAAGGCGCATGCAGCCAATGGGGCCATGCTCGTAAAGCAGCAGCAGAAAGCAGTCTGTTTGTGCGTATTTGTGCGCAAAATTAATGAGCTCGGGCTTGCGACTGAACGTAATGCTCAGCAGAGTTGGCTGTGTGGGAAAGAAATGCGAGAGGTCCAGCAGACTAAACGGTGTCACATCTTCACTTAACATCTGGTTGCAAACGGGTGCGAGAGCCAGATCGAAGCATTGAAACTGCGAACTTTCGTTTGCAATCATAATTAGCGCCGAATCACAGTGCCAAGTACATTGTGTGGGTACCTGCAAAGGGTATACAGACAATTAGAAAGGTAGAGTACTGAGCTTATTGCTCATAACTGAACTTACGATCTCGACTTGAGCCACGTATTTTGTTGTTTGCAGTACAAGGTCATGCAGACAGATGTTGCTGGCAATTGTGCCTAAGAAGAGCTTTTCCTGGTCCGGACTGAACGCGAAGCAGCAAATTTGACTGCCCATGGGTATTGATGTAGTTGAGATGCGGGCCATCTTTCCTGTATTCACTTCGTACGAACAGATTTCTGCGGAGATTTCTCCTTTGCGAGTTATTTTCTGCTCTAACGTTATTATTTGACTCTCCAACGAGCGCAGAAAGTCAACACAGAGCGGATCGTTTTCAGACCAGCAGTAGGCAATCGATTCCAGTTGCATGCTGCCGAAATAAATTTGGATTAGCCGATTGATGCGAACATCGAAGACGAACCTAATTCTTACCCCTGAATTTTGAATACGTGTATGTTGGCGCGATCCTGATCGCGTATAGTGGGCCGCCAGGGGTACACCTCGTTCTGGGACGACTGTGTCCACACGACGAACAAGTCAAAGCTACTATTTACCGTTAGATGGCGTGCCAGCTTGCGCTCGGCGGCGCCTGGAATGATGACATGAAATATACGGGGATCCATGTTCGCAATTTTTTCGGGCCCCTGCGGTCGGACATTCGGCTTCTGAAGATGCACCACAGTCAACTGATTTGTATTGTAGGCCAAGACGATGTGGGAACGTGTAAAAAATGCTAAAGAAGACAAAGTGCCGGGTGTACGGCAAAAGGCAAACATGGACATTATGCAGAAAAAAAGGCACACATACAATTATTTGCAACAAACAAGCTGTAGATTAATTAAAAACTACAATAACTGCATGCAACTGCCTACATGTGAATGCGCACGTCTGACTGTCTCTGTGTATGTGTGTGGGAAAGTGCGAGTGCAAATGCAAATTTCTCCAGCGCAAGCGCACACACTTACATTTGTATATGTACATATAAACATATAATTGTGCAGCAAACAAGAAACGCACTCACCATCGGTAATGACCTCGGTGGCCAATTTCCCAACGAGATACTTCTCAAATACCATGCGCAGTATGTCGCCCGTGTAAACATCGACGCATATATGCGCAATGACCCCGTTAGCAAAGAGGAGGAGCACTTGCGCCGCATCCTGCCATTCCGAGTGGACAAGCTTGTGAGTCCTTAACAGTTCCTCTAGCTTCTTTAGATTGTCTTTTAATCTGCCCGCCGTTTTGCGACTGTTCTTCAGCACAGTTCTTCCATTTCGACGCTCCGTGTAGTCCCGTTTTGCCAGCGCTATTACATCCTGCGCTTGCGGGTGTTGGCGCATGTAGCGAAATGCACCCAAGTCAGTGTTTTTTACGCGCACATCTTCGCGTGTGGTCCAAAAGTGGGTTTCATTAAGTAGCAACATGCCCGTGCTTTACATATGTATATAATAAATGCACTGCCGTTTGATTTGTGTCACTTTCAGCAATTTGATTTCGAAAAACATTCGCGTCGATGTCGTCTACTGTCACAACGACAGCCTTTAAAGTATGAACAAAACGTCGTAAACAACGAACAATTTTTTTTTAATACGTTTATTATTCCCTGTTCACCGTGTTTTCTTTTTTTTTTTTTTTTTTTTTTTTTTTTTGGGTTTAAGTTACCACGATGCCCTTGGGTATTGTGGAATTATTTGGCCGCCCACTTATTGGTGAAGTGGAAATTGCCACACTAGATAAATGTAGGATGTTGCTTGAAATTACAGTTTGACTTTTGTGTCATTTATGAAGTTTACTATTGCGTTATATTCTTGAACCGACTCATGCTTAAAGAAAGAGTGCAGATTGTTATATTTGGTTAGCGATGGGACGCGTTGTCGATTTGTATTATGTTTTGGACATTCAAATATGATGTGTGATGCGCTATCGGGAACGCCGCAGCTGTTACATTTGTTATCGTCGATAACATGCATTTTTGAAAGAGTGACTTTATCGAATGTGTATCCACTAAGCAGTCTATTAATTAGTTTTGTATTGTTTGCGTTAAAATTGCAGCTCTTATTTTGGAACCACGGTTTTCCAAGCGTGGTCGGAAAAAGTGCGCAGTACGCTCAGTTTTTCTCTGCCACGAATCTGGCGTACTCTAGTTCCCATTCGTCATGGATTAGACTGTACATGGTACGCACTGCATCCTTTAAGCTCCATTTTAGCACCATGAAGGTGCCGTCTGTTGTTGCTCTTTTGGCTGCCGTGTCCACCGCGGAATTTTGGGGAATACCCACATGTCCCGGTATGAAATGTAACTCTACAGCTAAAACACTGGAACAGTTATTAATTTTTCTTTTAATGTTGTTTGCTATGGAATTGTTAAGCGAATGATTTATTAGTGTTTGCACGCTGCCTCGGCTGTCCGTTAAAATTGCCACATGGGAAATTCTCAACCAGATTGCATGATCAACTGCCTTTTCAATTGCAATAAGCTCTGAGGAGAGAGACGAGAGGATTTTGTTTGTATAGAAACTATCTACAAACCCTGATTCTTCCTGCAAAAAAGCAGAGCTTGAGTGGCTGGAGGTGACCGATCCGTCGGTAAAATATAGCTTAAAGCCTCTGCTTCTCAGACTGGAGGCTTTCTCATTAAAAATCAGGCGCATGGTTGAATTATCCATGGACTGCTTGTTTCTTGCTGAGCCCTTCAAAAAATCCGTGTCTCCTTTCATTTTTGCGCATTTGAGAGGTATTAGAGGAATCTCTTCAATGTGGTCTAGTATGTTAGCAAACCTCCTGTAAACCCTCGCATAACTAGTGTTTATCGTGCTGGTGGATGACAGCAAATCGCAGACTGGTAAATTGAAAGCAAATGCTTTTGCCAATTCTTTGGCTGTGAGGAATAAAATCCTGAAATCCGGTGGCATCTCTGCTGCCATGTGGTAGATGATTTGAATGGGGGTACATTTTATTAGTCCTAACGCTTTTCTCAGGTGCATATTGGTATGGCTTTTGACCTTAGCTAGGGCTGTCTTGGATAGGTTGCTAAAAGAGGAGCACGCGTATTCCAGCCTGCTCCTGACGAAAGCCTTGTGCAACAAGATTCCTTGCCTAGGACTGACACCGTATTGACAGCCGCTAAAGAGCCTGATGAACGCACATGATTTATTGGCCTCTGAGATAGCCTGACTAATATGGGTGCATGCCGAGTTATTTGCTGTTATGTTCCTGCCTAAATAGCTGATTTGTGCAACTTCCTTAATGTGGAAACCTTGGCTTACCAAATTTAGTTGTCTTCTGCGTGAGCTGAAGTGAATGACTTTGGATTTGGCTGGATTAAAAGATAAGTTGAGCCTGCTGCATTCTCTTTCAAATTTTTCTATTCTTTCACTTAGCGTTAACACGGCTAAATCAAACTTCTTGTGAAAACAGATCAGAAAGAAATCATCTGCATATTGAAAAAGCAGACAGTTCGAATTGTTTATGGTGTGTAACTTGGCTGTGTAAATGTTGAAAAGAGTGGGACTTAAGCAGCTACCTTGGCAAACTCCTCTATTTATTTCAGCTTTGCTCGACCCCTTTACCAGATATCTGCGTCGGAGGAAATCAGTTATCCACCCTACCTGGTGTGGATCAAACTCCACGGCACGAAGCTGGTGGTCTAAGGTTTCAATATCCACACAGTCAAAAGCCTTTTTTAGATCTAGACATGCTGCCACAACTTGGAAACCCTCAGTCTTAAGGTATTGGATCTTGTTAATTAGATCGTTTATGCATAGAGCTGTCGATCTTCCTTTCCTGAAAGCATATGATCTTTCCGGTAGCAGGTCGCGACTGGCAATATGTTCGTCGAATTTCATTTTGATTAGACCCTCTACTGTTTTTAACAGAACACTAAGCAGGCAGATTGGTCTGTGGTTACAAACGAGGTCAGAGTTTGAGCCCTTTTTTGGTACCGGCACCAGCCTGATCTGTCTCCAGGATTCTGGGAAGACTCCAGCCCGCCAAATGTCGTTTATCATATTAAAAAGTTGATTCTTCTTAGGGTTCGGTAATGTCTGCAGCATCCTATACGAGATGCCATCGAGCCCACATGCCGAATCTGGATTTCTCGCATTCAACACTGACATAAAATCCTCAAAGTTAAACAAAATGGGGACCCCTTCCTGGACCAATGATGTCGCCATACGTGGACAACTGAATGTTGTGGTTGGCGTGTTCTTTACTATCATAAGGAACTCCTCGTCCTCTGCTTTTGACCAGGTGTTAGCTGTCCTTTTCATTCTTTTATAAAGTTTTAAATGCCTTGTTCCATTCCACAGTGTGGGAGCTGTCGTCATTTCGTCAATATACTGCCTAAAATTAGCTCTGCGACAGTTTTTTATTTGGTTTTGCAGCTTTGCTTCTGCTACCATGAGTAGCTCCGCATCTTCCAGCTTTTTGGTGAAATAGAACTTTTTCCTGCAGGCATTTCTAAGGCGAAACAGCTTGTCAACTTCCTCGTTCCACCATCTCTTGGGTACATATTTGTTTTTGCTTGAGACCGTAATTGTATTGGTTTTTGTGATAAGGCGAACATTGCCATTGAGTGAATCCAGGTTTGAAAAGTCACTATTAGCGAAAACTCTCGCAATCCTATTATGAAGTACCTTTTTGTGACTTGTGTTCGCGCAGAATTGGACCAAGTCTATTAAGACTGGAAAATGGTTGCTGTTTGTTAGTTTGCTGCTTTGAGCCTGCCATCTATATTGAATACTACTCGTATTGCAGAAAGTCAGATCCAGCACCGAGCTTTGACCTGGGCAACGAGAAAACGTAGGGGAGCTGTCGTTCATACATACAAAGCCCGAGTTAGCTGCCGCCCGTTCCAAGCCATGTCCTTTGCCGTCGCTACTGGAGCTGCCCCATGTTGTGGATTTGGCATTAAAATCCCCACATATTAGTGAAGCAATGCTCAATGATGCCGCATACTCGAAAATTTCTTTTGCCCCCTTTTTCAGGATAGACACTGATAATGAGGGGGCCGCATAGATACCGTAAAGGCACAAATTTCTCTTTAGATTTAGGGTCTGAATGCCCATACATTCCATGTCGTTTTTAATCTTTAGGATTTTGAATTTGATTCGCCTTCTTATGTACATCCCTACTCCACCGTATCCGTCTTCCCTTGGCTTTCCATAAAAGTTAAAGTCAGGAATTCCACACTCTGAATTGTCTTTCACCCATATTTCCGACAGAATGGCGATGTCTATGTTGTTGTTTAGGAGGAACATGTGAAGAATTTGTTTGTTGTTGTTGAAAGTCAGGCTTTGGATGTTGAATTGGAGGATTCTCATATTGTTGCTGTGCTTGTCAAGGCCGAGGCGATGCAAATTTGATTTGCATCTAGCTCCGCATTAGCAGCATTTATGAGATCCCTGATTTCCTCCCAGAACTGTAGAGATGGGCCCGCTCCGCTATTTGGGTCCGTTATGAAGTTAGATATTTTCTTTTCCACTATATTAAGTTTTTCTTGGGCTAAAGACACTTTGGTGGTACCAACTTCAAGAACCTCCGCTCTGTGAGCGGTATCTGCCAAGTTATGACTAGTTGTATTGCCGTATCTGGACGGCTTGGGCTTGGATGTTTCCCCGAGAGCTCTGCCTGGAAGCCTAGCTACCCTGGCATATGGTGCAATGGGATGCACCTCCTTCGCCACTTCGTGGCTGCTGTACTCGCGCTTTCCTGAGCTATTATTTAGCCTTCTTAAAAAAGGGAATTCTGACTGATCTCTTAGATCAGGCACCGTCCTCTTAAAGAGAGACGGATGAGTCTTCTTAATTTCTGCTCGGGACATATTCTCCAAGGCCATACACTTTTGAATAGCGAATTCCTTTTGTCTGGCTGCACAATGGGGTGATGTTGCCATATGGCCTTCTTTGCAATTGGCACAAGCAATATCAGTGCAAATGTCCTCTCTCTCATGTTCTTTTCCGCACTTATAGCACCGTGCACTCCCCTTGCAGTGCTTGGCCATATGGCCAAAACGTAAGCAACGGAAGCATTGTTTGAAGTGTATAAACGGTTGTACCGCCACCTTTGTATATAGAAATTTTATTTCTTTTGGCACCTGGTGTCCCTTAAACCAGATCTTTACTCTGGAGGTAGGGACCAAGTCCCCTGTGTCCCTTGATTTTTTGAAAATTCTCTCCACCTGCATTATGGGAATGTCCGCCGACAGGAGTTCCATCATGTGGTCGGTTGACATATACGTGGGAATGTTAAAAATAATCCCAGCCTTTCTAGTGAAATGCTTAAAAATGTTGGCCTCGAAGCCGTGAACAGCGAGAGCTTCCAATGAGGCCAGGTCATTGGCACTTTGCGCCGACACACAAGTGACCTTACACCTGCCATGCCCTATCCTGCTTACTTCTTCTATGCCACTGATTTTTAGCGAAGAGAGCAGCTCGATTAACTCGAATTGGTTAATCGCTTTGCGTACTCCCATTTCGCTAGCCTTGTCCACATAAACAATAAAAGGACCCTTGTGGTCCCCGTCATACTGCATGGCAACCACAATTTCCTTGTCGACCACACTTTTGCTTCCCGCATTTATTTCATCAGAAGTGGTAGAAATCTTGGAATTTTTCGACTTACATGAAAGTCCGTCCTTGTCAACTTTTACGTCATTTACCGCAGTTGCCTGTTTACCAACACTTGTATTTGGCGCGCTTTTGGTTGGGCCGCATTTGGCTGGCGCGTCGTTCTTTCCCTCTTTAGTTCTGCGAACTGATGGTGCTTCTTCCTTTTTGGGCACCTCGTTAGGGTTGGCGCGGCGACTGGTGGTCCCAAAAACCCCGGTGGTGCATACTTGTCCTATCGGACGACCAGCTTTACTCCTGCCTGCCATAAAGCCTCGAAGTGCACGTTTCTGCACGAATGCTGCGTTTCTGTTGAAATCGAATCCTTTAATTAGTTTAAAAGTTGCAAATCAAGAAGTAATGTGCTGTAGCACATTAAAACCGAAAAAAGTTGCTGATAAATTCAAATTCCACGAACTGCCCGTTAGCAGAAAAACGAAAAAACTTGAACACTGATACCCGACCGCGATGTTGTCTCCTCAGAAACCTAAAAGCAACTGAACTGACCGTGTTTTCTTATTTGTACCATTAAAAATAAAGATAAACTCCGTGGTAGAGATGTTCTTGTTTCTAATTATCGATACGTATACGTTGCGATATTTTTACAGGTGATATTGTTACGATCGATATTTAAAAAAAAAAATTGTAGCTCACATCTGTAGCACTAGCTTTAAAAAACTCTGTCATCACTAAACCTTCCACCGACCGTTTTTTTCAAGCACGTTATCACAAAAAAGTGTTCAATCGTTTACGAAAACCACACCAAACCGTATTTTGATTCTTATAATAAATCTTAACAAGTTCCAGCTTTTGGGAAAACATTTGTTTTTACATGATTTTTGCTAAATAATAAAACAATAAAAAGTGTAAAGAAAATTTAGTCAAATGTAAAGAAAATACTATTTAAGCCCCCTGCAATTTCATAATGAATTTCAACGCCACGGTTTACAATTTTATGTTTAAACAAATGTTTTTATTGATTTCACCGTTAAAACAGATTACAATCAATTCTTCACAGTAGATTTATCCCTTCTTTGCTTTCAGTTGCAAAGAGCGACTGCAAACAAAAAATGTGGTACATACTAGCGTAGTAGCTAACTAGATAATGGATTAAATAAAGAGCAACGTTTCATAAGATATAGTACGTAAAGTAATAATAATTATAATGTACATACATATATCGCATTTGAGGAAACTTAACACGTAGTTATGTATACGCAGCGTTTGCGTGCATCGTTTGTTTATCAATTTTATATATGCCGGCAGCAATCTTTCGGCTCGGTGCAGCTCCTTAATGACTGGCAATAAAGATGCACCATTGAGAAGCTATCTACCTAGGTGGCTCTGTGTGCTTTGGATTCTAAACATTTGTGCTTATTCATAGATATTTACTATACATATAAAATAAATCGAGTTCAGTAATTGAGGAAACAGAAGATGAAACGTAACTTTTGATCCCTATTTACATAGAAAATGTACCTATGGTGTGTATGGGAAGCACACTATTTCTCATAACTAAAAGTTACTCCATAAATATATATAACATGTTTGCATATGCTAACAAATTTCTATTTACAAGTGAATATATATAAAAATATCAACCACATATCTAAATGTTTAACTAATTAGCAGCCTTTTAGAATTTTGATAACGTTTGCGAATTTTTCAACTCAAGTCGTTTTTTTCTTTTTCTGTGCACGTATTTCTCTAATAAAGTCTGATCCTGACCCTGATTGAAAACTGTGGAAACTTAGATGGATTAGGTTGCCACACATATCTGTTTGAGTTCAGATTTCATTGGGGTGTTTGCCTGAATCGACCTGTTTTCTGGTTCGTTGCCTTTAAAGCTAATCAATAAAAAGGTTGCGCTCGTTGGTTAAATCGTCGCGAAAGCAAAAAGTTGCAGCAGTTATGTCTACATATGCACAGATTCTGATTTCAGTGTTAACTTAACGCGGACGGTAGTTTCCCAATAATTCCAGCGGGGGAACCACCATGTCCCTTCGAGGCGGATTTTGGAGCAGTACAATATCTAAAAATCGTAGAACTCGTTCGATTTATTGTTAAATCGTCGCGTCAGCACATAAACCACTGCCTCATAGGTTGCCATCATAATGGCCGTGTTAGGTATCTGACGCACTAATTGAGTGGCTAAGCCTCTGTTGATGAGAAATAGAGAATATATAATTGTGTGAACATGCTAACTTGAAAGGTAACTAAGTTGTGGCACTGTTCAGATTTCTGTATTCTAAGCCCATCCAGATTTTCCTCGATCTTAACCGTTACTCACCTATATAGTCCCGCTCGTCCCTCCTCCTTCCACACCGTGTTCAATGTTTGCCAAAACGAATTGTATTTATTGCCCTCCTCACGTAAACGAGTACGTGCTACCTCATGGGGATATGCGATACAGGATGCTATGGTCTTAGATACTGCACCAGCCATCATGAATTCAAGGAAGTCCCGTGAACTTTTGGTGTCTGTTTGGCGTTGATTGCGTTGCTCTAGCTACCGAATTAGAACAAAATTATTACAAGACAGGATTAGAAAAGGCGAGTGGCATAGCTTTTATTTACCAGCTTCGACTTTATAAACTCATAGATGACAAAGTGCACCATTGTCTCACAAATGCCAAAGTAGCTGGCTGTGATGCCCTTATAAAAGGCCGCGATGCCGCCTTGCGCATACACTCGTTCAATACACTGTCGCACTGTCATTTGCACTTTTGAGTTGTAGTCTAACTGGAGGCGCGTCTTCACAAACCAAATTGGATTGGTGGCTGAGGACGAGACGAAGCCAGCACTAGCGGCGCTCATTATGTGCACGGGCGGTGAGTCCGGCTCGACGATTCTGCAAGTTTACGAAAAATAATCAGATTTACGATATGGTGAAATGCGGCACGCTTATACGTACCCCAAGCTATTGAGTGTGCTCTTCGTTTGGGAATAAGTGCAGAAGTAGATAGCACGGGATGGTGCCACGCCAACGAGATTTGGACCTAGGCCTTTAAACAAAGCGCGTGCTCCTTCATTCTGAACAATGTGCCTGGGTTAGAGAAAGCGAACATTGAACTAAAAACGCAAGGATTTGAAGTAGCCTCCACTTACCGTATGCATTGTACGATGCTCATTGACTTTGTGGAGGCGGATGAGATGCCGCAGTGTGAAATGGCCATTATCTGGAAGGGTATAAAGATAAGACAATAAATAATAGTCCTTGAGGTGGAAGTTTGTTCTGCAGGGCGTGGTTTTGATTCGATTAAGTAGGACATGGAACGGCGAGAGATGACAATGAGACCGATTAAAATAAAAAATAATTGGTACTACCCTACGCACACCCCCAATCACCTGTGGCTGTGATCTGTTACGTAATATCGTTGTGCTTAGCTTACGTCGTTGTTCCGGCCTCAGAAGCTCTGATGATCCATTTGTGGAGCCCGCGGGCTCTGCCAAGCGTGGCGGCGTGAGGAATGCTGTCGAACTCTGCAGACGTGTCTTTACCACCTCCAAAGGACATGTAACAACGGCTCCAACGGTGCCAGCGGACCTACAAAATAAGAAAAAATGCAATTATATTACATACATATATGTAGCTGCGAAATAATTGTACCAATGGATTAACATTTATTTCCCACGCAATCCTCTTTCAAACTCAAATAGTATCCAGCTTGTGGGTTGAATTTTCAGAAACAGTTTCTTTGTGATAATTTTTTTTGTCAAAATTATTCGGAGTAGAGAAAACAGAGGTTAAACATTTATGTACAAGCTTTTTTCTATAAGAACATCTAAATCTAAATTTGACACTTTCCATTGATTTTTCATATTTTACTATAATCAGTCGCAAGGCTACTCTATAAGGAAAAAAAAAAAACAAAATCCAAAAATATATTCAACGAACTACAGGTCCAAAATTTAACTTCGCTACAACATCTAAAATGAGCGATAGCTGCAAAGTGAGCAGCCAAAATCAATTTTTGGAACTTACAACAACAGCAGCCATGGCCGACTTCATAGGCAGAAACATTTAAGCCATGGATTTGTGGAGCGTAAATTTCGTATTATGTCCGAATGCCGCTACTTTAACAGCTAGTTTCTCTGTTAGCAACTTCTAAATACTCTTTAAGTTCCTTTAAGCATCGAATCTTATTCATAAATTATAGTTCCATAATAGTCCCATTATAAATCCTATTATCTATCGAGTTAAACTTAAGGCAACGTCACCATAGCTTAACTTCAATTTTAATTACTTTACAGCTGTATATAAATTAAAAAAATTTAAATTAATAAAATCTGACTGCTTGAGGTTTACAACTTTTATAAATGACAATATTTTTTAGTTGTTACTTTAATAGTATTTCATATCCTATACGCAGTGTAATGACCCCTATTAAACAAGTCGACTCGTTATCGTTTGTTATTGCTTAAGTTCCATCGCTATACACTGCCGTAACGGCTGATTTTATTTTGGTAAGGTGAACAACATTAATTGATTCAAAAGGTCTTTCACTGTTCGATTGCTGTTGCCAACTGCTCGAAATTGTATATCACTATATGTCAAAATAAATTGCTACTTTTAACAAGATATGTTTTGTAGCAGACAACATCTTCCTTTAATAGATTACTCACAATAGTTCAAGCTAAGTATTTCTATTAAAATAAACAGAAATTGTTTAGGTTTCACTCTCTATACCATAAACAACAGCTGTTTTGTTGTCAAGTGAATGACAGTTTCCCACTCAACCGTTAAACTTGTACGTAAGATCGTTTTTTTCAGCTGTTTTGTTTTTGCGTTTCAAAAGAAACTACCAATGCATTTTTATTGAGACATGGTTACAACGACTTATTTATAACTGCGTTAGGAATTTTTAAGTGTTCAAAATAGTTCCTCACACTCGTTTTTTTTACAGGCATTAAAATGATTGCTTCGTTTGCGTGATTTCGCTGTCTTCCAAACCGGTTTCAGCCACATACGGTTTGACCCACGGCCGATAACCTGCACCAAGAAATGAATTACCGGACACAGCTGTTAGCTGATAAGGCAAACGGCATATGCGTGGGGGTTGGGATTACAGAAATGGCGGCCATTCGTCGGTCATTTGCAAATATAAACCCAATTATTTATGGCAGGTGTGATATAAAATCTATTTCACATTTGCTTTAATTTTGTGTACTTTTCCACTTCGATTTTTTTTGCGGCTTAGATTATATATACATATTATTTGAGATAGCGTATGTTATAAACATAGTAGTTTAAAGTAGAATTTAAAAACTTGTCAGATTGTATTTAAACATTCATACATATATATATGTATGTAAGTACATATGCATGTAGACACAAGCTATTCAGACGCTCGATATAGATTTATTTATTAACATGTACCTTCTAAATAACAGGGGGCTTGTAGCTTGACGATAATTCATGATGCATGAAGGCGGTATAAAAAGCCATCACCCTAGTCGAGAAAGATGGCACATCAGTAGCATCGAATGTTTATTTTTGGTTTTGTTATCAGAATCCATTAGCGTAGTTTAAGAGTGTTTTTGTTTAAAGCGGAATACTTTTGTTTTTTCGCAAGTATGAATAGCTTATGAATTGGATTAAATCAGAATTGCACGATGTTTATGGGGAATCTGCACCGCAAATGCCAGCCATAAAATATTGCAGAGCTAAATTGAGCGGCGACAAATGAATGCTTTTGATGACGATCAAGCCAAGCGGTCAAGTGCGGTCACCACCCTAGAAACGGTTGACCGAACCCTTGAAATGGTAATGGACTGAGAGTCAATATTCTAGAGTTTGTTGGCATACCCCCTATAATCCAGATCTTTTTGAACTACTCAATCTGCGTTGTTTTTGGAGAGCTATCTATATATGTACCCATGTACAAATGTATGCCGAATACAGAAATAAAATAAATACATACAAGAATTGAAAAATTCATAAGTAAATTAAAATTTGTTTATTTAGATAACAAAAATGTTCGAACTACTTTCTAGAAGGTAGATGCCATCTCGCTTGCACATGCCGGTTGTTTCACCGTATGAGCGAAAGGATATCAGTAAGTATAAGAGCCAGAATGACCAACGGTATCCAGATTCTCCTACGACCGAGAAAGGACGAGTCTAACGTTTTCTTTTTATCGGATGCCCCCAACAATCCCCCCCCCCCCCACACACACACACACACACACACACGGCAGAGCTGCATGCGTGTGCAGTAGAGTGCTCGTTTTACGAACCCTGGTATATATGTATGTACATAAGTGTTGGCCCTCCTCAACTCTAGATTTCCAACTTTGTTTTTGCTGTTGATTTTGTGACGTTGCTGACGTTTATCACGAAAATATTTTTGCGCGTCAAATTTTCGGTGCTGCTGCTGGTGGTGCCAATAAATGTGTGTTTGTACGAACATATGTATATGTATGTACGTGTGTATATACTTGTGAAATTCATTGAGTATACACGTGAAGCGCGCATGTTTCCCCGCCTGGCTCGCTGTTTATGTTTACATGCACGTACAAATACATAACCACATGTGCATATGTATGTGTATATTTTTTGTGTTTTTGCCAACATTCTGCACAATATTTTGAATTGCAATTTGTCAGAAGTTGTGGGCAGCGGGATCACTAAATGTTGCAAATCGAAACTATAATCAAACCCTGATAGAGACTTCGGTAGTGTAATTTAAACAGGTTTTTAATGATTGAGCAGATAATGCGCAATATTAAAACCAGAACATATGAACTTACCCGCCGGCAATGAGATGAATCAAAGTATCACGTTGGTTTTGGGACATAGTCGATGTGCTCCACTGTATGTTTGTAAAAGGATGCGCACTTGCTAGGCAATTTGGGTCTCCTAGCGTGTTCACTTAACGTACAGCGAATATAATGAGGGGCGCCTGTGGCGCCACAATCGCTCGGGGAGCGCTGTAATTTTCGGCGCGGCCCGAATAATGCAATTATTCGTTTTTCTTTGCGTCTGTGAGCTATTATTTTTGTGCAAAGGTAAGTGCAATTGCACAAAATATGTTGTGTTTTTGTTGTTCAAATTATGGCGACGTTTTTCTGCGTTTCAAGTTATGCAACTACTTTCTCGTATTTCTTATCACAGATAACAAAAATGCGGACTGTGCCTCATATGTCACTATTCATTAAATTCACTTGATTCATGTTTTTATTTGGACGAAACTGTGTTCAATGTTTTTACAATAACTGCGGAATATGCGTTTAATTTCTGCTCGGCGACAAACATGCACTTGCACCCAACCCCTCCTCAACAATTTGGTACTAAATTAGAGCAGGACGTAAAATTATCGATTTTTCATACAGATTTAATACTGAAATAAATCGAAATCTATTGCACCACATTGCTTTAAACAGCACTATCGATTATGTAGCATTCGGCTTTGAGTGGAGTGAGTTTTGGCGGGAATGTGATATATAACTATTTTTACTACATGTCATCTTACACATCAAATGCGAACGAAATTTCGTTGAGCATATTAAACATAATATATTCATTCTTTTGTCCAAACTGAAACAAAAACCGTAATATTCAATCCATACCAACATCGCAAAAATGCTAACCAATATTTTGTGAAATGAGAATAACACTAACATACCTCCAAAAAAGAAATCAACAAAAAAGGCAATTAATATATAAAAACTCGAAAATAGTTGCTTGTGTTTGTTTTAATTGTGAAAATTTAGGAAAATAGCTGTAGATATGGCTTGGAATTGTGTTCTTTATTTGAAAACTTTAAAATCATAACAACATTCATGTAGTATCACGTAATTTAATAAATAACTTACAATGGTATTTGTTAGTGGTTGTGTCGCATACAATAGATTGTATAAATATATATCTATATCTGTGACTCACATAGCTGATTATTTAATATGTAGTTTAGGTACGGAAACATTAATAAGTAAAATCAATCACGCACCTGTGCATTGTACTTAATTTACAAAATATGTATATTTAATCTTCTAGTATATTCGAGGCGAGCTAGTTAATATCTATACAATAAAACTAAATGCTTTGCTTATCTAATGTGCATCCTCCATTGAAAGTGTTTTTTTTTTCTAAATGAAAAAAGTTATGTACTCATTTGTGTTTTTTGTGAGCGATTGTAAACGATTGTTGTATATCGTGTGGTGCATTTTTCTGAATGTGCGACCTGCTCAAATGGCTGACATATTGACAGATTTATGAATATATAATGTTTGCATATTTCATTTCATCGTCTACAACATTTTCTTCAGTTGATATATGGTATTTATGAGGGCTAGCGGACAATGAACCCAGATTCAAGCTTTGTGCAGAACTTGCGAATATATAATGTGGACAAATTTGGAAGAGCATTAGTTTGCAAGGCCAAAAAACCAATAGTTCAAAAATCGGTAAGCCTTCCCTTCATTGCTTCATACCTGAAACGTGCCTAAAGTGTATTTTATATTTAAATAAATAGATAATGTTTTCAAAGGACATTCAGTAAATACAGTTTTGATTGATTTAATGCATCGAGTTAATTGAAGGCAGATATATTTTTAGTTAGCCCTCTTTCCTGTAAATTGTATTGCTATTTTATATTTATCATATGCTTGTAATCGTTTTATTGCTAATATTTTTTGCTGTTTGGGGCCAACTTCATTTTGTATATATATGTATATATACATATATATATATATATATATATATATATATATATATATATATATATATATATATATATATATATATATATATATATATATAATAATAATAGCATAAAATTCAAGTGACTCCCCTTCTTAAAGCAAGAAGTACTATTTCTAATCAATTTTGTCTTTTTTTTTATAGATATTAAGTAAACAAATTTTAAATTTTTTATTGCATCCAATAAGGGTAAACAAAAATTTAAATTATCAGTAATCGCCTGTCTGTATTTGGGAAAGGGTAATGGATAGACCCCACAAACGTCTACTTCAGTTTCTCCCAGGTCCGTTTTTTTTAAAGAAATATTTAAAATTGTACATAACTCCAGCATTTGAATCGCTCCTTTAACGGTTGGCTTCAGGGTATTTAAAAGTCGAGCGGGATAAATTTATTTACGTATATATTTGTATGGCCTATTTAAGTTTGCTAGTTTTGCTTCTTATTTGAGCTCTGGTGAGGTTAATTAAAATTACAACAATATATGAATGAAAGTCTCCCAGCACTATATTTGAATATCATCACTTTCCACATAGAATGTGTTCGGCCTAAGGATTTTTTTGTAAAAATTTAATGCAGCTGATGATTATGGCATATACAGCTTCTTTATTTTGAATATTTTTAAAAGTTTATTACCGCCTACATTGCATTTAAAAGATGTCTCGTTTTTAATACAGTATATTCGTAGATTTCTTCAACTGGGTTTCGGCTCAAAATGGGACTTTAAAGTATTGTAATCGTAAAATAAGACATAATAGCGAAGCCTAAGTCTTTAATTTTTGAACTATGTCTGTATATATAATTTTCGGGTATAATTTCACATTCAAAACTATACGCAAAAATGTTACAGTTCAGATCACTTACCACCTAATACGACTAACTAAAAATCATCTTCAGAAAAATGGGAGGCTCGCAGTCTAGAGAGTAGAGTATCAGTGGAGCCGGGTTTCTAACTTGTACAATAAACGTACCAATATAGAGTTAGTATAAATAAATCATCATCATTATTATTGTTACCAGAAGAAAGCTTTTTGGTTGTGAACGAAGACAATTATCATTGCAGCGTGGCCTTTTATCCATCAGGGTCCCAACCAAGCAAAACCAATGTTCCAAGGGACCCCCTTGAGCTACTTTTTTTTGTTGAGAATGCCCAATATTTTGTTTATCACATACTTTGGTTTGGGATCCGCTTAGAGCTTCCCCATGTCCGGCTCAGTTGGACTGATCGGTGCCATCTCTACGCTGTCCAGCAACGGAGTCTTCTCCTCGCTGCAGCTGCTATCGAGTGCGTCATCCATTTCCATCACAAAAATTCGTGATAGCTCGATGCCACTTGGAGTTCGTCGTGAAGGCGACTCATCCATTGAACTGCTGTCCTCATTGCTGCTGCACCGATTCATTTGGCCGACGTCAGGAGACTTTGACTTAGACGGCGTGGAATAATTGTTCAGCTCGCTTGTGGTGCAGTTGAGAGTCGGATTGTTGGCAGTTGGGTAAGCGGAGGGAATTTTTGCAAAATTAGATTGGCAGGGCAAGGTGGCCAACGAAATGTTCTTCGTATTGGTCGTCTTAATGTGATTGATAGAGGAGCTGCTAGAGCTTAGTTGCCGGTGCTGTGAGCGTTTGCCTGCGTAAAGTGAGGGAGGCGGAGGAGGAGGCGGTACTTTCTTCTGTAATTGCTGCTGCTTGTTAGCGATTACATGTGGCTGTGACTGTTGACATCCATTGGATGCTGCAGATGACGATGAGGCATTATTGTCGTCGTTGAAGCTCATTTCGTCCTCCGAGGGACAGAATTGGTCACTGCTGATGTTCGTGTTGTTGATGGCCGTTTGTTTAAGTTTCACGAGACTAACAAGATGACGTTCCGAATGCGATTTCCGAGAGTCCATTACCCGCAGATAATCTAAACTTTCTCCAAGATCCTCGCTCTTGGAACTACAATATCTACGACCACCGACCAGCCCTCCGCTATTGCCGCAAAAGCTGGTCGTTATGATTAGTCCTTGTCCCAGCTCCACAGCTTGCTTGGAGCCGTTTATCTCATTGATAGAGCCACCGCGATTAAACGATTGGCGACTGTGGCTGCGACTGCTCTGTGATGAGCAGCTGCCACTGTCGAAGTGATTGTCCCGCAGTGGAGAAGGGGAAAGTCTTAGCGAGTGATTGGGTGAGTTCTCGAGCAGAGACTCATTTGACTTGGCGATACGATTCTTGCGATAGAACTTGCTGTCGCGCCACATTGTTTGGCGATTGCTGCTGCTCGATCCGGAGGCAGTGGCTGGACGCTGTAGCTCGATGTTGTCATGGGCCGTGGGGCTGTTGTCGTACACAGTCGACTGGCTGGAGGAGGTCTTGCTGATGCGAAACGAGGCATGGGTAAGCTTCTTATACTTCTCGCTCTGCAGGTTGACGCGATTGTCCGAATGGGTTCGATCAGCAATGGGCAGGAATGCGTTGTCGATGCGACGTTCCTCCTCCAGGGAACGAAAGGCTAGTCGATTTGCGTGCTTCAGATGCTTGTCCGATCGTTTTCCTGGTGACATGTCTTCGAAGGAGCTAACGCGATATTTTTGAGAGAACACTTCGATCATGCTCGAGCGTTTGGATGGGGATGTCGTATATATGGAATTCTGATCGTTGACAAGTATCTTGGGCGGATCGAACTGCTGCTGCTGTTGTTGTTGGTGGCCTGGTGTCTGGGACTGGGAGTATAGATTGCCAGTCGAGGCCAGGGATGAGTTGCTTGAATTGCTGGTAGCGGTAACAAAAATCTTTGGCGAGAGCGATACCGGAAACTGTTGGGGCCTTATGTTGCCCATAGAGCTCGACGACGTGGAACCGCCAGAGCAAGAGCCCCCCGACAGCGCGTCATCTATGTTGAGAAAGTAGCTGGGCGAGTTTTCGCGGCAAGGCGACGATATGGCAGAGTCTTGCGAAACCATACTGCACGGTATGGTTGCCAGTTCCAGGCAGGTGTCGTTGCCCGCCGTCGTGGTTGCTATAATAATATCCTCTACGCCTTCATCGATGGGTGAGGATATGGACTGAAAGCTACTTAGACGTAGGCTCGAGCCAATTGAGAGATCGTTGTCCGTGAGAGAGCCAAAGGCAGAGTCTTGTGATGGATTGCTGCGTCCATATTTCAGGCATTTTAGTGAATACTCCAGCCGTCGGCTTTTTGAGTTCTTGTAATTACACATATCCGCTGTAAGCTGATGATTGAATGAAGCGCCAGCCGAAACGCTTGATGTGGAACAGTGGGCGTGAAGACTGGCACCATGGGTGCGAAGAATACTCGAGCCGTTTGCTAACTCTTGACTCTTTTCCAACTCCACCTCCGCCTTTTCCTGCCCTTCATCGAGCAAATCATCCTCGTTCTCGGTCTGACCCTTTGAGGTCAAGCTATTGGCACTGCTACCGCTACAATTGCCACCGAGTGGTCCTTCAGTAAGGAGTACATTTAAATTGCTTTGACTGCTGGTGCTGCATCTTATGGTCGGCTGTTGGTTGTACCTCTGATATTCGTTTTCCTGGTCGTCAGAGTGGGCGGCATAATCGCAGTAATGGATGGGCGACTCTGTCGGCTCATAAGGCTGTCTATTTTGCGTGCACGTGAACAATGATGTGGTGGAGGAAGTGGCTTTGTCATCCTGTAAGTGCCTCTGCCGGTAGTATTCCATGCTATGTTGCACAGTGTCGACGACGACATCGAGTAAACCCTCCTCTGAGTCGCTTGATATGTCAAATGAGTCCATGGTACGGCTGATGCTGTATATAGAGTTGATTTGAATGCAAAGAGCAGAGATAAGATTGAAATCAATTAGAAGGTATTAGTTTTGAGTGTGATACACGCTACGTTGATCATTCCATCTTATATCTTCATCTGTTTTTAAGTATGTATGCTGTGTAGATGTTTTTTAATTGCATCCTTTATTTACTTATATTGTGTTTAAAACTATGAGTGATTGTTCGAGTTATACAATTTTTAAAAAAGATGGAGTATCTTTTTCCTAATTGTCCAAAAATATTCCATAAAAAAAGGTTTCCAAACGGTTTTAATAGTTAACACTTTTATTTCACAGCAAGCATTGTTGTTGAAATTTAAATTTATTTTATATGTATCCTGCGAATTTATGTAAAATGCTGTTCTAATTGATCGAATATTGTTGTTATTTGCTGTCTATATTTAAATATTAACCTTTAAACAGATACTTTCGTGAATGCCAAAAATATTAACGATTAAATAATTAAGCTGAGTTTGTTAAAAAGTTAAGAGTCTAAAGAAGGAACAATAATCTAATAAAAAATTAATATTTCGAATCAACATCATTTAGAGAACCATATTTCTTTAATGCATATATAAAAATAATACGGCTACATATGTAGAATCATTAGGAGTTATTTTGTTATTTACAATAAATTGCAGCTATTATTTTTTCAATTTTATTCAACATATGAGCTCATTTGAATCTGGACATCAGACTGCTGCATCCACTTCTTTCTATATAAAATCTAGAACTATTAAAACCATTTGCAGTTTGTTGTTAAATATAGGATTTCGACATTAATTTTGGTTAAACAGTTACTTCACATTGAAATTCAGTTACATTTTTATATACTACACACGCGATTTGTTCATGCAAATAAAGAAGAAAGATTTTGTGATTTCTTTATCATTATTGAAAAGACTGAAAAGCGTTTAGCACGATATATATAGTACATACATATAGTAAGCTTATTGAAAACGTAATTTAATCACAATAGAGCTGGAAAATATGAAACTGCTAAAAATAGCACACAAAGCATTTCACATGATACGTGCATTATGAGTAAAAGTATAAGCTTAAATCATTTATCTCATGAATGGGGGAAAGCTGAAACAATGTGGGAACTCGGTCGAGGCACTGTTTCATCTTGGTCCTTGTCCGTGAAACATTCGACTTAGCCAGTGCATTATATTTGGTGGGTATGGTTGCTTGCTTGCTGGGTGTTCGAGGTGGCAGTAGTGGCCTAGGTTTTTTTGTTTAGCATAATACTTTTTTTTCGCCACTTACCACATTTGTTAGGGTCTGACCAATATTTGGCTTATTTTTCATTTGGCTGTATTTCAGTTTGTAATTCAATAGCCAAATGTTGAATCGCTTTAATAAAATAAAATTTTTATTTTGTCTATTTCTGGTTTAATTAATTGTACAGTTTTTACACGATTTTATAATGGTAATTATGTATTGAAGTTATCTGTGAGTGTTACCTCCATGGGGATATATTTATCTGTTCTGCTTTGCTTTGCTTTGCTTTAAGCTAATTGAGGTTAGTACATTCGAAAGACTTCATAGGGCGCAGGTGGTAGTACACTGTAGTTTAAACGGGTTATGTAAATAAATAAATGCAAAGAATGAACTTTTAAATCAAAAGGAAATGCGTATAAGTAAATTAAAGCAAAATGGATACATCTGATCGCGCAATAGGCGCCGTAGAAGATAAATGTAAAATATATACCATATTTCTTAAATTTAAATATATGTGTGTATGTGCGACTTTTATGGGAATTATTGAATTAATAACTATAAAAAGTGATCGCAATAAGATATACATATGTAGATAACATATAGTAGTCTACACACTAGAGCCGCAAAACTAAAGATAAAACCGATGGTTTTATTTTGTAGCAACTGTAGTTTCATTATTAATCCATTGCCATTAAGCAATTCGAATCTGCTATACTTTTTATTGATTTATGTTTATATATATAAAACTAATTCGTGCCTTTTTCATTTACATGTATATTTTGTATTTTACTATTGATTGTAGTATAGTGAGTTTACATCCGTATAGTAGCGGAAAAACTTAACAGATCATGAAGGATAATTTTAGAGAGAAACACTTTAATCAAAAGATCACAGGGTCACACATCTCATTTTAAGATTATTTTATTTTATTAACTCAACAACTAAGCTCTTGACTTAGGTAAGAAGATAGACACCATACGCATGTAATAAAATAAAATAATTGACTTTTTAAAATTATTTTGCTTATGATGAAATAAAGAACTTATATTTTTTATTTTAAGTTGAACGAGATGATGTTCAAAATAAAAAACATTTTCAACAACAAAACTACATCTGTAGGTATTTTGTTTATTTTATTCTTTAATAGGTCGTTTGAAAACTTTACAATACTATCAATAACATCGAAGAGCCATAGTTTTGCAGCTCTATTACACTCATATTTCCATTACTGTAAAATTTTGCAAAGTAGTGGAATTTGGAGATCGCAGCGTTAAGGTACGGATATGTTTGCAATTCAAAAGGATATACATATGTACATTGCATACTATATATTATATAAACAGCCAAGTATTTATTTTAGTTCAATATTCCTACACATCAAAAACATGCACTTTTATGAACAACACGAATAAAGTTACAACAAGATTTTGAACTATACATTCATAACTGAGTTATTCTGATAATTTGTTAAATACACTTTAATAGTGCTCCTCTGCACAGAAAGTCTAGGATATTGTTTGTGGATGGAATGCATTAGGAATGTGCGCTCAGTAAGCGACTATACACTATTTATAGGCAAGCTTTGTAAATTTTGAATTTCGTTAGTAGAAAGTATGACATTAAAGTTTGTAATTAAAATGATAGTAGACCTATCTATAGTATATATGTATGCCAAATGCGAAATAATTAGGAAATTTTGATTATAGTATATAATTTGAGACAACAACAATTTATATATGTATGTATAAACTTCATCAAATTATATAGTTTAGTGGCGGACTTTATTACACTTGGTGTCTTTTGTTGTGAAAATGTTATATTTATGCTATGCCCTCACATAAAATCAATAACTAGACAAAGATGATGTGTATAGGTATACTCCTTAGACAGTACTTACCCGGGTCTTTGGTCACGTGGCGTCGACGGCGGTGTGCAGGGGGAGCTCGCCTGGCTGCATGAGTTGCCGAGGGAGGCACACTGACGTTTCTTTACGGCATGGAGCAAATTAAGCGTACTTCTACTTAGGCTCGGCTTGATTGTCTGAACGAGAATGGGAGACATATCTTGAGTATAGTTGCACTGAGTTTTCTGCTTTTACTTACACTGAAGCAGGGTCCACGCAATTCACGCAAATCAATACTGCGAAAAAGATCACAAAGGACTAGGTCCTCGACGGAGGGGCACACACCGCTTGGCGGCTCAAAAATAAGGCCCAATATTTCTAAAATCTGTGATCACAATTTTGAAGCAATTAGTTGCATATCAAAGGGAGACTTAAATGACCGGACCTACCTGCCCAATTTGGGGATAATGTTGCAGCTCCATTTCTAGCACACGCATGGACGGCTTCGGCGTGGTCAGCTCCTGCCCTGTGCACATTTCATAGAGAAGGTGGCCAAAGCATACAATGTCGACATTTTCGATTTCTGGTACTGCCCGCGACCACATGACGGCATTTATACGCGAACTAAGGCCCAGCAGCCCGTTCTCCAAGCCTGACAGCCTGCCAAAATGAAGATCAAGCAAAACGCATTGGCAAAACTGACAAGAATATAGCATTGATAACAGTCCCCTTCCCCCCGTAGTTACAATGAAAAATTGTGCGCATCAGAAGTGGGGAGGATTTCTGCATCTCCGCCGCATGGAAAGTAAGTTTTGCTTTCTATTGCTGCTTTGAGCAAGAGAGAGTTAAACACTGGCAAGACCAGCCGAACTTTCATTTTAACGTTTGTTTAAGATATCGAGACCTTTTGGTGGGTCAGGTTCTGTGATGCTCAGAAATTTTAGCCATGAAAAACCCATTTGGCTGCAAAATCGTTGACTGCACCAACATTGGCGAATTATCTATTTTAGTCTTTGGCTATTAATTCTCGATTGACTGCACACTAACCTGGCTGCTCCGTTTTGTAAAATAATGTTACCGCTGTGTAGGTGACCGTGAAGCGCAAAGCCGCGTTCCTTTAGGAAGAGCAATGCCTCCAGAATCTGACGACCCAAACGCTGCACTTGGCTGACGGGCAGTCCATTTGGCTTGCGGGTATATTTTCGCGCCCAGGGCTCATTCCATTGCGCCTGTGGGGTATAAATAAATACAAAAGCAATCATACTCTCGCTCGAGTGAATACCCAAACTGTACTTGCCTTGTAGATTAGATCCTTGAGACTGCCGCGAGAGTTGAATGGTGTAACAAAACACGCATAGTTATTTGAAGAGTTGCGCAAGAAGCCCAGGTCCAGTACAGGGTAGATATACGGATGATGAAGTGAGCCCAGCAACTCCATTAGTATCTCTCTAGGACTCTCACCGGGTCCCATATCCTCGAATGCTACACAATCAGCTGGCAAAGGCAGTAGTGTCAGCAGGCGGTCCGTGCGTACCTGGCGAAAGCAATAATGCAAATTTATGTTAAGCACTAGACAACATAAGGCCCAAGTGCTCACCGATGCATCTGTGACCAGAAACCAGTTCTTGCCATGTCGCGATCCAATTTCGTCCAGATGTGCCATCACTTCGTAGCGTCCATTAGCACTCTGAATCCATTCCTGGGTGGTGTTAAGGGCCCGTTCCCGTTGCGCTCGCTCCCGAGGACTTCGCTCGACGATGCCATTGCCACTATCGAGCGCTGAATACTGGTATTTGATGTTGGGCCTGAAAAAGTGATCAATGGCCATTGTCATAAATTCCGATTTCATCGTTTTATAGTATTGGCTACTCCGAGCAACGATGGGAAGAGCGTATATAGAGGGAAGGATTTTAAACAAACTCTATTTCGAATCATCTTATGTTTACAAATGTGGTTGATGTTTGGATTGATAACAGATTTTTTTTCAATGCGACCAATTAATTTTAATTTATTTTATCATACTTGAACCTAGCAAGTATTTTCCGCTAAATAACCTGATCTTTCCCAATTCGTCGTACCCCATAAACAATATGCTCACTCACAATAACTAATAAAATAAATTGCCTAGCAGCCGAGAAAAGTACCTTTCGAAAGTTCGTAAAATCAATCCCAAGAGACAAATGTATTGGTATGGTTAAAACCTATAAAAAACTATCACCAAACAGTCAAAGACGCAGCGGAAACGGAAGCAGAACAATTACAATTCATTCCATACAAATTTATTCTCGCGTTCCCAGAGCATGTAATGCTGCTGGAAAAGTACAAGATGCGCTTGTTGTGCCACATGGAAATGTTCATGTGGATATAGTACGTAGGAAACAGAAAAGTGTCTAAAAGAACATATTAAGAGCTATACATATAAGAGAAATTATTACTGCAACTTAATTGTGCAGAGGAGCAAAGAAGCAGAAGAAAAAGAAGGGTTAAATGGAAAAAGATAAATATGTTGAGGACACGAAAAGTCGATGATTTTACAGGAAAGGACGAAAAGTTTGGTATTTTTCTCTAAGCTCCGTCAAGTATTAATAATTTGTTCGCTTATGGGCTTAAAACTTGTGTAAAAAGGTTTACAGGTTCGGCGCATAAAGCAATTCCCATATTACTCGTACCAAAGTCTCAGTTGGAGTTAAAAATATTGGACAAATTCAACCCAAAGTGGACACATACCGTTGTTTTCCCTTATGCGTTTCTCAATGAATCTTCAGTCTCTCAATGTTTTGTTTTAATAGGCGACTAAGCTTGGTACATACCCTGTTCTATATATCCTCTTCTAAGCAACACATAATCTTTTGCATATTCATGTTCCTTCCCTGCATACGAATTAAGACAATCGACTGAATCCACAGAAATTACATTCACCAAACCGAATCGTATCACCTATGTAAATTTGATGTCAAAATAAAAAATATATATAACGTCAGATATTTATGCCTCAGTATTTACACGGTGCACTCAGCTGTAACATCCAATCTTGTGTCTATTTTAATTAAACGGCTAAGACAACCTTGAAACCATAGTGGACCATAATCACAAAAAAGGTGATCCCTTGCCATGTTTGGCCAGCCCAACTCAGCACTTTTAAGTTTGATGAATCGCATGCCTCTGCATAGCAGACCGACGATTAGCCACGAGGGATGAAAGCTCCGCAGGGTAATTGTGCCATGCAAATTTTTAGTAGGATGTCGGACATTGCCACTACAGAGAAATCTCTGACATGGGTTTTGAGCACACATAAAATAAATGAGCACTTAAAATCCTCTCCATCAAAACTGAGCGAAGGTTAAGTAGGTCGGGCTAAGTTTATACTTATGCGCAAAAGGGGCCAAAAGGGGCAAAATACATACATAAATATATACATATGTATAGACTTTTAGTGATTAACTGAATTGATTTTACTTTCATTATATTTTATTAATTACATTATTGCACACAATATTATGGGACGGCCCGAGATTCGTTGGCATTTTAATGAGGTAAGGGGTTTTTTAGTTTAATACATTTTTTATAGTTTAATACATTTTTTATATGGGAGTTCCAAAACCGTAATTGGTTTCATTGACCCAATTCTACACCAAAGAATATTTAATAAAGTCCCGTGTTTCCTTATATTTCTCTTGTATACATACATATGTAAGCGCAACAAGTGAATTTACATTCGATTGGAATCATATTATGAAATCGAAAACATATTTCATTTTATCGATTTTTATTTATTAGCTAATCAATATAAGGTTAATTCATGTCTATGCCATTGAAGGACGGCAAGTACTTATTGGTTTTATGTTACTGATTGAGTGACTTGTGCAATAACCAAGCAGTGTAAAGCAGTTGAGTGAATTGTTGCTGTTGTTGAATGTCATATTAAAGAAATTATTTTAATTTCAAAATTGCTTGCATGTTTTTCTATAGAGTTAACAAATATATTGATTTTCATATTTTTGAACAAAGCAATAGTTTAAAAATGATTTTTAAAAAGTAATTCAGCTTTGGCATGGTGAAGCATTCTTAGCGGCTTATGTTTCTAAAAACATTATGTATTGTTTGAATTGGTTTTAAAAAATAATATTTTCGTGAGATGCTTTAAAAATAAAAACAAAAACCGGTTATCATATTACAAAAATGTTGATTCTTGAAACGACACTGTCCATGTGTGCATTACGGGTATATAAAAAAAACAATTCACAGCTGTCATGTTATCTGCAATGCGTCAGTCAAAAATTGCTGCAAGTAAAAGGAAATATTTTAAATTTGGCCTTAGATTTTGACCACTTTGTCACGGTGTCGCTGCGGCACACTTAATTTCTTATAAAAGGGTTTTGGCCCTTTTCAACATACTTTGTAGTTTAATTGGTAAATTTACCACCACGTTTGTGTTTGTATTTGATTTTTGTATTGATTTTGCTGTTCTAGCCGTTAGGGTGTAATAAAAGTGAACACACCTAAAACGTAGCTAAAAAGAATGCGAGTATTTTTGCTTTTTAGATTTCCGCTTTCCATAGAGTGTCGGGGTTTACATATGCCTCGCAAAATTGGGGTAATATTAAAAGCAAAGCTCTACCGTGTTGCTCTTGTATAAAGGGGTTATGTAGAATTCGATTTAAGTGTGGCACCGATATGTTTAGGTCTGTAGAGGCTTCAGTTGTGGCTGACGATGAAACTCTTAAGTTCAAAAGGCAATTAAACGTGTCCGAGTGTGACATTTTATTGCATACTTTCCAGCGCATACACACTACTGGGCATTCGTTAGAGAAACGTTTCAACAACCACATACATTCCCACCTGATAGTTGAAAAATACATTTCTAATATCACTAAAACATTGAAACCACTATAAACTTGGTAGTATAGTCCTGAAACTAATTTATACATATCAGAACGTATAAATGTCCAGAGAGTGTCAGTGCTGGTACCTGCACTAGTTGGAAATTTGTTAAAATATAAAACACACTCATTAAAATTGATGCTTTATACTATTATCCATTAGAAATCCGATTAGGTTTTGCTTTCGAATTTGTTGTGGTGCATGACAAGTGCGATAATAAATTATTTTTTTAAATTGAATGCGAATTTGGTATATAGGTTTTGTTACTATGTGCATCTGTGGAACATTGAAAGCATCGTAAACGGTACTAGCTGTTATTTAATTGGCATGCAACATGTTATTGGCAAAAGCAAATAAGTAGAAACAATTCTAAATTGGAAATTGCATACTAACCAAATGAAAAAAAGTATAAAACATAAAAGCAGCAGTACAAAAGTCATTTAAATTTATACAAAAAAAAAAAAAAAATATATATATATATATATATATGTGATCAATCACTAAAGTCAGGCCGAAAGATTGTTGTTTATATGAGTTTAAAATAAATGTGGGAACAGTTGTCATTTAAAGGGTTGTAAAGAGTATACAAATGCGAAACTGCTTAGGAAAAATTGGAAAATTTTAATATAAATAGAAAATGCAACCTTGTTGTTAGTACTGAATCTATGGTATCTCTACTTCCGGTTTCCGCTGGCATCGATTTGCTAAAAAAGAGCCTAGCAAGATTGTCTAACCTCGCGCTAACCAGTGGCGATTTCTCCGAGTGCTCGGACTGATCTGAGTTATCTTGCTCCGAGCTGGCCGAACGATTGCTGTAAATAGAAGGATACAGGATGGATGCCGTTGTTGTTGGTTTTCGTGTTGTTGTTGTAGTGGTTGTTGTTATTGTTGCACGGAGTAAGAAGAGGACAAAGAGGATAAACAAAAATTACAATACATAAATGGGAATATACATATGTTAGAGCATTGAATAAAAGCTTGTTTTTGCAATGTTTAATTTCGATCAAAATGAAAAGAAAAGTGAATTTTATTAGTTTTATGTTCGACAGTTCTCCCACGATATGTATATATATATATATATATGTAAATATATATATTAAGTAGATATTTAAGCCCACAAACCATTGAAGTTATTTATCAAAACTTCGCAGAGATTCTTTCATATTCTCATAAGTAAGTGGTCGGTATTTGAAGCTGCGTCGAACAGGAAGCCAACATTTTATATTTGTATTTATTTACAGGTTTCATCTCTGGTGTGCCCACAACCATTGAAGTTATTCATCAAAACTTTTCAGATTTTCTTACATATTTTTATAATGAAGTTGTCATTACTTAAAGCTGCCTCGAACAGGAAGACAACATTTTATTTTTATATTTATTTACAGGTTTCATTTCTGGTGTGTTGTTGTATTTGTTTTTGTTGCTGTTTTTTGCTCGGGTTCGACTTTATGTTACTCACCTACTGTAGATTTGGCGACGATTAGCGGCTGTGAGCGCTGATACATCGAACTCGATGGCTGAGTTGGAACGTTTCAGTCCATTTTGCTTGTGCAGCTTCTTCATGATGTGCTTCACTTTCCTAAATAATTGTCGGCCATTACAATTATATTGATTGGGTATGTTGAGTTGACGAGAATTTTAAAGATACATATTGAGCGTATTATAATTAAGTAAATGGAACAAGTCTTACAAAAAGTATTGCAAAATCATACTTTCAATGGATTGCCGTCGCTGATTCCTCTGATCTACACCTTCAGCAATTAAGTAATGCTTACAGTTTTTCTAGTTTTATCTATTCTCTCTCTCAGATGATGTAGAACTTGTAGATGCAGACTTAACTGACTACTTTCCAAAATCACTTTGCACGAGTTTCTCGTATATATGTATAGATTATAAGGTTTTCATCTTTCTTTGTTAAAAAAGCCTAAATATATGAGCTATGATGATTTTATACGACCTTGTATATAGCTTCTCACCTCAACGTTGACCTTACCAATTTATATGAAAGAAATTTCAGTTTAATTTGTATATTTGAAAAACAAAAGGGATTAAACATTGAAGCTGAATTATGTTTTTTTTTTGACCAGTCTCATAATTTTGTGAGGCTCTTGCAACACTTTCAGTTTAGTTTTGGGAAATCAACTCACTTTTCCGGCACCGGTGGCCTCACGAACGGATCATGTCCAGTAACAGAACTGTTCCGGTTGTCGATGCGTTGCTGCTGGGCGGCTTTGTTGAATTTAAACATGGTGAGGGACTTTTTGGCGTTGGCTACTTCGCAGACTCTGACAATGATTTTTCGGCTGCTCTTAAAGACCGTATTGAGGGTCTTGTAGACGAAAATTGAGACGGACTTGGACGCGTGCGGGTTGTGGTTGTGATGGTGATGTGGGTGTGGGTGCTGATTGGGATGTGGATAGGAATAGGCCTCAGTTAGACCTACGGGTTGCTGCGCGGGCAGTGGAGTGGGCAAGGACTGCTGCTGCTTTAGTTGATAAACGGCACCATGTACCGATGCCGTGTCCTGTACGATCTTAGATGACTGGGAGCGCGAGATAGCGTTCTGAGCTGGTAGTTTATAAGGATGCTGCTGCGGCTGACAGCAGATGATGAGGTCCTCGGTGAGCGGCTTGGGCGCACTGTCTTCGCTACAAGTGTCCTGAGAGGAGGCGTCACGGATGTGTAATTATAGCGCATGTAATTTGGTATTTGTAGAATGTTTCAATAAAAATTTTAGAATGGAAAAGAAAGAAATGGCCAATAAATTGAGGTGTTTTAAATCCTAGACTCTTTTCAAGTACAGAAAAATATAAAATTAAGAATTAAAATAACATTAACATAACATGTGTGTTAATTGCAAAAGCGAAAAATCAATATTAAATTATGGTGAAAATTTTTGGTTTTTATTGCATTCGAAGCTTTTTCTCTGAAGCCCATTGCACGTTTATTTGTGTGGTTTTTGGTGATTGGTGGGCGGTTAGGCGCCTTGCAGATTTTAAATAACAATCAATAACGTTAAAACCTTATATTGCTTGCATTTTCGTATAAGTATTGAAGCAAAGTCTTAATATTCGATGACAGCGAATGTATAAGCTAAATTGGTGAGCGAGTCGTGATTGTTTGTGAATCGAAATTGTAGTCGAAAAATAAATAAAACATGCTCTGAAATTTTCTAAATTTTCAACCAACTAATTGCAGCCAATATTTGTAATAAGCGCATATTTAGAAAAAATGTATAATATTTGATAATAATTTTGCATATTTGAAATAAAAGCATAAAAGATATATAACAAAATATTCATAACTTTAAGAAGCCAATCGATTACTTCATAGGTATTTATGTATCGTGTGTGATTGAAATTAAAATTTGTTAACATTTTCACTTGATGTGATATTTTTTGCTTGCTCTTCCAAAGTGCTGGATTTTGGCTATGCTTGGCTTTTTAGATTGCTTTACAAAATTTACCTACCGATTACTCAAAAACTGTTTCAAAACTCCAATGCATGATACCTAAATCGGGTGCGACACCGAAGATCGATTATTTCTATTATAGTATATTTCAACTGTCTATTAATACATATACGCCAAAAAATAATAAAAGTCTTAGGCCAATTAAAGCCATTTGTTAGTATGTGCAGGGTCCTTCGCAAATACTGACAGTCCTGAAAATCTGAAATTTTGTAATAATACACATTTGTATGTTCAATATTTGTAAATAGGCACGCACGTGCTTGTGGTACGAGTATGAAGTTAATCGCTTTCCCGGTCTATTTTTAAAATTCATTTCTTCTTTTCGCATTTGCATGTAAGTCTGTTTCTGTTATTGTTGAGCGATTTAATCGTATTTATTTTTCTTTGTTTTACTTTCGACTAGAAAATTCGAAAGAAAAACCACCCAACTGTGCACAGACACACACGTATGTACATACATACATATATGTATAGTACATAGGTATTTAGGTATATACTACCATTCCTTAGCCACATGCCCTTACTGTTTTTATCTAATCAAGTGCGACGAATGCTTAGTGTTTGTTTTGACTTCGCAGTTGCTTTTAAGGCTTATTGATTTTTTTCTAATAACACACAAACTTACACATATACTTATATACATATGCGTATGTGTGTTTACTTAAAGGTGTGTTGCCTGTCTGGGTGGGGAGTTTTAACACTTCAATTCTGTTTCCCTAGCCATCCAACGGAATAAGGACCTATTATGTCAAGCTTCCATTGCATAATCCTCCTTATTGTGAATTTGGAATTACGATTTGTGCAAAATTAAATATGTGTATTTATATATTCATAATGTGTTCGAATCTCGGAGTTCTGAATTGATTGTATTCAATTTTTTAAAACAATTACCTTTTAATATATAGTTTATTTATTTAAAGAGACTCGGTCTCGAAAACCGAATAAGATTTGCAAGCTTCATGTTCGAAGTGGTTTTAAATCGCCATCGTACCCAATACACTTTATTCAAAGGTCAAAGTCATGAACGCATTCATATATCGTTTCATTATAATCACTAAGGCGGTGGTGCTACCGATTGAGAAGGTATCCAATTTAAAATCTGTGCCTCAATTCAAAATTAGTGTTACACATATGCCATACTCCACTATGTTTACCACAGACACGACTGCATTATGAAGCTTAAAGTGGATTTCTTAATTATAGTATTCGCACTGTCTGAAGAAATGCGCGCACAAAAGTCCGTTAAGCAGTAAAAATAAACGCGGCCACGTCGTTTGTTGGGTCGTCCAATAATGAAGGTAAGTTTCGAAAATCGTTTCGGTTAAAGCGAAAAGTATGAATTTTCTTTATTCCAGTCCAACATTCGTTCTTATGTAGGTGTGTATGGGGGTCTGGGTCCGGTCCGGTTGGCTTTTCTCTTTGCGTGTTCATATCGCGCAACCCAGCCATTTTGCCAGCCCCTTCGAGTCGGTATTGTGGGTGTGGAAGTATGTGTGCGTGTGTTACGTGGCTGTGAATATGTGTGAGAAAGTATATAAGTATGTGATGGGTCTAGTTCTGCGTATGTACCTTGGTGCCCTCTAACTGGATTATAAACATTGATTTTTAACTTTTTTAACAATTTCTCGACTGAGTCATTTTGTTGCCACTTTTTGCAATCCTGCTCGCATACCTATTTGTCCCCGTAGATTATTGTTTTTGTAGCATTTCGAGACATTGTGTTACTTGACAGCCAGAAGTTGCAGTAGCTTGAAGGTTCCTTTTTTCCATTATAAAGAAATCAAAGCAATCAGTTGTAAACTTGGAACTAATTGTCCGCTTTTGGTGCAAAATAAACAGCGAAGCTAGCTATAACTAGATACAATGTTATATTGCAGCAAGCCCGATATTGAAATACCCTGTACCCAAATAAATATACGCAGATTGTGCTAATAACGTTTCTTAGAACTTATTTGGATGAAATTTGAACCAAGAGTAGAGAATTATATATGAATTACCTGTGCAATGTGCAAACATTGTAAACTGGTGGGGGGAATTAACTCATGTTTCCTGGGGATAAGGAGACTCTACATACCAAGTTTGGTTAATGTGGGCTTAGCCGTTTCCGAAATCCAGGCGTTCATGCAGACAGACGGACATGTCTACATAATTTTTCTAGTCATCATATGTACATATCGTACATTAATGTCTGTTTATAGCATATATATGTATATCAGTTGGGGATATGTAGTGGCTCTACAGGGTATTTAAGAGTTGAGCAAGTTCTTGCTTTCTTGTTCTAAGTCAATATTTTCATATATTTATATGGAATGGAAAATGTTTTTATTTAATACTTTATCACAAAAAACATTTCAAAATGAATTGCTGCATTAATTGGAAAGTTATCTTTGTCTAGTGTCCGTTTGATTTGTCAGTCTTATTCTTCGGTTTGAATGCAAACTTTTTAGTTTTTTTTTTCATTTTTTTCTTCTTTGCTTTGGACATTGGAACTGTGTTTTGCGTGCAAATGACAGTTGCGTTCCTCAAAATTGTTGGCAAATGTCAGAGAAGAAATGGCAGCCAAATAAATGGTGACCAAACAGCCAGACACGCAAGCCAGTTGTCCTTTAACGCATCCTAAACCGTACGACCACCAATGTGTGTATGACCAGCGCCCTTTTATAGGCTGTACTTTACTGCCGGCTCCTTTCTCTACAGCGTCATTGTTGACCAAGTTTTTTTGGGTGTATTAGTTTGTTAGTGTTGGAGTTAGGGGTGGGAATCCATTGACCTTGTGCTATGAACCTAATGGCTCGTAGTCAGTCCAATTTCAGTTTAAATCATTCAGTACATTTGTGTATTTGTGTATGCCTATGCCCGCCGACCGGGGACCGAGCTTTGTCGCTTCCATGCATATGTCGCAATAAATTTCAGTGCACGAAACGTCAAAATATATTCGCTCGTGTACTGGAATAGACTGCGATTCACGTGGACAGGTGTGTGTGTGTGTGTGTGGGGGGGGGGGGGGGGGTGTCTTTTGTTGTTGCTATTTTAACAAGCTTAAGCGGTATGATTGCACGTTAATTGCTCGGTTTGACTGACATTCACATGTTTTGCGGAGGGTCGCATTGTTCCCAAAGCCCTAACTCAAGCAGTGTTTACACATCGACAGAAACACCCACGAAACCAAACTCCAAATTGGATTTCAATGCCAATAGAAGAAGTAAAGAGATTCGAAATGGTAGCAAAAACTATTAAAACTATATAACTATAATTATGGCTTTTCGCAGAAAAACGATTCATAGAACAAAAGAGTAGGGTTTGATCATCCATAGCTATTCTTCATTTCAAAAGGGTATCAGTGACGCTTCGATGTGAAATTTCGGAGTTCGAAGTTTAATTTCTACTCATTCAATCAAAATGAAGAAAGTTGTGATTTCATTAGTTTCTTATGGCTGAAAAATGCAGTTTTAACCAATTGTTTTTATCTGTTTCTAGGACTTTGCCATCAGTGCTGGCAGTCACAATTAACAACTTAGAGTATTATGTATGTATATTTATGTATAAGCAGCTTAAAGTGAACTCATACCTGCATCGTCTTATCCAGTATGCGATTACAATAATTCCACTCAATATTAAGCCTCCGAAGGTGCACCAAAATATAGTCTGCAAGGGCAAGAACAAATTCAAATAGTAAAATTTAGTTAACCTGAATAAAGAAGTAAGTGTGTCTATTCTTGTTTAGGAGATAGGGAGTAATTAGGGAGTATAGAGTTTATACAGCAAAGTATTTAACTACATTTTTTTCTATGCATAAGCTCGACTTTATACTTTTTTAAACATTTGGAAAAAAAACCTAACAACACTGCACTGTTTTAGGGAGCAGTTTATTTAATAAATATCAGAAAATTTAATATTAGAAAAATGAAATACTCACAATCCCGAAGTGCGTGTCAGAGTGTTCGCTTTGCCTCAGTTGCATCGCACGTATCTTTCATTTATGCTCGTTACAAATTAATTCTGAAATGAAAATAGAGATTATGACTTTAAGGGGTTGGAAATTTAGTGGCCAACATGCGTATTTAATCTTTCCGTTTAAGGTTGCTCTAAAAATAAGTATATTAATTTCACAATTTTTTCGAAAAAATTTTTTTTTTTTTCTGTTTAATCAAAGCATTGAAGCCGTGCATTCAGATTAGCACCTTAACAATACATTTTTCCAAATATAAAAATAGCCCAACCTCGAGCACTTCCGCGCGAGGATTAATAAGTTAGTGGTGTCTTATGCTTATCTAAGTGTTTTTTCGAAATAATAGCCTCTGATACGACATCAAATGAGTTGAGAACAACTGCAATATTAATTTGCAAATGCAAGCGAGCTCAAATTATTAGGCCGTGCTGCGATATCATATTTATTTATTTCATATAAATTGCTTAGATGGTCAACAAAAAATTAACTTACACCTACATAAATCTAAATCACGCAATAGCTTGAAAACTTTACCCTAAACAATCAAAATGCGAGCTGAATTACTTAATTAATATTATTAGTAAGCCATCCTGGGTAATGGCAAACAAAATTATGGCAACACGGTATTTCCTAGCCCACAATCTGGAACTTCACGTCGTTTAGTTGATTGAGGACTGCGATAAGTTGGGTTCCTTCCTGTGACAAAACTTTTGCACGGAAAACTTAACACGAAATTACGAAAATTACACAGAGAAAAAAAATCTTGCAGTTAGAAAATCATTTCAAACTATTTTTTCACTTACATGTAGAAATAAGTGTTGTTGTTGTTGAGAAAACACATGCCAGAGAAATTCAACATCAGTTCAGAAACTTCTTAACTTAAAGGCGTTGGTAATTAATTTCTCTGAGTGTATGCTCCGACGATTTTTTATTTCACTTAAGTGGTGCTTTTAATTGTTTCTATGATGTATGTGTGTAACAAATACATAAATACGTACATACTTATATGTACATAAGTGCCAAGGTAGCCGACTTTAAGTGGGCGCGTGTTTCCAGGCGATGTTACAACCCCACCATGTGGCATGGAACAATAATTAGAAGGAGACGCAGTGCGCAGGTCTATTATTAAGCGCTCTCAAGAGAGTCAAGCCGAAGAGGAGTGAACAGTATGCGTGCAATTTGCAATTATTAATGTTTTAATCGTGCATTTAAGAAATTAGTATTTCTTTATTTCGCTGCGTTTCTAAACTTTACAGTCGTACCTGGCAATACGAAACCGTTATGTTGCTATTAAGAAATCGCTTTACAACTAGTTTTTGTTTTTCGTTTCATATCAATCTGAAACTGTTAAGTCATCATTACCATAAATTTTATGAAATATGGTAACTTCTATTCTGTCTCCATTACATTTATGTTTAACATGTTGTCTTACACACATTTACAAACATCTGGGTTGTGGATGTGTGCAGTGCAGAGATGAGTCAAAGCAGCAACACCAGCAAAACTGGGGTCAGATCTTGGGCAGGGACTACATTTATGGGTATAAATTTCTCAACGTGGTTGTCCTCTCTCGGAGTGAGGAGAATCTGGATACCAAGTTTAGTTGTTCTAAGTAGCTCTTTAGAAATAGGTTAAACAATTCTTGATGTTTCTTGAAAAGTTGATGGATATTGTTGATTATCCTTTGCTCTCCTTATCTTAATCTTAATGGTTTATTTCCTTGATGATTAACTAGGATGTGTTCATATTATAGAATTCTAAAACTGAAATTTTAATTTTGTCACCTCCAGGCCTCAAAAAGGTAAAATCTTGTCGATTTTCGCTAATTGGCGCAGGCCATGACAAAGAAAGACGGCGGAATGGGAAATTAAAACGCGGCAACCCTCTACATATGTTTGTATATTTATACATAGGTCAGTTCCGCGTAAGTCTGCGCTGAAAATGGACGCCGGCAGGTGTTATAGAAAAGAACGTGGTCGTTGGCAATACCCTGACATTTATTTCGGCGCAAATGTTGGCGAAATACGGGTATATGTGAGAACGTGGTGTGTGTGGGTGTCGTGCTCAATTCGTGTTATTGCATTGAAGTGAATTAGGGAGCTCATTTTTATATTATTAAGGAGCGATATGTGATAAGCAGAGAGCAAATATGAGAAAGGTAAGGTGGCTGAAACCAATCAAAGGCCCATTTAATACAAAATAGATGCCTGCCAAGTCAGATCTCAGTGAGAGCATTGTAATCAAATAAATGTGCAATCAATAAATTTGATTGGTGTCAAAGACAGAACCACAAAGCAATAGAATAGCATACCATCGCATCACAGCTGCAAAAGCAAATGAAAAATATATGGGATTACGAGTATGTGCATATACTACAAGCCTGTGGTAACGAGGCAATGGGGGCAAAAGCTCTTTTTGGTGAATATAAAAGAGCTTCGCCTCCATGGCGATGTGGGGCAGGTCAAGTTGTTGGCGCTTCCGAAGTGTGCCTCAGCCCAAGCACCATATGCCGTTGTCAGCGTTTTTGCATTTGGTGCGTAAGCAGGCCACCAAACTCTTCCCGCCGGTATTTCGCAGACACAAATTGCAAAACCAATGCTGGCATTCAGAAATACTATCCAGGAAACAAAAGTGTTTGACGAAATCCCTTATCACTCTGGCTTCATTGATTGAAGTCCGTACAGAAGTTTTCTTGCAACACAAAAAACAGGTTTGTAAACCATATTTTAGGAAGTTCTTTCGAAAGTACATAAAATAAACTGAGATGGAAGGCATGGTAATAAAATATGTTAACAGAAATGGCCGACGTAAAAAGTGTTAGCTAGATACATTTGATATGTCGAATTTTAGTGGCAAAACAGGGTTTGTTTTGATTCTTTTTGAATTTATTCCGAAATTGATAAACAAACATATTCTAAGTGATATTCCTGCAACCAATTCTTTTCTGTACTTCTATGTAGATATTACAAATTTAAATTAATTGAATTAACAAGGTTTAATTATTACATGGAATCAACATATTTAGGTGGCCAAACTACCGAGAAATTGCTCATCTTATAATACAGGAATCCAACTATTGCTGTTGATTACCGATTGACCACTCTCTACCACTGTCAAAGATTAACTGACAAACGTTGGTAAAACCATAAATGGTATCCAAAAAATAATTACTTGTACGTGGAACATAAAAAGCACCCTGTCATAGGCAGTCCAAGCAAGGAAACATAGGGCAGAGATTAGCATATTGGCATACATATTAGGTCTACCAGCAAAGGTTTCTATGATTTTGACATTTTGCTGCATCATCATCGCTCAAAAATATAGGTATTGATCCAACTTTTGGATGGGGGAGAGGTCGGCTCTCAAAATTAACATGAAAATCAAATCAACAAATGAAACCCGAGCCCGAACGCCCTAAGCTAAATAAGGGAAGTAAATATCAAGCGAACTCAAGTCAAATACAAATGTTTGGTAAACAAAAACAAGAACAACGCCAGATATTGAGAAAAACAAGGAATGACGAACGGGACATTAAAGGACACACGCGAGGCGAAAAATCGCACACACAAAATGACATCTAGTATGTACTCGTACGTATTGTATGCCTAGAGGTTTTTTTTTCTACACTTTACATTTATGTCCCATATTCGAAGGCTAGATTGCTGCGAATATACATTACACCAGGAGGAGGCATGCGCACCCCCCTATGGGGCATAATAAATTAAGTATTGTATGTTGATTTTAATATATGTATTAACTTAAAAAGTACTAAGAATTAAGATTTTGAGAAGAAACATTGTAATAAATTCTAAAAACGAATTAAAACAAGAATGAAATGCTAGACCCGAGCAGGCTCAACTTTTAAATACCCTTTACCCAAAAACAAAAAGCAATAAACAGTTTTAATAGAATACATTTACATCAATATTGTCTATATATATATATATATATATATATATATATCGACAATATATATATATATATATATATATATATATATATATATATATATATATATATATATATATATATATATATATAACATTATATATAGATATATATTAAACATTTAAGCATTGATGAGTATTAAGCTGAGAAAATTGTTATTACCCCTTAGTTATTCATCAAAGCGGCCCTTGGGTGTGGGCACAGCACTCTAGCATTCCATTCTTGTTCGTTTTGCTTTTGTGGTATTTCCAATTGCTTGGTCAGATCTTGCTCTGGCTTTAAATCAGGTCAATTAAGTACGATGGGAAAAGGAGAATCAAAAAAAGAAGGAACCCCAACTATTGAACATGTCGTGCGCCTCTCGGCACTTTAACGACCTGTGTTGTACGAAAGGGCAATCGAATGGAAATGCGCGCACTTATTTCTAGCCTGGCCAATGTCCTTGAGTGAAATGCATTCCAATTGGCGGTTGGAATGGTAAGAAACCCGAACCATTCTGAATTTTATACACAGCTCCAGGGACGGCTAACGACCTCAGCATCCTGTGGTTGCACCTGCCTCTCCTGTCGCGCATTACATTACATGCAGCTAACACATTTATAATCGTAAAAGTTAGCATTCGTGTTCAATTTGCAATATTTGAGCCACTTTAGGAGGCACAAATGGGTTTTGAAGCAGTATTATTGAATTTAAATTCAAGAGAATCATAGATACTTTAAAAATTAAAGATATGTAACTGTACAAATAATAAAAAAAAGCTGAAGTAGAAATTAAAAAAAAAAACTTAAATATACAAAGAAAGTAAATTCGTAATCAAATTAAAAGAAAAACAAATCAAGAAAATATTTTTATAGAGAATTTTATTTTAATTTATTTATACTAACTGACATATTACATCTTTTACAAATGTATATTGATATAATAATATCTAATATTTTAGCCAGAGGAGTGCGCCTGACTGCTTCTATGACAATTAGTATCTTAGTTTTAAAACAATCCAGCTAAAACTGATACATTTCTTAAGGTTTGCGGACTTGGGCTTGTTTATATAAAGCTGAACTGTCTATTAATTTAGTGGATAATTATAATAATAATATTTTAACCTTGACATATGCATATCAAAATCGGCTAATTTGAGAATTGTTGTTACACATTTTTGTTTATGGAATATATTGTATACATATGTACATATAAATTGAACTATTTGAGCCGTGTTACCAAATGATAGTAAAAATTATTTGTCAAATAAGAGTAATTAAATATATTTAAAGAGTTCATGATAAATTGATTAAAAAGTTGTAATAGGCAGCAATTTTGATTAAAATAAAAACGCAATTTCTGCCAAGGGATTACATTCAGTTAAAACTTACCTGTAACCAAGGACAACTAACTGCAAACCCTAGATGGTTAATGGTTTGTTACTTTATTAATATGTTTTATAATTTGTTCACTCTTCTAATGAAATTCGATTTTGATATTACAGTTTAATTGACGTTTTGCTGCATTTTATTTGCAAAATTTGTTTCACATATGTATGTACTTATATATACATACATATTTGTATTGTGTGTGCGTGTGCGTGTGCGTGTGCTTGTGCAAGTGTGTGTGTGGTGGTGTTAATACTGTCGTGTAACTGACAGACAGATGAGTGCATCTATCGGTTGACCGAACGAACTCGAATCTGCTTTGCGTTCACAACTTTTTCACTGAGCCAACTGCCAATATACATTTTTTTTTTTTAGTGCAGAACGCATCCTGTCAAGAGGAGAATATGGACCACTGAGCAAGAGCGAGGCACTCAACACAGTACACACACATACAAATGTACCTACATCCATACATACATACGTGTGCTCGGTGTGTGTATGTGGATGTGTATATTTTAGGACACAATAATAACAAAAACAACTGCAATAACGTCGAATAAAAAGGAAACCAATTTTATTTATTTTATTTCTTGTGAAAATAATTAGCACAAACGAGTTTAAAGGAAATCACTGACTGCGATTAAAATGTGAGAATTATTAGTGTTTCAATTTGCATGCTCTGGATGCAGGTTTAGTTCACGTTGGCATATTACCGTTACTTATTTCGACGCGCTAAATTACGCGCGGAGTCTGCATAGCACATCCACTCCGTTTCGTGACTTGAACTTGATTGAAAAGTCCGTAGCTGATGGAAAATGGTGCTCAATTCTCTAGTTCTGTCCATCTGCCTGCCGATGTCATTTTCGCTCCTCGTGCGTGCGTTCCACACGCATGTGTGCGTGTGTAGAGTCCAGTCAATGCTTTGTTGTTGCTGTGCGGAGAGTGTATCCATAAAAATTTGTGTTTCCATTGGCATTCTTTCCCTTGCGCCTTCGTTCATGGGGCTGCCGCTTTAGCACTCTGCTCTCCTTTCTTTCCAAGTTGCTTTCTCTCTCTCTCTCTCTCTCTCTCTCTCTCCCTCTATCGATTGACTCAGCTGTTTGCAGCGGTGCCTTTGCTTGCACTTTCCAGTTGAAAGCCACAAAAAGCTTTTTACTAATACCACTAAGTTCAGATTTGGCATGAACTGTTAATACGTGTTTGCACTTTTACAGTTGCCAGCTCACAGCTGTTTCTTTCAATGTTTTGATTATATTCCATTAAAAAGTATGGGAAAACTAATAAAAAAATACAATTACGGTTGCTGGCAAGGATACCGTAAATATCATATAATATGTGTCTAAATTTATAACCAGAATCAAATTAACACATATGCATAGGAATAATTTAAAAATTATAAAATACTAAATAAATGTTTCCATTTAGTTTATAATAAGGGACGCCTGTTTTCAGATTTCTTTGTCAAAAAGATGATACATGATCTCTTACTGGCCACCATATTAAAATTCAAATCATTTTATACCATATAAGTATGTATGTAGGTATAAACACAACAAAGGACACTGAGAAATGAAACAATATACATACATATGTATATTTAAAAAACCACAATAAACAAAATTGTAACAAAAATACAAACCATGTTTATACCTTGTACCCGCAGGGTAAAAAGACTATATTATGTTTGTGTAAGTATGTTTCAGGTAGAAGGAAACATCTCCGAACCCAAAAGTATATACATATATTCCTGATCAGCATGACGAGAGAAATCGATCTAGACATGTTCGTTAGTTCGTCCGTCTGGATGAACGCATGGATATCGGAAACGGTTGATCACACACTGACCAAACTTGGTATATAGAGTTTAAGCTACACGAGTTTATTTTCCTTTTTTGATTTTCTCTCCCCGCTACAGAATTTTGTCAATACTGTCCACATTTCAAAAGCGACATAGACCAAGCTTTGCACACGTAATTGATTTATAAATTTCATCCAAATCGGTATATTCTAAGAAAATTTATTAGCGAATAGCCTCCTTCTATTGTTAGTTTTTTCACTTTGCACAAAGCTAATATGCCTTTGAACATTTCATGTAGAGGGTATACAAATTGTGATACATAACGTATGAGTATATTTAAATATTAGACGCTTTATTTGAAAATTTGTACTACCACCTATGTCATCAGTAGTAACAGCATAATGGTGCCAAGACAAGCGAATTGTGTCCTGACTGGCTTCGCCAACGCTGACTTATTGGATTTGTTTGCTGTTGACTGATGACCTTTCGGATTTCCTTTTTTCCTTTCATACCCGCGGCATACAGCAACAGAGCAAGATATGTGCTTTTTTCCAGTGCAAAAGCTCCTTCGGTGGACCTGTGGTCGCCAAAGCCGCTTAAAGTTCGGCATGAGGTCCTTGGCAGTTAGATGTCTCCCCAAGCCTGAGCTTTTACTCGATTTTACAAAGACCACGTGCGTACACATGCGTATACACGCACACACACACACTTGTGTGCATATGAACTGAAAGAGGTTTTGCAAATGTTTTTATCGGGTGGTGGAAGCAGCCGCCGTTCAATTCATTGATGGCCGAATATAGGTCAACAACGTGTTCCGGGCGGAACTATCGGAGCTTTCTTTCAGGCATGATTTCAGATTTCAGACTACACACACACATTACATTAACGCGTCGTATTCTGCTTTCTCATTTACAAGTATGTACATATTTCCGTTCGATTGCGGGTGTAGAAACTTTATAATTACTAATGACGTTATGACTGGCAATACAGAATAGTTGGTTGTAGAGAAGATATGTTTATTAGAATAAAATAAAAAAATAAAGCGTTTCTAATTCTAATAAAGGGCATCAGTTGTTGCTAAATTGTTTTCCAATGAATAATTAAGGAGTATTTTGAAAATTTCAATAGGTTTAGCTGTTATAGCATAGTAGAGGGCCAGTCGTTATATTAATATTTCGTAATATATCGTTAATATTTCTTCAGTCTATCTTTAATGTATTTCAAATCAATGTCCAATATGATTTCAAACTATTTAGTACAGTAAATACTCGTATTAGAAGTATATTTTTTACCGCACTTAACATGACCTCTTGATAGTATTTCAACATTATTTTTTAAAACTCATCGTGGAAATATTTTGGGTTTTTTCTTCGATTTACACTTTTCCTAATAATATATATATATATAAAACTTAAGCTCGAACAGAATACAGATGTTTAATGATGAAAGCTCCAAAGTAACTTGAGTTAAAAAGGCTTGTATCAGCGGATTTAAAAGGTACGGTAAATAAAAACGTAATAAAATACAATCACAAAACTTGACAATCAGTTTATTTTAAACCCAATAGAGTAACATCTATCAGTCCTCCCTTTAAAGATTTTGTAAGTATATTCATATATTATACTATATATGCGTATGTTGGAGATCCTGCTCCTAATATTTCCAAGATAGACGTTTGGCCAGCTCTGTAGACTGACTCTCTTTATTGTGCCGATAAAGAATATGCTCTTAATGTATACATACTTTGATCGCTAATACGAAACTGAAGAGCAAATAAAGTTTTCTCACAATATCATAAAATTCTTTGCTTGTTATGTGTCGTTTCGGGCCATGATTTTTCAGCCAACACCACTAAGCTGTCAAGTTCTTGGTAAAAAAGCAAACATATCGAAGCCCCGCCATATGGCGGCAGGTGGTGAAGCTGACGATAACAGCCAAAAAGTTCAATAATATTTATCAATATAAACAGCGCCGCAGAAAAAAGATAAGACAGCGAACGACAACGAAACGACGACGACGGCGGCATGTTGCGCTTTTTGTTTGCTGGTTTGGTTTTACAAATGAAAGAGACTTCGTGCGAATAACAAGTATTGAGACCGTGGCAGGAAACGGTTAGTCCAAAAATTATATTTACTTTTATTTCTGTTCGTTTGTGTTTTTTGAACATCAACTCAACTGAGACGCATACCTTCCAAACATGTCCGAGTTGCTGGAAGATCATGTAAGTGGCTGCAGAATTATACTAATTTGTTGACTCATAAAGTAACTAACTAGGAATGTGGTATTTATGGTATTTAGTAAGTAGCTTTGACACCGCTGTTTTGCTTATCAGAAAATTGGTTTCATATACCGCTTATCACACCTGTTTGCCAAGTTGCGCGCATTCCGTGTTTCTACTTTTCTTTCATTAAAATTGTGTCTCTTCGCCGCCGAGTACCAACCCGCCAACCCGCCAAACCAAAGCCGCATCTTATCATCTAATAGTTGCAGACAGTGTCGCAGGTGGGAGGAATTTAGCTTACACGTGGAACCAGTGTGTGTTATCAGGTGTAATAAGTCCCTGACTACGCGTGCGTATATCACACCATTTCTATTACTAGACATGTACTTATATCTGCACAAAATGATTAATCATCCTACCAGTAGACATATGTAATGACTAATAAATCACACATCATTAGCTATGCTGAGACAAAGGGGCAAGAAGATACGCCTAATTCTGTTTTTACACGGTAGATTGGTTCCAGAAACAACCGTTTAAAAAAAGACGTTGATCATATGCAAAAATTGGTGATTGAACCAAAAATATATATGAAATTTTAAATTTTTAAACCGTGTTATATCAAAACCATGTAAAAAAAGACCGTGTAAAAACAGAATTAGTTGTATTTAAAAAGCTAGCAATTCCTTTACACTGAATACATCTGTCGTTACATTCTAATCTAAATATCGTCTCTCCTTTTGGGAACGGGGTATAAAAATCAACGTAAAGACAAATATAAGTTTTGATATTTCTTGTTTCGTTTGCAATTTTATTTATAAATTAAGTGTAGTCTCTAGAAGTCAAGAGTTTTCTATCAGTAACTGATTAAATGGTTATTATCAAATGTGTAATCTTTATGACTAAATCATCGCAAGAAAATACCATGCGATTAATTAATAATTAGAAGTCCCATATGACTAACACTCGTATCAATGAATAGTGGCTGACCTCATGTTCGAAAAATTAAAAAATATTTAAAAATGTGAATGAAAAATATATCATATAATATACATTATTACTTTACAATTTTTAAATGCGACCACTCTTTTAGTTGTTTATTGATGTATCAAAATAAATAAATTAATGGATCATTTATTTTTATAAAAGTGCCGTCATAGATTTTAACAGCAAATATTCTGAGGAACTTATCTTTTGAACATAAAATTGATTTCCATTGTGATCTATCGTGTTAATAGAACGGCTGATAAGGATTTGTTATGGTTTTAGGAATGAGATATATTAGAGGGCTTAGCAAGTTAGTGCTTGATATTGTATTAAACCTTACATAGAGTTACAGGAAAATGATTGAAACAAAATATCGTCGCAAACATAGCAATCCAAATGAAAAATTGCGCTAAAGAATGAAGATTGATTCTGACCTGCCGTAACCAGAGGTAAATCCCCTAGATAAGCATATTTCAATATAGTTACTGATATCTCAGCCATTGCTTGGTGCAAGTTTTATTATATGACTTCTGAATATTGACAGGTGGGCCAAGCAGTTATTTCGTTTGTTAGGTTCGTTGACTATTTTAATAGTCTTTTTGTTCGATATAATTAAGGAATTGTTCTTAGATTTGTTTTAGGCTCAGACGTCGTCTGTACAGAATTCAATTTAACGCCGGCACTGCGATCGATAAATACTATATTAATTCTATAATATTTTATTTTAGGGCGAATATGTCTGGGTTAGACCACAAAATAACAGCAGCGAGTTCGCAGTGCCCTTCGGGGCGCGCATCGTGCGGACAGAGAAGACGAAAACGCTGATCTGTGACGATCATAAGAAACAGTTGTGGGTAACAGCAGAGGATATAGTTAAGGCCATGCACCTGACCTCACGGGGCGATGTAGAGGACATGATAACGCTTGGGGACCTGCAGGAGTATACGATATTGCGTAACCTCGAGAACCGCTATAGCAAGAAACTGATCTATGTAAGTGTGCTAGAAAAGATTAAGTATGTACTACGATGAACTTGTAAACATAGTGATAAGTTCTACCCTTCCCACAGACTTACACGGGTTCAATGCTTGTGGCCATAAACCCCTACCAAATATTACCCATCTACACGCACCATGATGTTCAACAGTACCGCAACAAAAGACTGCACGATTTACCTCCGCATATCTTCGCGATCAGCGACAATGCCTTTCAGCAGCTGCAGAGGCACCAAGCCAATCAATGTATTGTTATCAGCGGTGAATCGGGCGCAGGAAAAACAGAAAGCACCAAACTTATACTACAGTACCTTTCGACCATAAGTGGCAAGCAGTCTTGGATCGAGCAGCAGATTATCAAAGCTAATCCCATAATGGAGGCGTTTGGCAATGCAAAAACTATGCGCAACGACAACTCGTCGCGCTTTGGGAAGTACATAGACATACGATTCACGGAGCAGGGCAGTATTCAGGGAGCCAAGATCGAGCAGTACTTGCTCGAAAAGTCACGTATTGTATTCCAAAGTACGGGTGAGCGCAACTATCACATATTCTACTCTATGTTGGCCGGACTGACTCAGCCAGAGCTGCAACGTCTAATGATAAGGGAGCAGTCGCCTAGCAAGTATCGGTACCTGGCGCAGGGCGGTTGCTATACTCTGGAAGGCAAGAGTGATGCTGAGGAGTTTGCTGAAATACGGTGCGCCATGAAGATGCTATCGTTTGCCTCAGACGAGATGTGGAACATTTTTAGTCTGCTGGCTGCTATCCTTCATCTAGGAAACTTACAATTTAGGGCCACTGAGGTCTCTAACTTGGAGACTGTCGAGGTGGATGATACACAGAACTTGGACTGCGTAGCTAAACTGCTCGGTATAAATGTCTCTTCGCTAAATCTGGCATTGACTCAACGCACTATCTATGTTCATGGCGAGCATGTGGTGACAAGCCTGTCTAAGGACGTAGCTTTCGAGGGACGTGACGCTTTCGTCAAGGCGCTCTATAATGCCATATTTGTGCGAATCGTGCGCCGTATTAATGAGACTCTGGACAAGGACGCAAGCAAGACTCTGAATACAATTGGTGTCCTAGACATCTTTGGATTCGAGAACTTTGAAACCAATAGCTTTGAGCAACTTTGCATCAACTATGCCAACGAGAACTTGCAACAGTTTTTTGTCAGGCACATATTTAAGGTGAGTTTAAGCTGAATTCAGCTTATTTATTCGTAATTATAATTGTTTACCTAACAGATGGAGCAGGCCGAATATCAAAATGAAGACATTAACTGGCAACACATTGAATTTCACGATAACCAGGAAATCCTCGACCTTATTGGTATGAAACCCGTCAATATCATGTCACTCATTGACGAGGAATCAAAATTTCCTAAAGGTAAATAAACAATTAATTTAGTTGATGGTCCATTGAAGACACGGTGTATTTCAGGCACAGATCAAACGCTCTTAGAAAAGTTACACGTACAGCACGGTAATCGGTCCATTTATGTGAAGGGCAAGACCACGCAGACTTCTTTGTTTGGAATACGGCACTACGCTGGTGTTGTTATGTATAATCCGCTGGGTTTTTTGGAGAAGAATCGAGACTCGTTCAGCACAGACCTCCGTGCAATTGTTAAAAATTCGAAAAACAAATACCTTGTGGATATATTTCCAAAAGAGCTGCCTATGGACACCGCCAAGAAGCAGCCGACTTTGTCCGTGAAGTTTCGTAACTCCCTTGAATTGCTGATGCGTACATTGTCCTCGGCTCATCCTTTTTTCATACGGTGCATTAAGCCAAACGAGTCTAAGGAACCTAATGTAAGAATCCAATTGGAAATGAGTATGATCGCCTTTCTTTAATACTTCTTCCTGCAGAACTTTGACAAGGACCTTTGTGTACGGCAACTGCGCTATTCCGGCATGATGGAGACGGCACGTATTCGTCGGGCCGGGTATCCCATTCGTCACACATACCGAGAATTTGTCGAACGCTATCGCTTGCTGGTGCCGAAAATAGGTCAACTAGATAAATGTGACTGTAAGCAGGTGGCTCAACAAATATGTAAGACTTCGCTGCCGGTCTCACCGGATCTGCAGTTTGGTCGCACTAAGATATTTCTGAGGGATGACGAGGACACCAGCTTGGAGAAGGAGCGTTCACGTATCATTCTGCATTCCATCATCACTATACAAAGAGGCTTCCGAAGAGTGATCTTTCAACGTTACCAGCAAAAGTACCAGGCCGCCGTCATCACCGTACAACGTTTCTGGCGAGGGCGTCTGGCACGATCTAAGTATCTTATTATGCAACAAGGTTTCCATCGCCTTGGCGCCTGCATTGCGGCCCAACAGTTGACACATAAGTTCATAATGGTCCGCAGCCGCATAATAAAGCTGCAGGCTCTAAGCCGTGGCTATTTGCTTCGCCAGCAATTCCGCGCCAACTTGGCAGCCGAACGATTGAAAAAGGCAGAAGAGAAGGAGCGAAAGGCAAAGCAACGCCGTTCGCTTCAACTAGAAGCGGAGCAACAGCTTATGCAGCAGGAGCAAAAGCTCAGAGAGCAGGAGTCACAACTGAGGGAACAGGAGAAAATTAGGCAACAAGAGAAAGAGAGCGAACGGCACTTAGCAATGGAGAGAAACGCAGCTGCAATGGCGGCACTACATCAACCAAAACGTACGAAATCCCTCAAATATACAGAAGCTAATGGTCGAGGAGGTAACGACATTGTGGCGAACAACAACAGCTACATAGATGTAGAGTCATCGAAACAAATCGTAGATGACGTATTTGGATTTCTGAATGACGAAGCTGATGTGAGTGGTCCTTTGGGTCCCAACGTTAAAGAAAAATCTCAGATGTTCGAGCGAGAGTTGCGGCTGCGAAAGGACATTCCAACGAAGCTATTGTCTAGACCCGTTAACTACTACGAAGCAGCACCCCGTAAGATTATTAATCAGACACGCCTCTAGTCATTCCGTCTCAGGGTTTTTTGAGCTCTCTGATATTAAGTTAAAAAATGTAGGCCAATGTTCGTCTAATACATCATAATGCGACCGTTAAAATAGCCGTACGGTGAAAAGATAACCTATACTTCTGATTAAAAGCTCTAAATACCAACTAACTTGTAGCGGAGTTGCCAAAAAGAGTCGCCATCACCTTGTCGGTCCTGTCCGACTACGAGAAGGTGGTTATGGTGCTTCCCAGTTCGTTCAAACAGCCCATAAGCCAAAAATTTACCTTCTTGACTCGGATACATACTTTTCAACAGCATCTACAAGTATGTACTTTGCGAACAATCTAAATGAAATACTCAACTGCATTTGTTTTCATAATATTTGGTCATATTCGAATTTTGGTATTTTTCAGGCTTGTCTTCGCCAAAATGTTGTTTACTTCATCAAGTGATTTGTGAGATAGATATAAGTTTTTTTTTAAAGGGCTGAGCTTAGAAAAAATTGTGTTATATAATATATATCCATTAATAATAATAATTTTAATGCCTAAGACTTAAAGAATAATAAACAAATATTTAACTGTGTACAAAATACACAACATTCAGCTGAGATTTCTACCAATTTTCTAGCTAACAATATTCCAAAACCCAAAGGTGTAAGGGTGTGATTCACGCTAGTTCGTTGATCAATGCTGGGCCACAAATATAAGTTATAAAGTTACAAAAGATACAAAAATACAAAAACAATACAAAAATGCTTTATTATTATATACATACATATATATTTTTTGTAAATTTGCATGGCAACAAAGGATTCGTCGAAATTAGGTTTAGGTTAGAAATACCTTAAGTTTTCTTACAGCTAGTTCCACAATCTTCACCCTCGCATATATCGCATAGAGAGCCATTGACTTGATAGTATTCCGTAGCACGTCGTTCTGTATCGTAGTAATCGTAGAGAGATATGGCTGCCGGCTTTTGTTTGGCAATCGCATGGGCCTTAGAGGCCTGCACAGGTAAGCATTTTACATCTCCTGGAGTCAAGCTGTCAAAGTACACGAGCACTACTGAGTCGGAGTTCTTTGTTTCGATTCGCTTCACTCGGTCTATAGCCTCAATTTGGGGAAAACTGTCGACATCGCTGATGTAGCCCGAGGGAAGGTTAATTTCCATGACGGCCATGTTCGAGTCCAAGCTTTGGTCGTTCTCTTCCAGTGGCACATATTCGGCGCATACCTCAAGAGTAAGCTGCTGTGATTGTGAATTTTGGGTTTTTACGGTGGGTTTGACTTTAAAGCTAGATTTCTTGTCCTTTTGAACAATATTGTAACGCGATGAAAGCTGCACCATTGCTGATCCCTGGCCCTTGGCCGTAAAGTTAACTTGACGTGTGGTTTTTGGCAGCACGTGTGTCTGCAAAACCAAAGCATTTTCCGGCTTCACCTTAATGCTATCGGTGGTAGCTTGGCCGCTGCCGTCTGCGACAAAGCTGATATCTATAATTCCACTGCCAGTTTCAGTTTCGTAGGCAAACTTTGTCAAGGCTTGCAGTCCAATAACCGTGTCTTGAGTGGATGTGAACCCACCATTACTATTCCGCTGTGCGATCAGCCACTTAATAATGGGTAACACGGCTTCGGCTGACTCCTTCTCTATGAGAGCCAGTAAGATGTAGGATGTTATTTCTACATCGTTGCTGCGTGGACGTAAATATAGAGTCCGACTTGGCACAGTAGCCCCATCGGTATCGGTCTTTGACCACCATTTGTGATCGTAGCTCCGTTTGGCAATACTTTCAAGCTTTGCTAAAACCTTGTCGGCATACGGATGCTTTGCAAGCTGCAGCGCCAAAGCTGCAATAGCCAAGGCATATGGGTCATCACTCTTATCCGACTCTTCAGCAACAAAGACAACACCCTTTTCAATGGTTTGGCGGTACTTCGGTATAAGTTCCTGTGAAGAAATGGACACCCTTTTAATACACTCTTTAACCTTTGGCATTTGATGAATTGTCGATACCTACTTCATTTTCGAAAAACGCCAACAACACAAAGGATGTCAGACCCAGTTCATTTTGGTGTGCGCTGTCAAACAACTTGCCCAGTTCTGGGAACTGACCGCTTTCTTTCTGCTTGGCGGCGAGAAAGTCTAGTCCCGCGCTCAGCACCTTAGGATCGATATCTGTATATCTGCTGGCCTGGTGAAAGGAGCGCATCACATAGGCCGTGAGCCAAGTACTGCCGGCCGGATCAGACTTTCCAAACGCACTGTAGGAGCCATCGTCGTGCTTGTACGTCAACTCGCGTTGATAGCCGATTTCTAAAAACTTCTTAGCCTTCTCTACTAAGCTGGGTTTTTTTTTATTTGTTACCTCCAAGTATTTCAAGACTAGGATATTTGGCACAAAGTTAACCATGTTTTGCTCCCCGCAACCGTAAGGCATTCGCACCAAATTATCCAAGTTTTTAATGGTGGGCCCCAAAAGGTCGCCCACAACTGAGAACTCGAAATACTCCGAGTCTGGGATCGCATCAACTGGCACGTTTAGTTTCAGGTCAACAGCCAATTCTTGTGAATTTTTTAGGCTAATAAAGACAGCTCTGTTTTCAAAATGCGTCACCCCTTCGGGTTCAACCTTTAACTTCTGATGGATGGCGTCGCCCGCGAGAGGGGTTGTTGCGCTAATTTTTAGAGTAGTTAGTCCGGCCTTTTTGGGTCTTATCATGAATGAAACTGTTTTACCGCTATTTGAAGGGATGGTGACACGCCTAACTCGTTGTATCTCGTCTATTAACTTTTCTTCAGCTTCGTTGGTTGCTTCGGCAAAGTCAAACTCTTTATCTGAATTATCCATAGTTACTTCAGCATCGAGATTCTTCTCCATGTAGTTGAAAATAATTACAGGAATAGCTATAACCTCTCCTACTCGTATAAAATGATTTATCAGTGTCATTATTAGGAAGCAGTTTAAAGTGATACCTACCTCGTTTTACCGAGTACGGCAAGTTTGTAGACACGAAAAACGGTTGAAAGACCTGAATTTTACTTGGATTTTTGGTGAGCGCAAGTCCAGTTTTTGAATTCAACGAGAAGCCGGTTACAACCCAGGAAGTAATCGTGTCCGGTATAGTTTTTGTTAATGTGAATTCCTCATTGGAGCTGTGAAATAATATAGAATTATTTATTAGTCTCTTCCTAATGAAATATTAACAACATTTACCATTAACATTTCATTAATTAATTATGAAAGCTATTTGTTACATTTTGAGCATTCCAATAATCCAACAAAGAAACAACAGATTAGTATTTTTGCATGCAAATTAAGTTTTACAAAGGTTTTCAATGTACTTTTTAGTGTGTGTTCCTTCAAATATCCAACCATCAACAAAATCTTCACGTACTCCTTTCGAAATAATTGGCAACGATTCCTTAGGTACAGTCTCTTGTTTCTTGTTGTTTTTAATTCGGGGTCCACTGATTTGCTTAACCGGCACCAGACCAGCACTCTCAGCTCTAATTATTGAACTTACTTAAAAGGTAGACAAGTAGACACAAGCACTTATAGGAGAAAGGCCCAACAAACACTTGATTAAAAGTAGATCTGTACTAAAGCAAGGCCACAACTTATGCTTATAAACGAGTCTGCGACCACACATATTAGTAATAGTAAAGAGGAATGGCTGATTAGCTGCTTAAATTGAAAAATATCAGTCTCTTTGCTATTTAATATAAAAAATGTATAATTCAATAGTTAATGACATTATAGATTCGATACCGGCCATGTTATGCTGGATATTAAGAAAGTCAAGTTGAAGCAGTTAATCAGCCAATTAATTTTTAGATTTGTAAAGAAATAACTGATTTTACTTCATTCTATTCCAGAATATCCAATTTTCTAGAAAGCTTTTGCGAATCGCGGTGGCAGCTACGGGAGCCTGTGGATGCACAATAGCTGGGGGTATAGCCATTGGGCTTATAGCAGCATTGAAGCTAACCCTATTAAATAATCCAGTAGATAACGGTAGTGGCCTAGGAAGTAGGAAAGGAAAACCTGACCACAAAGTCTCAATTTAGTAAGAATGGAAAAGAGTGGATGGCTTGTTAACTTGATGTTCGAAAAAATAGTTACTTTTTAATTTGCGTGTATGGCAAACTTTTAATAAGACTCAGCGTTCCAATTACAACTATTTCCATAAAATTTGAATAATTTTGAATACCGTACTTTTCTGAATTATAAAAAATCCAATTTTCTGGAAACTCTTTACGAGTATGCGTTTTTTCTACATTTACAAAAGACCCTTCAGGTTCTTCAAGAGCATCAGGATATACTGCGCTGTCGAGCTCAAGTGCTATCATGACATCTGCGTAAAAAAATATAACCGTAACCGGAATTAAGCAGTTATTTAGACGACCTTTGCCTACTTTCATATTATTAGATTCTATAAAATAAGCAGTTTTGATAGTGGCATGCATAAGATGTAGGGAAATGGTGGCTTGGCACCCACCTATTCTTTACTGATTGCCAAATCCAGACATCTGCAAAGTTTTTACGAATTTTATCTACTATTTCCATGGATTCGCTATCAAAAAGTAACTGATCCTCTTCTTCAAACCTATCGTATATTCCATCAATATTGTCATTCGAAATATGATCTGAAATATACACATTGTATTCATTTTACATAGTTTACTTACAAAACTTTAGTCACCGTTTCTGAATCTTGTATTGTAGCTTCAGAAAAGTTTAACGAATACCCTTTATTATATTATTTATGAAATTAGAAATTCTGCGATCTATTTATCTATGTTCAGTGCAAATTTAATAAATTTTGATTGCTCAGCCAGACTATTGTTTAACTACATACCAGTGTTGTAGGGATAGTTGGCGTTTGTCAGCGTTACTAGGCCCCCGCCAAACTGCAGCAACAACTTCGTTCTTCTTCTTTCTGTTTTTGCTGCGGAAGTTTACCTTGGTACAGGGTATTACACTGTCGGGCTTGCTCGACTGTAGCGTTCTCTCTTGTTATATCTACATTGTGTACAGACAAACCTAATATTAATTTAATTTTTTTTTTTTATTTTTCTTTTTTGTGGAGAGTATTTTTTACTGTCGGACTTGCTCGACTGCAGCGTTCTATCTTGTTATACTCTATACATGAAATGTACAGAAGTATATTAGGTTTGCGGGAGCTGAAAAATGTAACAGGCAGAAGGAGGCGTGGCAGACCCTACACTATGATAGACCGATTTAACAAGAAGTTATAGCCATAAATATATTTGCTTCTGCAGCGCTGCCCGCGGCTGTTGTTGATGTTGCTGTTTGGTTAACTGCGAAAATGCTTACACAGACATAAATAGACGCGCATAAACATACATACACTCACATAGACGCAATTGCTATGTAAATATAAAATTATATACCCTTTACGTGAGTTCAAATACCGAGAAAGGTAAAATCGATCAAATTTTTTTTTTAATTTTCTTATTTTTATACTCTGCACATGAAATGTACAAGAGTATATTATGTTTGCGGGAGCTGAAAAATGTAACAGGCAGAAGGAGGCGTGGCAGACCCCACAAAGTATATATATTATTGATCAGCGTGACAAGACGAGTCGATCTAGCCCTGTCTGTCTGTCCGTCTGTCCGTCCGTATGAACACCTGGATCTCAGAGACTATAAGAGATAGAGACACCAAATTTTGCACGAAGATGCGTTATGTGTGTATTCTATACGAGTTTGTTTTATTTTTTTGATTTTCCCTCCCACTTCCCCCCTATGGGGGTTTTCCCGATTTTCCATTCGTATAATCGCCTATATCTCGGAGACTATAAGACCTAGGAACACCAAATTTTAGTCCAAGATGCCTTGTGTGAATACGCAGAAAATGTATATTTTGGAATTTCCCCCCCTCTCCCCCGCAAATGCGATTTTCTCTAACTCCCGTAATTCTTGGAATTTCGAACTAAAATTTTGCAAATACCCCCAGTTAGTAATTATGTGTCCGTATGCCAAGTTTCACTATGATAGACCGATTTACCAAGAAGTTATAGCCATAAATATATTTGCTGCTGCAGCGCTGCTCAAGCGCTGCCCGCGGCTGTTGTTGATGTTGCTGTTTGGTTGACTGCGAAAATGCTTACACAGACACGAATTGATGCGCATAGGCATACATACACTCACACAGACGCAATTGCTATGTAAATGTGCAATTATACACCCTTTACGTGAGTTCGAATACCGAGAGAGGTAAAATCGATCCAATTTTTTTTTTATTTATTTTTTTTTTTATTTTCTATAATTATTGTAAACATATGTACAGAGTATTTCAAAGTCGGGACACCCGACTTTAGCTTTTTTACTTGTTTTGTTTTCTATAATTATTGTAAACATATGTACAGAGTATTTCAAAGTCGGGACACCCGACTTTAGCTTTTTTACTTGTTTTTTAATGTGCTTTTGAAGCTTTTGACCTAGGGAACTGACTAGGTTATTCCCGCAGACTATGTGTTATTTAAAAATTATTGTTTGTGTTCATTATAAAACTTTTTTTTCAATTTATAATTTGTATGTATAAGTGTGAGTAGTTTCGACTCAATAACTTACCCATCAGCATTGATTAATAAAATCAGTTGTAAAATTGAGAAAACCACTAAACTAATATGTGACGACATCGTGCCAACCTAATTGTAGAATTACAAAATACATAATATTGCATATAAATTCGAAATAAATAATACAAGCACGGCTTACAGTTATATTGTTGCTTCGTTATCAGCACTTATACAGACACACACACACACATACACACTTTAAAGCACAGTCTATTGAGGCGAGAGCTGGACGCTGATATTTCCGATCGCTTCGACGCTCGAGTCCACTATGAGGCCGATTTAGTGGCAACCACCTTTAAGTACGTATTAAAGAGCAGCCGCGCCGTTGTCAGTTGTCTTTCATATACTATGTATATATGCATACTTATAGTATGTACCTATGTGTACATGTATTTGTGATTCTGTTATTGTTTGTTGCTTACATATGTGTATTCATAAATTAACACGTAAACAGCCGCGAGTAGTTCCCCGCTGCTAATTATTTACAGAATTTCCTACAGAGTCATGGCAGCTATTGATGTCTTATTTTTTTCAAAAAAACATTACGCATCCGAATGGTGAGGGGGTATCTTTAAATCGTTCTGTTGAATGTAACTGCAAAATGGGGGCGTGGCAGACCTTAAAAATCCAAAAACACCCTTTTGAACCTCATAATAAGTGCAAATAATTTGTTTCATCGTTTTTCGATACACCTTCCCCAATGGGTTGCGTAACTTTTCAAAAATATTATTATTATCTAATCAAATTATATTTAAGGATAGAAAATGATTTGTGTAATAATGTTGATTTCATTACAAGTAAAGTGTATTTAAATGTCTGGCGTACAAGAATTTAGCATGCGGATTGCTATCTTTAGTGTTTGACTCGGACACACACATAGAGAAAATCGTATCAGAAAATGAATCTTCTTGTATCTGAAACTGTTCTTTGAATTGTTTTTCAAGTATCAAACACCTCGTTTTGATGAATTTAATAAAAATATGTTGATGCATATAAAATATATATACAGATATATTTTTTCTAAAAATGGCCCGCCCGGTAATAATCCAGCTGTCTCTATACTTTGAACTGGTATTAGAATTAGATTAGATTAGAACTGTAAACATTTAGCATAAGAAGTTCAAAAGGAGTAATAAAGAATAAGAAAATTTTATTACTCAACGATTTTTCTCTTTGTGTATTTGAAGGTAGCTATACACACATAGCTACCCGTTTTGTTTAGTTTTGAGTCATAATCAGTACGAAGCGAACAGATATTCACAGCGGGGTGTGCTTTATACATATACATAACAAAAATAAATAAATAAAAAGAAAATACAGCAACCAATCTAAAAACAAAAACCGGCTATTTATGGATGTCAAAATAATGGAAGTGACGCAGATTTAGAACTTTGTTGTGGGCTCAAGTTTCTGCCGAATTCAGAACATATCTGTAGTTTTGGATTCCATTTGAATAAATTTTTGCTTATGGCTCAAGAGTAAAGTCATTAACGTTTGCGAATGTGTTTTAATTTATTTAATCTTCTTTTCATCTGAGCACCATAGTCAGCCATTTTCTATATTAATTGCATGAATTGATGGTCGTAAAAGTATCTTGATTCAGGAATCGAAATCAAGTATTACAATTATTACAAGTATTCTCAATTGAGAAATTCGATTTTAATTACCAAAGGCGATGAGATTGAATTGTGAATGGAATGCTAATGAGATAATCAGCTGAGATACGAATAAGCCAATTTATTTTGAGTTTAGTAATATGTTAATCTAAAATATATTTTATTGGCAATAGTTTAGCATATAGTTACAGTGTTTATTACGCTAGCTAATTAATTATGTGAGTAGTTTTGTTAAAGCTTTCTTTTCAAATTCTTTCCATTCTCCTGTTGAGCGTTGATCACTGGATCGGGAGAACCGATATCGCACTGAACAGAGCTAAAAGTAGCACCAAAATGATTGCAGCTGCACCTCGACTAGAGGCGGAGCTACGGGATCCCAATCTGCTGTCGTCGCCGGGCTCTCGCGACTCCCGCTTCTCCGCTTTCTCACAAATGTCCCCACAGTTAGCATACTCGCAGATGTCACAGATGTTCGACTTGGGAGCTCGATAGAACTGGCGGGCGCGACGAGCTGCAAAAGAAGAGTACTTCTTCATTTGTAGTAACAATTAGAGCTTTAAGATTCGACTCCTTTATACCCTGTACCCAGCTCATGTACAATAGTGCTTGACCGATTTCAATTTAGCCTCGGAATATGGTCAGACAATTGAAAAAACGCATATACATATATAAAGCTTAGTTACGATATCGTAAAAAAGTTTTCTCTAATAATTCCTATGGCAGCTAAATAACCAATTATATGATTTTCTTCAAACTAAGGCTGCAGATGAATGAGATGAGCCCAAAAATGAAGTATGGTGCCCATAACGCATATGGCTTTAAAGTTTTCGCCGCTCATATGGTCTGACGGACGGACAGACAATCAAATATGTCTATATCGACTCGTTTCCTTATGCTGATCTTATGCGTTTGTAACTATAAATTGGCTCTTTCGGGTAGAGGATAATAAGACAAAACGGAATCGCTTTTTATGACTCTCTCTCTCTCTTATTCTCATACCGTTGTCGTAGTAGTCATACATAATGACTGGTACAGGTCTGTGCTTGGTGATTTTGACAGTTTTGTAAGCGTGTAGCGTGGGACAAACTTCCCGCCTGTCCAGGTAATCGAAATAGATGATGACCTTTGTGTTACGGCGTTGTGTCTCCACCTTTTTGATGCGTTCACTGGACTCCAGGGTGGGGAGAGTGTCAATGTCGACAACGAACCCGCTCGGCAAAAATACTTCCATAACGGCCATATTTGAGCGTTCAGCATCGCCGGACACGGACACGAAACTGGCGCACGCCGATAAGTGCAAATAGTCCGAGTGTGAGTTCCTATTTACAGTTGGATCGAGCACGAAGCGTGGCCACGCGCTGGTCACATTGGTGTTGTATTTGTAAGTGATCTGCGCCAACGCCATGCCACGGCCAGTGGCTGATATGCTCACATTCTTAAGTGTACTGGGTAGCTAAAGGCATTGCAAATTACAAGTATAAACATTATAATTTTATATTTGTTCTAAATCCTCTCACCTCAACGCTTTGTAGTGCCAGCGAGTTCTGCGCATTCACATTTAGTACCGTTTCAGCACCTTCGCCGTATTTAAATCCGATCTGTACATTGTTTCCTTCGGTGGAAAAACGCTCGGCAAACGATATAAGGGCCTGCAGTCCAACAATGGTATCTTGGGAAGCAACAAAGCCACCAAACTCGTTTCGCTGATTCATCAGCCACCTCACCACGGGTAGTGCTTCCGCCACAAGATTATTCTCCAACAGTGCCAGAGCAGCATATGCCGCGATTTCAATGTTGACGGAACGTGTGGTATTATACCACGGTGATTGGTGTTCACTTGCAGGTGCTGCCTTGTTCCACCATTTGCGACCATCTGAAATAAGGTTTCAATTACTTAAAGTTCCTGAATCAACACAAATAACTCAATGTACAAGTAGAATATTTCATCACCTCATTTAAAAGCAGGAGAAATACATTACCATTTTATTTACACCATATTGGTTCATTCATTTAGAAAACGAATCCAACTATTTACCTTTATTGGTAGCCATCGAATCCAATCGTTGTAGAAAAGCGGCCTGAGCGTTGTGATTGGCACGAGTCAGAGCATAGGTGCCCAGAGCCATAGCATGGAAATTGTTGGATATTTCTAAATTACGTGTTATGAAATCTAGCGCCTTGTTGATGTTATTCCGGTATTTTGGATATAGTTCCTAAAGATTACATAATTTACTGAGAGCGTTGGAAATGCAATAAATTAAAATTGCGCTTACCACATTCTCTATTAGGGCCAGTGTCACAAATGCGGTTAGGCTTAGGCCTTCATCCGAAAAGTTTTCGAAAATATCTCCATGTTCTTCGAAACCACCACCGCCAGACTGTACGCTCGTCAAATAGGCCAGAGCAGTTTCCACAATGTGTTCGTCAATTTGGGTGAATGGAGCAGCTTGACGGAGAGCTTTCGCAACATATGCAGTCAACCAAGTGGAGCCCTGCTTGGTAGATAGTCCAAACGCACTGAAAGCCCCGTTTTCGTGGCGATAGTAAAGCAAACGCTGATAGCCCAAAGCCAGATTTTGCTTGGCACGCACCTCCAAGGCGGGCGTTAATTGGCGTGTGCGCTGAAAGGGATTGGATTTTCATTTCGTTAAAATTGAGAGCTTTCTACTTACGCTTAAATAACGCAGAGCCAAAATGTTGGGTATAAAGCCAATCAGTGCCTGCTCACCACAGCCTGTGGGCAGGCTTATCAGGTTCTCAATATTCCCAACCATACTGCCAACCAAATCACCCACGGCGGATACTGTAATCACCGTGGAGTCCATTATGGCATTGCGAGGCACTCGAATTGTAACGTTCTCGGTACGCTGCTTGTTTGAGTTTAGTTCGAAAAGTAATCCGTGGTTGACCACCTCTTGCGCTCCGCTATGCTCCACAAGAAGTGTCGCCTCTACGGTGTCCCCGGCCAGTGGAGTTGTAGCTACGACCTTCACCGGAATAGCGCCAATACGTTTCGGGGTCACAATGAATGATATGGAGCGGGATGATTTGCCGGGAACATTTATAGAGCGACGGCTGTACAGTTCCACTTCTTCAATGTGAAAAATCTTGCTAAGGAAGACTGCAGTCATAGGAATGGATATTTATACGTACTAGGTTTGTTGGCTTGCCGGCTGTCTAGCTGTGGAAAATCGAAGTCCTGCGCTGTGTTGTAAAATGTCACATCCACTTTGAAATCGCTATCACGATTATTGTGCACTACAAAGGGTAATGCAATGACCTCGTCTGAAAAGGAAATTTTTTGATTAAATACTTCACCAAACGACTGGAGACTTGTATTTGCATTATGATATAACTCTTTTACGCTAAGCTATCACCTCTAATTCCTAAGCAGTTTGAAAAATCTGCACCCAAAACAGTTGTTTGCGGATGTAACAAACTTACCTCTTCGTATGGAATATGGCAGCTCGGTTGATACATAAAACTCCTTAAAAGCTTCCAAGCTGCCAGCCGCCGAAGTCAGACCTAGACCATTTACGGGATCTAGAGCGAAGGCGGACAGTACCCAAGATGTCATTTCGCTCGGTATCCGTCTATGTATAGTGCTGCGGCCGTCGCTGCTGGCGGATATATTCATAAAGAGCCAGGTGCTGGCTGGATCGTGCATGACGTGAATGCGGGGATTGTGCCAGAAGGGCTTCGGTGTATAGGAGAAGGCGTAACGACCTTTACCCGGTGGCAGCGTATTAACCTCGATTTTGTGGGCCGGACCAATGTCTGTTTTGCGTATGGCGGTCGGTTTTTCGCCTTCTATCGCGTTTTCGCTCTCCCGATCAATTGTGTATGTAGGTTCAGGCTCTGAAAATTGTATTTTTACCTTGTGGCTTTATAGCACCAAATTAATTAGTATACCTTTTTCTATTATGAAATCCGTGTTGGACATAGTGATAACACCCGATTCCTTGCCTGGAGAGCCAATGGGTGTATTAATATCATTCAGCTCATATGCTTTCAGCGCACTCATTAAGCGTTTGTGGGTCAGATCATTGCCTGAAAGCTCAGAAATAAGTGAAATGCTTGCAACAGTTTAGTCATTTCTGTTATTTACCCACTCGGGCATCCGCATTTTGATCCACAGCTATGAGACCAACATACGAATAGGGTTTTGTGCTTATGGTTATATCAATGTTCTGGCCAGGCGGAGCTCTGACTGGTGCCTCCACTTGGACCTAAGCAGGATCAGTCGATTAAATAACTAAATCATCCACAGAAAACATCACTTACAGAATTCAAAAGAGTTTCTTCAAACTGTATTATCTCTTCATCGTAGATCAGTTCCCCATTAACTTCCATATAGACGAATAGCTTAGCACGCGGCATCATGGCGAACGATGCAAGAAACTTGATAACGTGATTTCTTTTATCCGCCACCTGCTGGCACATAACAAGATTTAATAAAAATATTTTTATACATTTAAAGACAATTTCATCTTATAACACACATCAACTGCCCGCGAAAGTATAATATCGCCACGGCCTACTATTTGATAAATGAAATACTTCATGGGTTCGTTTGCTTGCACTTCCACTGCTATTTCCTGATTTACCATGGGTCTGCAAAAAACAGCCATCACTTAATTATATTCCAATAACGGTTGATATATGTGTGTCTTACTTATCGTTTAGCACCTTTGCCGTAATGAAATTTTTGCTATGCAAGTGCTTACGTGGTATCTTACCCACATCGGTAATGACCCCTCGGTAGTCCACAATTATTGAGTGGAAGTCATCGCGGTCACCTACCGGCACAGTGAACCTCATCTTTACTTCTCCTCGCGAGTCCAAACTGTAGATGGATTTGTTGTACATCTCGTTGCTTCCATAAACGTTCGTCAGGTATGCTGTGACCTCTGGATTGAAGTCCCGCAGAGGTCCTTCATCGTTTCGCACAATGCGCGCCTGGGAAAGTGAGAGAAAAATTGATACCTTAAAGATTTATGGCTCGAATATGTTACGTATGTTAAGGTAAATTTCAATTTAAATGCAGTGATTAAAAATAATTAAATAATTAAACCAAATGCAGTTGCAACCAAAAAATTAATTCGCAATATATTTATTACACTGCTCTGATTATTCATTAGAATTTATCAGCTTATTATATTGTTTAAGCTTGGGCTATACTATATTAAGAAATTTGCAGTTCTATGAATCGCAATGTCGCTAAGAGTCATGTTCATTTAGAGGTAATTTATAACTACATATATTTCAAAGAATTACTCACCGTAGCTTCGAACGGAACTCCTGGTATGTAGTAGCTCGGCACCTTCACTGTCTCCACACGAAAGTGGTTCAGATGCAGAGTCAGTACCGTCGAGAAATTCTGCACCGATCCAGTAGACCTCTCCTCGACCAAGGCGTCCAGCAGATACTGCCGTTCATAGTCCTGCTTCAGCTTTAGCTCGTTCACTATATCAAACTCAAAATAGGCACTTCCGTCGATGGGCACGACTTTGCGCGTAATAAGATCGTTGACAAAGGGCTGCAGAGAACCAACAAAGGTGGGGTAGATGGATAGGGTGGCCTCGCCTACGATGGGTTGGCCAAAAGCGTAGCTAAAAGATGTGTACAGTTTAAGATTAAAAATACTAAAGGTATTTGTGTACTTACTAAGCTCGAATTGTGGCGCTAATCTTGCCATCTTTGTAGATCGCGTGTTTGGGCGTGTCGATATCAATCACAAACTTCGGCAATATGTGGTCGAGTATCTCAAAGACTTGTCTGTAGTGCTGTTCTGCAACCTCCACGACTATTGACCATGCACCGTATGGCGGATACTTTGAAAGCTGTAGCTCATTCGAGTAAACCGCGTTTGTAAAGCGTATGTTCTTGTCACTTCGAATCACATTGTCTCTGGCGTCCCTTATTTCTAGATTAACTCGACCGTACTCTCGCGCAGGCTTCAGGTTCGAGTCTAACAGAAGTACGCGATAGTGCACCAAGTCCCCGGGCTTGTATATACTCTTGTCGGTCTGTACCAGCACCGTGAACTGCTTCGGGTCGAAGTGCAATTGAGTCTCATTGGTGAATGCCAAGCCGGACACACCCTCTGCGGTCAGCCGATAGCGATCCTGTTTCAGCGCAGGTATCTACGCAGGAGAAAATATGGCGTACTTGAGACATTCCATATAAGTAAGGCTGCTTCTCTAATGTTACCTCGAAGTGAAGCAGTTGCGTGGAGAAGGGACGCAGCTCCACCGTCTTGAAATCAGTATAATTGCTTCCTAATATTCCCACTTTAAATCGCACCGATTCAACGGCTTTGTGTAAACTGACTGCCACATGGAACTGTGAATTGGGCCGCAGGGTATTTGGTGCGATTATGGAGTAGAAGCTTCAGAAAAAAATAAAAGTAATGCAAATATAATTCACGATCTTCGTAAAGTTGCAGGACAAAGTTCTCACTAGAGAATGGTTTTGAACAACCAATATGATCTTTTATGATCATATTTTCAAAACGCATAGATTTTGCAAAACATAAAAGCTTACGCATTGTTTATTCTCTACAAAAAGCGGTGACAAAATTAGTATAATGACAGAGAATAGGTCCCAGAGAAGGGAACGGTCTTCTATATCTCTCTCGCAATTTTGCAACTTCACCTTGCCATGACTTATTCTTCGTTTAAGCTTAATACCAAATACCATAATTGCCTTCTTCACAAAAAAGTTGTTGACTCAAATGCTTTTTCAAATTAAATTCTAGGACAGCTTTGTGAAATAATGGTCTGGTTTTCTGGGTGCAAAGAAATTGTCCACATGAAACTAAGCATACTTTATACAGTCGGGTACAACATTCATGATTCACTGTGTTTCTATTTTTATAAATGAGCATTGTATAGTATGTCACAAAAGCGATCAAAGCGACAATTACTTTTTAGTCACACAAACAAACCCGTATAAGAGAAGGCACCTTATTTAAACCTGTTAGCACGGTGTCGTAAACATCCATAGTTGTTGTGTTTCAATAATCATTTTGTGTTAGCTGAAAGCTTATTGTTTAACTTTGGTTTTCAGGGTTTGCCGGTAATTTTAAATAGTTTTAAATTGGCTGCCATCAATTACAGGCTAGTAGAAGACGCAGATAGTTGTGTTTGCACGTTGGTCTCTCTTTTGGGAATTCACAATTTTTTTATACTTGATAAAAGAGTATATTAGGTTTTATTAGGGGATTTTACAAAACTCCGTTCGTATAATTACCAAGATCTCGGAGACTATAACTTCTAGAAAAGTAGAAGTGTATTTCAAAATTGTCCTCCTTCCCCTACGCCCCCTTAGTGATTTTGCATAACTCCCATCATACTTGAAATTACAATTTCGCTATTTTTTTTTTAAATTTTCAAAGTTTTCTTAAATTTATATAATTTTTGTACACTAATGCGCAGAGTATTTCAAAGTCGGCGCACCCAACATTAGCTGTTTCACTTGTTTCTTACTCCTACTGTTACAGCCCAACCTGTTTTCAGACTGTCTTATGTGGTTATGTCACGCTTTATTTAGTAATTTGGTAGCAGGGACTTCTTGCGGCGACACATATAAACAATCAATCTACTTAACACAATTAACAAAGATCGAAGAGATCGCAGAGTTTTAGCAGCAACCAAGCAAGTTTTTGAGAGATAGTCTTGTTTATTGTTTGATAAGTAGGCGGCCGGAAAGATTAAACACTTGCGGAACGCCAACACGCCATGCGTTTGTGTCTTAAGTCTTTTGTTTTTATTGTACTTATTACTTGTATACCCTGTACCCAACGTGTAAAAGGGTATACTAGTTTAGTGCAAATGTATGAAATACAGTCCCCACAAAGTGTATATGTGTACTATTGATCAGTATGAAACTGTGGGCATTTATAGCATAATGCATTTGAATACTTGTATTATTTTTAATAAATACTTCTTTTAATTATTTATTAAATTAATTTTTTTTTAAATTTATTTCACTTAATTTTTTTGTGTAAGTGGGGTATTTAAGGGTATTTAAGTGTTGAGCCCGTTCGACTCTAGCATTCCTTCTCTTGTTGTTTTTGCCTTGACTCAGCCAAATAGTGTGATGTCATATTCTGCTCGTCGATTTGTCACATTCAGTTTAGTTTTCATGTGGGTATTGCCTATATATGTATGTATGTATACTAACCCCTGTGCGAGTGTATGAGTTGGCACCGCAAAAAGTAAACAACTTAAGACCGAAATAACTTTAAACAACATTTTGCACAAATTTGCGACTAGTTTGTTTTCAGCTGAATTTATATTCCAAAATAAAATTTTAAAAGCAAAAATTCGCAAACATTTTACACACACAACACTTTTTGCTTCGTTCGGATGGATTGCTTAATGTTTTTGGCGCACTATAGGCCACTTGAGTCGACCAGATTGCAATACGATGGGCCAACAATTCGAAGGTACAGAAGCCACAGCAGCGGCGCAGCTGTTTCTCGACCTGTTTCTCACGGCGTGGGCAGTCAGCGGTCGACAGTCGGTAGTTGGCAATTCGCTCACGCGTTTGTTTTGGCGCTGACCGAACAAGTTGCTCAGCAATGCACCGACGTCTTGGCCAAAAGCGATTGTTTTAGCTTTGCTGTTTTTTTTTTCTTGTTTTTTGTATTCTTTTGACTTCAAGCGCGTCGACTGTTCGCGCTGTTCACCGATCGTAAGCTCGTTTCCAACTGATTTTGTGCGACTGCTCGCTTTTTGGTCTACTTAGTTTCTTATTTCTCTGATATCAGACCACTTTAAAATTGGGCTTGGAAAGAGGTTCGTGCCCGTAATAAGCTTTTAAAAGGCAGCTTAGAAAATGAGTTTAACATTTATGAGCTATCCGGCAAGCACTACTAACAGATAAAAAGTATAAACGTATATATACAAAATATTTTAGGTATTTTCTTTATCAAATAAACAGTGTTCGGCTAGTTTAAATCTTATTTTAGCTATTTACATTGGTGTTGGGAAACTAAGCTGTAAGGTTCGTGTCTGTGGTAAGCTTTTGTATTAGGTTTTGTAAATCAATCGCTAAAATTCGTTATGGAATTTTGGGAAACAAATTTTTTAACTTTAGTTGAAAATTTATACAATACCAAAAATGTCACTTTAAGCATTTATTGTATTTAAGGAAAGCTCTACAGATGAATATAAAAATTGTGACTTTGAATTATGTACTACTTATATATGAGAGAGACAAATACGGTGAGGGAGAGATTTAACATAGTACATATATCTGATCTGCTGTTAGTATTTCTAAACTTAAATAATTGACTGCGTTCTTCGGTACTTCAAACCAAATGCCGAAATGGCTTCCTAGAGGGTTGATTCCTAATGGTTTACAAAAAATAGGAAATGGGCACAGCAACCAGTGAGCTTAAAATACGCAATTTTTCATCGGTAACAAACAATAATTGTACTTTCTCGAGCATAGACGAGTGGTATATATGTAAGAACAATAAATTTGTTCCGACCACCGCAAATAATACACTTTATCATAATTTACTTACACATTTATTCACACAGCTTTTATATTTGACTTTTCTATCAATTCGGAGAAAGTAGACACTAATAAAAATAAATTACGAACAAACGAATGCCGCCTAAGGAACAGCCAAAGGAACAGCCTCCTCCCCGAAAACGGAAAAGAATTATACGCGATGAGAATCGCGGTAAATGGAATAACAAGACGGAATTTGTTCTCTCCTGTCTTGGGTATGCAATCGGTATAGGAAATGTGTGGCGATTTCCTTATCTTTGTTACCGAAGCGGCGGTGGTAAGTATTTCACTGCTCGTCTTACTCAACACACTGAACAATAATAGCCAGCGGTTAACGCGAACCTACATACATACGTCTACATACACGTATATACGATTGACTGACTGCATTGGTCGAACCAAACGGTATAGGCTACGAAATTTTAACTCAAATATCCTTTCACAGTGTAGGTGAGCAATAAGCAGCAGTTTTAGAAAATCCGAACTACGATTAACTTTAAACTGTTTATTTACTCTAAGAAATATTACAAGTTAAATTGCGTAATATTTTTATTGAAGCAAAGAAGAAGTAAATATAAGAACACATACACCTACATTTGAATGTACATACATACATATGTATGATTATAAGTATTTATATTAAATTATAATTTTCACCAAGCATTGTTATTTTTTGTACGCTTGGGGCCCGGGCCAGCGAGCTTTTGTGTCCAAAAATAATGACATGCCTTGGCGCTATGAAATGCAATTTACGCTTCTCCCTCACCATATGTGTTATTTTTAGCTTTTTAGTAAGCTTTTGTGTCAAAGCTGCACAGTTTATGACGGCATTTTGATGGCGGCCAGCGAACGCCTTCGATAGCTCAGTTGGTAGAGCGGTGGACTGTAGGGCTTCCCAGGCTTGGTGTATTGAGGGCAGATGGTAGCTATGGGCACACGATAACCTCGAGCTTGTGCATCTGTTCTTGTATCATCAAACACTAAATCACCAGTTGTTGAAATCCATAGGTCGCTGGTTCAAATCCGGCTCGAAGGATAGAAATTTTTATGTTTCAAATTTTTTTTGAATTATTGTCAGGAAGTTTCGCACCTGCGATTTTGAACAAATCTATACATTTCTATAAAGTTACTTATGGTTTTAATTTGGATTGATTTCAGGGGCTTTTCTAGTGCCGTACTTACTGATGGTATTTTTCTGTGGAATTCCATTATTTTACATGGAAGTATTAATTGGGCAGTTTTCCAGCACTGGCTGCACGGGCATGTTCCGATTGGCGCCAATATTGAAGGGTATGTATAATTTATCTTCTAACAGCCATAAGTCTATACTATTACCAATAACAGGCACTGGAATTTCCATGGTAATTGTTAACTGGTACTGCGTTTGTTATTACTCCGTCATCATAGCCCTACCCATTCGGATGATGGTGTACTGCTTCTGGGAACGCGTTCCTTGGATTGACTGCAACCATCCATGGAATACGGAAAATTGCACCTCTACTGATATGGTATGTGAGTAATTTTAGCTCACCGACATTCTACCAACACTAATTTTATGCAGCTGGGAAAAGGCAATAGCAGCGACTCTTTTAAAACATCGGCAGACGAGTTCTTTCAGTAAGTCTTATCTCCTAATAATTGGAGTCTATTACTACCTTACACGGCGATTTTTTACTGAATCCAGTGGGGCTTTCGAACTTTTTTCGTTGTTAAAATTATATCTTCTGAACTATAACGGTATTTTCATGAATCAAATTGAATTTGAAGGAAATTTCCTAAGCTGCAAAATATGTTTACCCTTAATTATAGTAATGAAAAATACTCCTACAAATTTATAATAGTTTTTCTTCCTTTGGTTATTCTAGCTTTTATGCTTTCTGTGATCCTTGCTCCATTATTATCCTGGAACCATTATTAACATATCGAAGCCTTGATTTCGATTTATAATACAAACTTAAATAAATATTTAAAATATCCCCATTTTCATAATCGAGCGTTAGGCAAATGAAAGCTACACGTATGAGGCTAAATGAGAAATAACTTATTATTTATTTAGCCTGATATGCAAGTTTCTGACTTTACCAATTTTACTTTAATTACCCTATCAATAACTTAATATTTCAAGCCTAGAAGTGCTACGCATATCGGAGAGCATTGAACATATCGGGAATATAGTTTGGGAACAGCTGGTAAGCCTGTTAATTGCGTGGATTATTATTTATCTGTGTGTAGTACGTGGCATTAAGTCGGTAAGTAATTGGAAAATATATAATTGTACTGGTCGTGGTTGTGTAAAATTTAGTTTTCATCGTCAGGTGGGTAAAGTCGTCTACTTTACGGCAATATTCCCATACGTGCTTCTGTTCATATTGCTCGTGCGAGGCGTTACGTTACCGGGCGCCCTAACTGGCATAAAGTTTTATATGTATCCAGAATGGCATCGACTGCTCGACTTGAAGGTGTGGGCCGACGCAGCCATTCAGATGTTTTTCGGTCTTGGACCTGGCTGGGGAGGTATTGTGAACATGGCCAGTTTCAATGATTTCCGCAACAATGCCAAATTTGATTCCATACTCATACCCATTATTAATGTCTTAACAAGCATTTTCGCTGGCTTCGTAGTCTTCTCCGTATTGGGTTTTATGTCCGGTGAGCGTAGAAAATATTCCAACTTTATGTTCCAAACTCATAAGTGTTAACTTAAGAGAGATCGGGAGTCCCAGTGGAGACGGTTGCCACATCTGGTCCAGGTCTGGCATTCGTCACATATCCTGAGGCCATTGCTATGCTGCCGCTGCCTCAGATCTGGGCTTTTATGTTCTTTTCAATGCTCTTTCTGCTGGGCATCGACAGTGTGGTAAGCATTTAGATAATAATTTTATAGAGCTGATAATATTGAAAATAATTTAATTAAAGTTTGTACAATTGGAGGCCATCGTTACTGCGGCCCTAGATGAGATTCCAAGACTTCGAAACCACAAGCGAAAACTAACGCTATTTGCCTGTTTCGTCTTTTTCTCCATGGCCATCATTATGACAACGAATGTAAGTATGTTGGCAGATAATTTTCTCACAAATTTGTCAACTTATTCAAAAAGGCCTTGAAAAATATATCTGATATATATTTCTGAAAGAAGCAAACACTTTTTACATAGCTGCAAAATTGCATTATGCATTTTTTCCCCTTTAATATCTTTACTGTGCTTCTTGGCAGGCTGGCATGTACATACTACAACTATTCGACTGGTATTCATCTGCCATATCGGTCATCTGTATTTGTTTAGTAGAAGTGATTATGGTTGCGTATATTTACGGCATCGACAACTTCATGACAGACGTAGAATTCATGCTGGGCAGACGTCCGAGTCTCTTCTGGAAAATCTCTTGGAAGTACGTAACACCTATCATTCTCATCGTAAGTATTGCCGAAATTAAACCAAGAGCTTTAACTAATACGAGTCCATTTATTGCAGTGCATTTTCATAACTAGCATCATATTTATTCGCACCATCACTTACAATGGTCAGTCATATCCCCATTGGGCGATTATAGTTGGTTGGTGCAGCTGTGCATCGTCTATAATTTGGATTCCACTCTACATATTCTATATATTGATAAGGAAACGAGAGACCATGTGGGAGAGCTTCAAAAAGCGGTTGAAGCCTCTGGATTGGACACCAGCTGATCCGGAAGACCGCGCAGAATACGAAGCCTTCCGACGGCAACGTCGAATGCCCGCCTTTATGTCCGACACATCTGCTGATGTAGATGTATGGGCCGATGGAAAGCAATGATTACATTTTATTTATGCTATATATGCTTTTATTGAATTTTTCAGCTCAATGAAATCAACAAACACACCGCCTTTGTATAATTGAGTTGCACTTATTTCGCTGATGGTTAGTACACTTATCTTTGCTGAAAATATTAACGCCATGATAGACTCTTGGAAAGAAATGTGGGAGTTAATAGCCACAGTTATACATTTAAATAAACCAGCACTCCAAAGAGCTGGAAAAATGTTACGAACATAAAAACTGCGCATAGCTCGTGACAAAACCCTCTGACAAGCTAAGCCTAAGACAATACTTAAGTGCCCCTCAAACTGGTTCTAACAACATTCACAATTAAAAGCTTTATCATCATTTTTGTAGCACCAAGCACTGAACCTAAGTTGGAACATGTGCACTTTTATTCACAGCTTAATGATTTTTTGTTTAGTATTAAAACAATTTTTAATTTTTCAGCTCTACTTTCTGCTTTTAGGCATATTCTTATGCCTGTGTGTATGTATATACATTCCTTTGAATAGAACGACACAGCAAGCCCATACAGTCAAGTTCGTTTGTAAGTCTGTTCCTGTCACATCCCTTCTTGAAGTTTTTACGCTATTTGGCTAAAGTTTTTATGCCAAGACTTTATATTTCTAAGAGCTATTTTGCAATCTAATAGATAGGAGTTCATTTGATCGTTCTGCTCATCATTAAACCTAGAGTCAGAAACGCACGAAATTTCTACACAAAATTAAGAGAGTTACAAATTTGTATTATCGATGACCAACATTTCGGAGGTTCCCATAATCTCCTCGTAAAAACGCCGATTGTCAGCATCAACTGGATGCCAATCGTGTGGAGCAAAAAGTTGCGTCAGTCGGTATGGCCAGGATCCGCTGGTTTGGCACACCTTATATAAAATGTATATTATTGCGATCAAGAAGACTATGCACTGAATGATCCAAGGCAGCGCTTGGTGTAGTTCGTCTCTTTCAAAAAAGTACAAAACCTCTATCTGAAAAAACAAAATAAAGAAATTTGAATTTCCACCTTCCCGATCACTGATTTCCCAACTCTACCTACCACAAAAAACAATAATAGTACTGGAGTTATAAAGCGAATTAAAAATATTTTAAAATTTGAGATCGTTTTTCCCAACATGAACTGCAAATCAGATTGGAAACGTTCACGCCCATAAACCCAAGTGGTCATCAGCAGTAGCACCACGGACAGGAAAATATGTGTGAGTAGTCCCACATTTGGCAGAATATCCAAGTGGCGAAAGCCTTGCTGTAAGATGGTAAATAAATAGTTCTAAAAAAGATCTTTATCAGCTGCAGATCACATACTTGGGTACAAAAATAAATGGAGACAGCAATGAGACTCGTTCCAATGCCAACAGTGATCCAATCCTTTTTTGAGCGCAATTGCTCGAATTCATCAAAGAGCGCCGTTAGCACCGACACTACTTGAATGACCTTGCAAAGAAATAAAACTAATTACTTTAAACCATTCAAGCAAATGTGGAAAACTTACCAAACAACAGAACTCGGCTAGGAATACAATACTAAAGAAGAGGAAAGACCACAGATTGGGCAAACTTGAAAGACTACCAAAAAAGTAAGCGTAACAAAGGTACAAAAATTGCAAAAAGTGCTCTTCCTCCACATGCCAATGCAACATACCCACATGAACTGTAAATAACGAATAGTTAAGAAATTAAGAGTAGAATACTTTCCCCCTTTTCTTTTCAACATACGTTCGAAATGGTCAAAAGCCACCGATCCAGCCAACAAAGCCATTAGACAAATCAGTACGTGAGTCAGGCATATCCATAGGGAAAGGCGTTCGCTATCGGTACGGAAACTGTTGTAGCTGGAAAGAGTGATCACGCTACCCCAACCGGGGCCCAACACAAATGTGGCCATTAACATGGCACATCGAACTGCTCCAAAGATACCCTCAGTGCTGTTTTCCAACATGGGGTGCAAATACTCTTCGAAATTATGCAAACTCAGTTTCTGCTGAATCAAAACATTGGCAAATATGGCCAGAAAAAATCCAAACATGAGGACGCAAATACAGCGAAGCACCTTTCCGATCTGTCAAAAGTATGTTAAGCTTTACAGTATGCCTTCAAATTTATATTTAATTTTGTATTAAATGCATGCAAGAAGGTCAATTAACGTTTCTCAATATAAGTATTTGAACATTTTCGTTTACCAGTGTGTGGCTCTATATCCAAATTAGTTACCAGTATATACTTACAAAGGACACATGCTTCAGCAATATAGCGATGGCCACAAACCCTACAATCAAGGCACCAAGCAATATAGACCAAGAAATAGTTATGGCACTCGCATCTTTGCTAGTGCTGCTAATCACAGAGCTGTAATGTGAAAAATGCAACCACTTTATAATATAAAAGGGGGAAAATGTGAAAAACTGTGTAATAATTACCGAAAGAATTCAACGGTGGAATGTGGGTCCTGTATGTCATCCTGTTATTTCGGTAAATACATATTTTTTTATAAACATTAGTAATTGAAAATTATTTTGCCTTTCTAATCTCATACTTACTTCCGCATTGTATTTATCGTGAACAGAACAGTTGGCCGTATTCCAAGTGTTGTTACAACTCATCCACGGTAGAGTGTTGTGCAGGGAGTGGACGGCATAAACGAACGGCACAGCACTGGTGATGATATAGTAAGGCACCGTCGTTATGTTAACCAAAAGAATTGAATAGCCAATCCCTATTAAAAATACCAAACTAATGTTAATTTTTTTAAGCTATGTATATAACGGTTTTTTTTACGGAAATACCGAATACTGCTTGGGAATGTAATATACAAGTACATATGTATATTGGACAATATAAAGATATGAACTTTGACAATATCTTATAAATTAGCTTCAGATGGAAATTGCAATTATTTCATGTATCTGAGGCAACGTAATCCAAAATATAAATATTCTGATCTAAGGAGCGATGGAAAACACACACCATATATTTAAATTTCTTTTATATTCCCAATTAAAATACTGTTATATTTCCAAATACAAATCTTATAGACGACTTACTGTGTTGTTTTATATGTGAGATACATACCTTTAAATATTGGGGACACACGAAATGCTGATATTGAACCGGATGTGGAGAACTGGCCCAAAAACGTTTGAATTATAAATGTGGGTAATGCATAAAATGCTATTGCCAGCGAATAGGATAATAATAGGAATTCTGCAAGAAAATTAATAAAAGAATATAGTTATACATATATGTAGTTATACCACAGATATGGAAACTTAAGTTTTTGTTTGAGGGTCAATTTAAATAACAGTGTCGTATTAATTAAAACACGTGAATTGAAATATTTATACGTAGATTTAAATACTCACTCCAACCACCGAACATCAAAGCGTGAACAAGTATTTCTGAGAATATCATCGAGCTGAACGCATGACAGGTGCAGGCGAAATAGAAGTCAGCAGAGTTCGCCCAGCGTCCTCGCTTCTTATCCCATCGAAAAGGACGTTCCATACTGTCGTAGGCGCTTGTTGATCGCATTGGCGGGTTATGTAGGTGAGTTGACCTCCAACTTGTAGAAACAGGCGAGCCATTTCCGCTGCTACTGGCCAGCATGCAATTGCTGATTCGTTGCTTGGCCTCAATACATATTTCTTTCATGTTGTGTCAGGAGGTATTGAGGTTCTGATGAAAGCCTTAATGCTCATCTAATAATTAATTCTTTGTGCGTCATTCGTTCTTTGTTTTTGCTCACTGATAACACCTATTTTAAAATAGTGCAGAGGTCAAAGCTATTTTAGGTGCTTTAACTTTTGTTTAATAGAATTGTTAAATGTTATTATTTATTGTTCAGTCTATTAAACTTATGATACTACCCTAAGCACTATAAGCAATTTTTAATTCTGAAATAACAATTTTGCTTGCTAATATAAAAATTCTTTAATAAATTAAAAAACGTCATGGAACGCATCCAAAACATTTTTCTATACTCGTACTGTCAAATCTGTTTGGGGTCATCTGTTTGGCGACCTGCTTGCTATCAGCTCCCAACATGAATTTACTAGTCCACAGCGGATTGAAACGGACAGTTGACATTTCTCTTTTGATAGCCATTATGTACTCTCAATCTCTTAATATGTGACAGTAGGTTGAGAGTAGATGTGGTGTACCCTAATTCTAGAGCGTTAGAATAAGCTAAATCGGCAATTGAAACAATCTCTAAATATCTAATCAAATTGTATTGCTAGTAAATTATCTTATGTTAACTCTCCCCTATTATTGTTGAAGTAGAAGTCATAATTATGGGTTAATTTTTTTTATTCTACGACTGTCAAATTTTTGAACAAAATATATCTTACGATGTGCATTTTTGTAAGCAATATCTTCCCAAACCAACCTCTTCATGTTGACAACTTTTCTCAATGCTAAATTTACCCCAAAACACTTTTTATAGTTCCCTGGTTTCCAGAGCTAGCGGGAAAAAAGCAAAATTAGCAGCACTGGTAAAAAAATTGGTTGAGAGTAAGTAAGAGAGAGAGGACGAGGAGGGAGAGGGGGGAAGGTGAAGAAAGCGAGAGAAGCTCTGACGAATTCTGCGTCATTTTATACTCATATACTAGTTTATTTGTGTTGATGAAAGAGCGCCAAGTCAGCTGTTTTTGTTTTGAATTTTCTTATCGCGGTCGGTGGCAATGACTTGTGTAATTCCAACCTTGAATAAATATATTAGAGTATATAGTCCACAAAAATTCAATGAAATATACGGGTATATCTATTATTAGATTATAAGTAATGAATAGTTTGTCAAATTTATCTACACATTTATAGCACTTTTCTAGCAGTGATTGCGGAGAAGAATATCTGTGTATCTGTGTACACATGCACATACGAGTACTTATCTGTATATGTATGTACAATATACAATGAAATATAAAGCACATAATATTTACACATGTACATACATATATCATATTCTATCTATAAGTAAACAGCTAAGAAAACACACAGCGCAAGGTACAAAGAGCAAAACAAACTACTTGCAACGCAAAAAACAAAAACCAGCAACAAAGGAGACGCCGACGTCGACGCCACAATGCCGCGAATAAAGTCTGCCCAGCGCTGTCGAAGCACATTTAAGCAATCAAATGAAGTTGTTGCTGTCGATGACGTTTTTTAAAAATAAATTGCATTATCCCATATGTATGTATGATTCGTAAATGTATTGCGTACATCAATATGTAGACACAATTGATAAATAGACAACACTTTTGATTTCAGTCTCACAAACAACTCAATCTTTGAACCTTCACTGATTTATATTATTGTTAACTGCAACTAGAAACAATGTGTGGAATGCGAAATGCGAATGAACAGCTCGACGCGGCACTCTCGACTGCCCGTCTGTCTATCTTGCGCGAATCTCCCAAATCAATTGCCTTTCAATTCCCACAAACACACTGTGTGTGTCAGTTTATTTCGCGTATCGCTCTCGTCTCGTTTGGCGAGTAGAAAAGCCGACTGGCAGCCGTCGTGCAATCAGAAAATGTGGCGTATTCGAAGTGCACTTTTTGCTTTCATTGCGCATCTACGTCACATGAACAAGCTTTTGTTTATGACCTGTTAATGTTTATAACAACTTAAGATTTATTTTAATTAAAAGGCTTGCATTCTTTCAAATAGTCGAAAAAAGCAAAAGATTACAAATTGTTTATTGAAGCTATTTTCTTTTCTTGATTCTCAAAAGACTTACTTTTCAAAGTTTTATGAATGGCATTTTAATATTAAAAAAGGAAGGAATGTAGAGCCATTTCTAGAAAGTCAAAAAATCTTTTTAAAGATTTTGAAACTACTTTTTTTCAAGTTAAATTAACTTAATAAGATATATAGACGGATGATTGCACATGTAAAATGTACACTAAGCTACTATATAAAACGAACGAACGGTTTTCCTATATGCTTTATGTTTTAATGTATTTACAACTCTGTTTTAAATTCATATATACTCTGTATTATTAATGAACTTTGTGACCGTTATCGGATTGCATTCCAATTAAATCTATCTTTTTTTTTTTTTTAAAAAAAAGGTATTTATTGGGCAACTGTTTGCCATTCGACTTTCGACTGTGTGGCTGTTAAGCAAATATTAAATATTTCCGCTTAATCTTATCTAAATCAAAAACAAATATTCTGCAAAACAAAAACAAATATTCTTGTATATATTTTTGAGCTTCCCATTTGTAGATAAAAGAAAAACACATAGGTTGTCTATCAAAATATGTTTTATATAAATAAAAACAGTTTGTGAATGCGGCGAAATTTTGATAATTAATGAAAGGTACCCTGTTTTTATATACAAAGTTATCTATTTATATGTACTTATGTGTGCCATGATCATAACTTATGGACGAAATCTGAACCTAAGCATCCTCCTTGGCAGTTTCGTTTGCATGTCAGTTTTCATTTACGAGTATGTTTGGGTTAAGTTGGTTAGATAGTTCCGGGGGCAGGGGCGGCGTTGATCGAAGCGACCGACTGGATATGGCCAGCGAGAGGAGCGGTGTGGACAGCGCCACGAGTTTGGGCGGTGTAGACACCTTCATGGGCTACCGGCGCCACAACCACAGAAGGCGCAGGGGCAGCAACAACAGCTGGGGCCACGGCATGGGCTGCTGGCGGCCAAGCGCCAACCGTAACGGCTGCGGGCCAGGGAGCGTGGGCCCAGGGAGCGGCCACCACTGCGGGACCGGACACGGCTGTGTAGGATAGTCCATGACCGGCAAGCTGTGAGATCAATGGAATCACAGATGACTGCACACCCATGGAGAGGGCCAGAGTGAAAACGGCAACGATCGAGAACTGCAAAAAGAAATTAGAATTACAAGTTCCCATGATTGTCATTAGTGTGCAAACTTACTTTCATTTTGGTAGTTTGGCTTCTAGGACTGTTGCTATCACATAAACTGTGCAACGCTTGAACTCTTGTTCTACACTGATCTCGTAACCGTTTTGCCGCCAGTTTTATAGCAACTGCCGCGACGATTTTTTAACGAAAGTAAGAGTGTCCAATACGTCAGCTACTTTTAGCGCCTATTAGTGTGAACATATCAGACATATCTACTTATGTGTCCGATGCTGTCCGGTTCTGTTCGCATGCATGTGATCGAAGCTAATAACACATTGGTAACAAGCGACCACTTACCACTTACATCAACCCAGACCCAGACCTAGAACCAGAGCCAGACCCAAAGTCAGACCAGCGTGTTCCATTGCCTTGATCTCTCGCAAGCGGCAACGCCCGGCAGCGTCCATATGCGGACTCTGTCCAACCCACTTTCAAACGCAGTTCCGGTACGAGTCTATGTCTATATACTATATGTTCAACCGCCTGTCCGTGAACGGCGAATGATTAAAGCACTTTAATTACCCAACTGCTTGTAGTATGTATGTATGTATGTATGTTACACTAATTGTATGCAATTCTTTGTTGTTCAAATTTACAAACAGTACTTTATAAGATTCCTTATAAGTTAAGTCTATTATTTTCCACATTGTATTTATGTATATACGTACATATTTAAGAAGGTGTGGTGCTAATTTCGAATATTTACACTTCAAACTTAATAATATTATACACGCATGTAGTTGATATTGTATATATAGCTATTTTAAACAAACTAGTCCTAAAAAAATGTTGTTAGAGAAGTATAATATTAAAAGGAATCTTCACATGGTGCAGTTTAATAGCTAGATAATAAGAAAACGGTATCCATGACAGGCACAATATGGATTTGACAAGACAATAGGACATTGAAAATCGAGCCTTACATTTGTTAAGCAAAAACATGGAACAAAAAAGGATGCATATTTTTAAAAGCAATTTTTACTTTTTATAACATTAAGTAAACTTTGAAATTCTAAAAATAATTTTATAACTTTTCTAATATTGAAAAGATGAATTTTAAATATCTGATTCATCCTAAAATAAGTTTTTGTAGGGTCAATTGAATTCTTTTTCGATTATCTTTTGTTTAACGATTATGTCAAATCAGTATTTTTTTGACTCTAAAACTAATACGATAGAGCTCAACATCTCCAAAAATAAAGGAATGCGCAATTAGGTATAAAATCTACAAGTATGTTGAAATATGCTTATTAAAGAAAGTAAAGCTGAAGTAAGAAGAATGTATTCAGAAATCTTGTGAAATTATTTTGGTAATACAAGTATTCTCGAAGTATAACAAATTTTAGGTCGATTGAATAAAACTTAGCAGAGATATATGTTATATATAGTACATTTATATTAAAGACAAAGAACAAAAAAAAAATGTTTTCATATATTTTCAGGGACTTTCATCAAGCATTGCGTCTTACACATCTGTGTTTGAATCTGTATGTTTTTAGGCCCGTACCAAACATAATAACATAAAAAACAGATACCTTAATTGGGTTGGAAACCAGATTAGCAAGTTTATATGAAAACAAAAATATTAATACCGACGTTTATCAAGAATTCCACATATAGAATGAGCTACATATGTCAAGATGGAGGCATTCCATCGGGGTATTTCATAAGTTGCCAACCAAACAAAGTATACCCTTTTACCCTTTTGGATGCAGAAAATGTGTGTGGTGTGTTGGTTGCTATAAATTATATATACTTATGTACATATGTAGATATTTGCTGAATGTACAGGTGGCGACTGTTGCCATTGCTGGGCTATAATTACTGTTGGCGTAATTAAGCACACGCCCTGTAGTCTAAATTGTTGATCATGAGACGGCTTTTGAGCGCATTCTGTTTGTTACAATTATATAAAATTACTCGTACTATGATTTAACTATTGCGCGCAGCTCATAAACTGTACAATTAGAAATGTATGTTTGTGTTCAAGTTAAGCATTTATAATAATATACATAAATTGTAGAGGCAGCTTAAGAGTTAAATACAATTTTAATTTATTAAATCAAGGTTTTTAATCAGTTTATCAATCAATTTATTGTCTTTGCCGTCCACCTAATACTGAGTTGTATTTAATACAATTAGCACACCCGTTTCTCAGAAGGGAAGACTTTCTGTTTACCATGAGCTGCAGTGAAATCCACTGGAATACAATATCAGAATAAAGTTTTGTAGTTTTAAATATTTTGTATACCCTGCATCTAAAAGGTAAGAGGTACTAGCTTAGTGCGAATGAATTGAACACACCAAAGGACGCGTGGCAGGCTTCACAAAGCATATATATTCTTGATCAGCATGACAAGACGAGTCAATACAAAAATGTACGTAAGTAAAACGGAAAGTATAAGAGCTAAAATAACCACGCTTAGGAGAATCTGAATATTCTCCTAAGTTCTTTTTTTCCTACACCACCAAAGTATATACATTATTAATCACTATGACAAGACGAGTCGAAATAGCCGTGCTAGAATAACCAAACATGGTATTCAAATTATCTCAAGCCCGAGAAATTACGAGCTTGATTTTTTTCAAATGCACCCCCAACATCCTTGCTATTAGTGGTTTTCCCTAACCTCCGTAATTCTTGGAGTTTTCAACATAAATTTGGCACAACACATCCCGTCAGTGTTTATGGGTTGTGTTTTATTATGATAGGTAGAGGAAGTTATAGCCGTAAATGTCATTTCTGCCCATGCTCAGCCCGCAGCTGTTGTTCTTGTTACTGTTTTTGCTCAACTCCGTACTGCACACTTACAAGAACACATAGTCAAGCATAGACACAAAAAGACATAATATTTATAATATTTATGTAAATTTATTCTATTGAAACTGTACGAATCTACTATGTGTACGTGTTATATTTTTTTATTTTATTGTGTAAAATTTTTGTTTTCTTTTTGTTGGAGTGGGTACAGGATATTTTGGAGTTGAGCCCAATGTTAATGTTTTCCCTGCAAGGAAATGATTTTCTTCCTTTGGGAAATAAAAAATTAAGCATTTCAATATTCGCATAAATAAAAGCACTGCTTGATTTTATTTATAACGTTTTCGTCAATTTTACAATTGTTGCAAATTACTAAATATATATATATATGTGTGTATATAAGAATTAGGTACAATTTACAGTACATTTCTATGTACACTGTGTGATAGATGTATAGAGAAATAGAGATGTCTAGAGAAGATGAGTTGAAAAGTTGAATTGTGGAACACTGAAAGTTCTCAAGAAATAAAATTAACATGCTGTTATTTGTTGGTTGTAGTTGTTGTAATTTATGTTGGACTTATTTGCTGAACACAGAACTTACTCAATTGTGCGCGTGAATGTGTTTTGAAGAGATAGAAATAGAGAGATGGAAGGATACAGCGACTAAGGCCGTGCCCTTGCCGTTTGGTGTTTGTGTCGGGACTAAGAGCAGTGTGCTTAGCAATACAGGAGGAGAGTAGAGTAACCGAGAGATGTCGTGGTCGCTGGCAGAAGTAGAAGTGGAATACGAGGCTCAGTGAAGATTTGGTGAACTGTCGGATTATTGTCTTTTTCTACTTCATTTGGCATTGTTTGCAGCGTGGAGAGTCGAATTACAGGGTTCCGGGCGCTGGAGCCACATTCACAGACGTGGCGGAGCTGATGTGGCCGGCTAAGGGTGCAGTGTGAATAGCTCCGCGAGTTTTGGCGACATAGACACCCTCATGTCCATGTCCAAGCCCAGCACCGGGTCCTTGAGCAAGGGCGATGCCGGGAACACCTCCGAGCCAGCCATGACCAGGCAGACCCCAAGGAGAAGCTACGGATATGGCAGCTGGGCCACCCCAGGCGCCGTTCCAGCCGCCATTCCAGGCACCATTCCAGGCACCATTCCATGCACCGCCCCATAGACCAGGACCTGCCACCGAGCTAACGACTCCCGGTGCAATCTGGGTGATAGGACTCCAAGACGCCTGGACACCGACGAGGGCGCAGATCAACATGACTACGGCAGCGGCGAACTGTAATTGATTGAGAAATGATTATAATAATTCAATTATTCTGGGCAACTCCCACAGGTCCTGTTTGGACTGTTTACCTTCATGTTGTGTTTGGTGTAAGTTAGGTTTGGAGAAGTTGAAAAAGAAGGAAAACTTGTTGAACGTTCAACGAGCGATTGGATTCTGATTTCAACCACGAAATTATGGCAACTTTTATACTAAAACTACGTCAGACAATTGGACAGCTCGGAACCTAGGTTTTCACAAACATTGCCTCGCCTCACCCACAGAGCTAGGCCGACGGCAAGCCAAAAAAAAACCTGCCCCGAACAACAATAACAAGAATAGCATATCAAAATCTAAAAATGCACAAAAACCGAGACTTCATTTCAAATGCCCGACGCCTTATGGCACAAGCCAATGAGTTAAGCTCGTGCCGTTGCTGTTGCCGATGCAGCGTTTTTGCTCTAAAAATGCGCAGAATTGGAATTGGATTAGATTAAGCCAAATGCTTTGCACGTGTGTGCCTGGCGCTAACCTTTCACTGCCCAACTAGTATGGGGCGTCGCAGCGCGTCGCGCCGGTTCGATTCAGATCGGGGCCCCACAAGCACAAGTGCCGAAGTTGCTTGGGTGTGGGCCAACATTTTCGCGAAGTAGTCGCGGGTCAGCAGCACACCAAACGAGCGGGGGAAGTCGTTCGCTCTGCCTTGTTGCGCAAATTACAATTAACAAGAATGCAGAACTAATAAAACTAAACACACACATACTTATGTACCTGCAAAATGAACGCTGATTGGCTAACAAGCGAAGCTTTTAAGAATCTCAGATCGAATCAAAACGATCAGATTAAGAAATAGTGCTTAAAACGAAGTACATTAGTGACAATCCATAATTTTATCAACTATAGCAGCTGTGCTGGCAGGTGCGAAAGTACAGGTAAAATACTGCCGGCTCAGCAGGTTTGTCTATTTGGGTGCCCATTTCCATTACAGACAGTAAATATAAAAATAAAGGAAACCCGTTGGCGGAATGTTATGAAAATACGTTAAGAGATAAATTTACATATTACGAATAAAATACAAGCCTAAAATCTTAAGAGCAAGCTTATTAATTTAATTGATTAAGTAATTTATAAATAAATATTTATTTAATATGAATTACAAATTGAAAGAAATTTAATTTTTCAAATTTTTTCAATACTATTTCAAGTATGGCATTTTAAATTAGTGCAAAATGAATGTATTTTTTATTGATTTTAAATTATTACAGCCTTATGTACATAAATAAACACTCACAATTCGTGAGTGCCACTTGCGCGATACAAAACAAAAAAGCAAGTTAATTATATCAATTTTTGTGCCCATCGCTTTAGTGAACGGTTATTGTTTGTTTGGCATGAATGAGTTTGTAAAGCACGAAAAGACGCATTCTTAACTCCATAGGCACATACATACAAACATATATAGGTACATACATACATATGTACATAATTAACCACTGCTTCAGAAGCAGATTTTCGCTTTTCTTCTGCATGAAAACAAAACAATAGTAATTAAAACAAAATACAAATGTTATATTGCGAATAATTTTTAATAATCTCTAAAGCATGATGTCTGTATAAATATTATCAACTAGTTTTTCATGATTATGTTGCAGTGGAAAGTATTGCGTGACTCCGTTTTTTAGTGGAAATTTTAAACAATACATTTTTAAATTTACTTTTTCCTCAACAGCTGATTATCGCCACAAAAATCTTGGGAAAAGCAGATTATTCGTAAAAACAAATAATTTCTTGCTTACAGTAATATTTTTCAAAAGTATGACTATGTCTTCAATCAATCTATTTTAACATTTGGCGTATGTAATTTTTATTGTACACAATTCTTCATATACATTGGTCGCTAATGAAAATTTAATCGATATTTACCATGAAATCGGATTCCTATTCCATTATTTCTATCTTATTTGCATGCACTCAGAAACTATATTGACTTTCAAAGAATATGGAGTTTAAAATCAAGTTATCTATTCAGTGTTCCTTTCCTTCCTGTTCCTATGAACATTTCGGATTTTTAAATCAACCCTGAATTATTATAGTGAAAAATATCGAGTGTAAAGCACTTTTAATTTTAGCATTAGTTTTACATCAGAATCCCCATAATGGCTGGTCTAGCTACTAAAGCGACTGCTTACGCCAATAGTAAGTTTGCAGTATTTCAACAAGCATAATCATCATTATAAAAAATGTATTGCATTTAGAACTTTCGGCCCAGATGCGACCGCATTTCGATGAATTCTGGAAGTACGCTAAAGTCGAACTCGCGCCTCCGTTGCCGGCTGATTTCGTTAAGATCCGTAAGACGGTGGAAAAAAGCTCGAAGTATGCAAAGGATATTAAATCGCAGCGCAATCGCTTTGCCGACATTACCATTTCGCAGGTCTGGCTCAACACACTGGTAACCGTGGAGGTTGTCACTTGGTTCTTCATGGGCGAGTGCATTGGCAAGCGGCACATTGTGGGTTACAAAGTTTAGTTTAACAACACACTCATAATCGTCAGCCCAGTATATCCTTACCAATGGGTTGGTCAAATAGTTGTGCATTATATATTTCTCTTTTGCTTAAATACAATTTGAACTCTCACGCGAAAGTGACTTTATTCAGTCTAATGCATAAATACATACATTGTACATATACATATGTATTCATGGATAGGTGCGCCGCCAATATTGTGAATTCCAACGATTTAATAACCGATTTTTTGCATGAGCATTGCAAAAGGAAATCAAGTTGGCATTGATCTTGGTATTGCGGCCCAGGTGCTGAGCAAATTATTGATAGAATGCACTTACCGACATATATGTATGAATGCACTATATTGCAGACTATACATACATTCATATTGATATTCGTACTTGTGTAGGTGGTGTTTATGGAGTATGTTTGTAAATACATATGTACATACATATGTATATTGCAGAACATTGAGGATTGTAAATACATAGAACTGCCAACACAGCCCAACGAGAACAAACGAACGGATAGACAAACTTGAAATTGAGCGTAGCACTCATACACAGTGCACACATTGCAGCATTTACCGTTTGGCCCAATTTTAATGGCATTTTAATAACAAAGCCACCACTCACATGCGCAACGACCAGTCATTGCCAAAAGCCTAGAGACGGACGTGTGGCGTGACCGCGAGTGAGGTTAAATTGCCACAACTAATGCTAGTTATGGCCTAAGGACAATTTTTCCTCTAATTAACTAAACTCAAAGACGAAATAGGAATAGGTACAATCAGTACTTGTTGCTACATATTAACACTACTTCTATACACAATCTACCTACATTTTTGGGGAAAAAAATATGACATCATCTCTGTGTCCCTAAGAGTATACATTCCATAACGGTACAACTAACGTGGTTTGCAATTTAAACACAGTATTTTACTGGGCTTCAAATCGATATTCTGCACATCAGAAAGTTCCGATACTGTTTACTTGTTTTTTTTTGTGATAACTGCTTAAAGTTTGTGGGAAAATATTCTCTGCCCAGTATTAACAGAAATTGATCAGCAACCACAAAGAGCTAAATTTAATCTACAAAAAATACAAATTTACATTTTGTAAGTTACAGGTTTGCATGTAAAATACCTTCCCATAATAAAACTTCATAAAAAACAAGAAGGGACATTTGTCTCACTGAAATCACATTTTTTCACGCTCTCATCCCTAGGTCAGACAAATAACAATGCTGCGCAATCGCAGCGCTCGATTACATCATGCAAAAACGCCGCTGGCCAACAAATCTACAGCACCATAAGTCTAAGTCCTTATCAAATTTTCAGTTACAGCCAATGGCAACGCCCACTTTTGGGTATGAAAACTGGCTACGGGCAGTGCTGCTCTAGATAATGAGAATTCCATATTTAAATTGCATAAAGAGAATAACAAACTGATTAAAACACAGCTGAGTTGTATCTATGTATATACATACATACATATGTATGTATGTATATGTCTGCTCGCAAACTATTTTTGTTGCAGTCATTAGAGGAGGGTGGGGAGGGTCTGGTTGGTGTGGTCAGTGGCGCATAAAAAGCTTAGCATAATCAATGTTGGCCACGCTTGAATTCAATTTAGCTGCCAGCCGCCAACTTTGGTGTCACAATTGCACTCACAGCTTTAATATGTAATACGAGACATACAGATATACATACATATGTATATACATATGCATGTATGACTCGTATATACATATGTATGTATGTGTATACATTAGTGTCTGTAAATTGTTGTGCCACCCACGCCTTGTGGCCAGTTGCATGTTTATTGTTTTGTACATTTCTTATGTTGTGTGAACGGCATTCCACATTATTGACTAAAAGTTTGCCTCAATTAGGGCCTCAGTACTAAAGAGTTTGAACAAATATAATTTCCTATATCCGCATGCTTTTAAATCAATTAATATGAAAAATTGGTTTTTTAAAATGAAAATATGCATATCATCCGCAAGGCGCAACATTTACCATTATTTTGTTGTACCAATAGATTGGTGGTTCTTGCAACAGATTTCAGTAATTTCGTACTGGTTGACAATATTTCAATAACTTAAAACAATTTCGTTTCAAAAATGAGCGCGATATTTGCATATTTAACTTTTATTTTAGGAGACTCCCAAATACATAAAGATGACGAAAAACCTGAGAGTGTAAATGGGTAAATGATAACAAGTCGTGACAATATCAGCGAAGGACCACATTTTTTTTCCAAACCCAGTCTTGAGTACAAATATTAATATCATTCATTGTGCTGGTTTTAATGAGAAATGCGAAGCAATTACCGCAAAACAAGCTAAGTAGGAGTAGATAGATTACCGCACTACAATTAATCACTCTGAGCACCTCTTGCGTCGATCAATTGAAACTCTTAGCCGGGTGTATTGGAAAACAAGCTTTGAAAAATCGTTTGTCGGCAGTTGCCGTTGCTGAAGGAGGGGTTGGAGGCAATGTGCAATCTAGGCAGTAGCTTGCAGCCGACTTTGCGAACTGGTTGTTTAAATTCGAGAGTATGCACTTTTAACTAGAGCAGAGGCTGTTTGCCTTGATCGCCGTGCTCGCGATTTTTAAATGGAAAGAGTCGCGTGTTGGCAGTCAAAAGAACCTCATACGCGACATTCCGGGTAAACCATTATAAAACATATGCTTTTCTTCCGAAATATCTTTGAAAAGTACTAAATAGTTAGAATGCATATATATAGTATGTTACTAAATATCTTTGAAAAGTACTAAATAGTTAGAATGCATATATATAGTATGTTACTAAGATTTTCTGTAAGCAAACTATATTCATTTTCCGCAACTCGCCGCAGGTTTTACTGCCGATTAAGCAGAATACCAACAGCCAACATGAATTATTCTCAATGACTTAATGAAGCATAGAGGCATGATATTCCTCTGTCTATACGATGCATACAATATGAAAGGCCTTTATTAAAAGAGGGGTGTCTTTAGTTGAGCTACCAACTTCGCCGAAAATTCGAATCATTAAAAAAACGACTAACCTCTTTCTTCTGTTTCTTTTATGCATAAAGAATATAGTATGTGTCTTTCACATTTTGAAGATGCTGAATAAAATGAACAAAGCAAATGGGAACATTCAAAAACAATTAAACACTTTTTTAAAACATAACACACATTCAATTAGTAATTCAAATAATAAATCAGTATTTGGTTTCAAAGGGAACTTTACAGATGTAATAGGAGGTATTTGTTAAAAATTGAATTAATTTTTTGATGAGATGTTGATTTGTGTGCAATATGTACTTGATATGTTGCTCTATTTTCTATAAAACCTCACACTCAGAAATGTTTGCACAAACGACAAAAACATGTTTATTACTAAAGCGGCAAAGCAGAGTGAAGAATGTAATTCGGTAATAACAATTGTTGAGTTAGTCGGCATGACAGGCGGAAAGGCGACACGTAACATAACCGACTGAGCCAATAAAAGCTCCAAGTAACCAACAGTTGCCTGCCAATTATGGAGCGTCGACAAAGACTACAACGGCAGCCAACGACCGCTTACGGCCCACGCCCACGGCACGAACCGAGTCAAAACTGGTGCATATATGTATATAGTATATATGCATATACATATACATACATATATGCTCGTAACTTAGCCACTTGGACATTCATGCACGCACACATTCATGCATTAGAGTGTTCAGCCAGAGAGGGGACGGTACGCAGGCCAAGGTAAGGCCAGCAAAGAAATAGCAGTACTCGCTGTCGTTGTCGCGTCGTCGCATTGTCGGCTGATTGCAACTGTTGTTGCTGTTGTTGTCATGTCGGTAGCCAAACCCAATAGCAATTATCCATAAATCTTGAAAGACAGCTACTACTACTACTACGGCCTGCCGCCTCATTTCCATTCACTTTTCTCGGCTTCTCGCTGCGTGCGTGCAAACGCACCAACTTGCCGGATGACGTCTTTGGCGCATAACAGGCTGCAATATGACGTAACAAAGCACAAGTTCAAGATTACGCACATGCCAGTTCCTACCAAAGTTTATTGAACGCCATTTGACACAAACACACACGCAATGCCACGCAGAATGAGCTCAAGGCAAGTATTTATTGGCAGCCGACTCGATGGTTTGCGCGCATGCGTACGACAACTTTGCTACCGCAATTAAGCCACTAAGCTGGTTGTATTTCATTGACCAAGTTGACAAGAATGGTTTATTTATTACGATAGTATTTACATTCAAGGAAGGTTGGATCCAAATTAAGTTAGTAAACAGTGTTCATATCAAAGGAAGGATGAAACAGACACCTAGGTAGGCCTCACTTAAGGCAATGCATTAATTGACTTCACGCCAACACATGGACAATCCAGCTTAGATAGTAATGACATAGCAAATAAATATACGAATAAATATGCTCCAAATATGAAATTCCTTTTAGGGTGCAAAGCTTTAATTACAACACCGTTTTCATAAAACGTTAGCTGAACATTACCACGTTTGCTAAATCACATCAGAGTAAAAGCCACCACTAAAGAATGCTTCACTCTGGGAAAGTAGCTCGAAAGGAATTCATCTGAATAATTCAACAAAACAAACTCTCTCATAGCTTTGTTTATCCCAGCTTAGCTGAAAGTGTCAATAAACTATTATAGAATTTTGTTGTTCGTCTTAATAGTTAGCATTAATTCATTTAAACTTATTCAGTTTTGATTTCCAAACAATTTTCGGGTTGACAATAGTTGGTCATTTATTAAAATAAACGAAGAAGACGTGTAGCTAGACAAGTACAATGTGATATGAAATATTTGGATGATATAAAGAGTGATTGATGATTGACTTAGATTGGAGAAATTATGGGTTGAAAGTACTGATGTTTTGTAAGAAATCTCTTCGAGAGTTAAAACATCCACTGCAAATACAATCTACATCAAATGACTGGCAAAACGGGGCTGATTTGTGTCAAGGAGTTAACGTTAACAAGTATTCCTGTATGGGTTCGGTTTTTCGATCATGATGGTGGTTACCAAGTGCCAGGTGCGGGTTCCAAGTTAACAGACGCTGCCGACTGAATGTGGCCGGGCAATGGAGCCACGTGCACTGCTCCACGTGTCTTGGCCACATAGGAAGCAGGAGCAGCGGCCACAACAGCAGCTGGAACCGCCGACAAGACCGCAGGAGCAGACTGCACAAGAAGTGGACCAGCTGGTGCAACGGCGACTGGAACAGCTGCAGGGACAGCAGAAGCTTGGATTGCCACGGAACCAGCTACGGCTGGCACCGAAGATGCTTGGATGGCCACCGATCCAGGCACAGCGGGTGCGCCCAAAACGACAGGGCCATGTGCCAGCAGCGGTACGACCGAGCTGTTGACACCCCAGGCCAAAGCGAACAGGACTACGACGACGGCGAACTGTAAGCAAAAACCACACAAAGATTGCCGTATCAATATGTCTGTTCTACACTAGACTTAAATCGTTCGCTTCTCTTTACCTTCATGCTGCTTTAATGAACTTTAAAACGCTTGAAACGTTACTACTGGACTCTGTCCACTTCTCCAACCTTTTATAGAGCACTTCACGTAGCAGCAAACGCCAACACTAGCAAGTTTCAGAACAACTGCCTCGTTAGTTTCATAATTCTTGAGCATATGTATTAAAAGTATATCAATTTGTTTGGCGATACAAAAACTTGTTTGACATTGTGCCCAGGTAAGCTTAGAAGTGCTGGCTGCACAAATGGGCCAAACTAATGCGGAAATAGTCACACACACATTACAAACATATGCAGTGTCAGGTGCCATAAGGCCTCCTAAGCCTTTTCACTATGTCTATGTACGAGTATTTGCCAATAGTATTCATATCCCAGATACCGTGTCGAAATAATTAGATTCGGTAGTTCAACAAACAAGAAACCTGTCAACTCAAAAATTATTTGATTTATATTAATGAATTGTAATACGAGTAAATATTCAACTTATTGACAATCACAAATTTGATTAAAAAACTTTTTAAAAGTCCCTAAGATCTTATTACACTCTGTACATGAAATGTACAGGAGTACATACATATATTAGGTTTGCGGGAGCTGAAAAATGTAACAGGCAGAAGGAGGCGTGGCAAACCCCACAAAATATATATATTCTTCATCAGCATGACAAGACGAATCGATATACATATGTCTGTGTGTCTGTCCATCCGTCCGTATGAACACCTGGATCGCAGAGACTATAAGAGATAGGAATTTTGCAAATACTCCCAGTTAGTGGTTATGTCTCTGTATGCCATGTTTCACTATAATGGACCGATTTAACCAGAAGTTATAGCCTTAAATATATTTTCTGCCTAAGCGCTGCCCGCAGCTGTTGTTGATGTTGGTGCTTTGGTTGACTGTAACCATGCTCACACGGACACGAATAGACGCGCATAGACATACATACACTCACATAGACGTAATTGCTCGAGTTCGAATACCAAGTGAGGTACAATCGATACAATTTTTTTTTTTTAATTTTCTTAATTTTTTGGCGATGCCATACCACAATAGATCAGTCTGGCAACGATTGCCTAGGGCTTTTCTTGTTGCTGAACGGCTAAGCCTAGTACGCAGCTCGCAAAGAATTAGAACTGCAGCAGAAAATTAACATTTCTTATTGTCGTGTGGTAAGTAATGTGTTTTAGTCAAAAAGTTGCAATCGAGCAAGTTCGGCACTGAAATATACTGCACACAAATTCTCTAGCGGAGGAACGCCACTGAGTTCCTATAAGCCTCGAGTTGCCTTAGCCGTTTGAAAAAGTTAAGCATTCAGACAGACGGACTAGACCATTTTGTTTCGTCATGTTGATCAAAATAATAGGAGTGGATATGCTTCCTTCTGCAAAATATTCGATGTTGAATTTTAAATGGAAGGCTCATCTGTTTAATGAAGTAGAGTTAGATGTCATATAATTAATGCCTTTATCTACCATTTCCTTTCGAACAAAAAAATTATTTGACTGATCTTTTTTATAAAGGCCAAGCCAAGCCTACTACTTACAAAATCAGTTGTTTATTATTTTGTTTATACATCATAAGCGAAAGCACTGAAAATAACATTCATTTACTGTTATCTTTTTACCTTTCTGCTAAAATTAACTTAAACTCAGTTAGCTTTGCAATTTCCATTCAACAGTTACCGGGCGTTGTGAAACAAAATCTTTAGTCATTCACACAGCACACAGCATAGTTCTTGCTTCTACATTTTAAAGAAATTTTATCCTGAACACAAAATACTAATCGAATCACTGCACAATAGAAAAAGGAAGCTGAACAATGGCACGCCTTGTATTCACGGAGAAGGATCACAATGCCTATGATCCCAAGAAGTATCGCGTGAGTGTGAAATCACAATTTCTCATGGGCCCAACTGATGCGTTTTCACCCTCACAGGTGGTACACAAAAACCATTGGCGTCAAGTGAGTCTTCTTCTACAGCCCTCTAATAAAAAATGGTGGGAGGATCCCGATGTGATTGTAGCGTGAGTATTACAAATTTTCATGAATTGGTTATTAGGTGGTAAGGTAGGGTGCGTGCTTGGAGCAGGAGGACGCATTATTCATTTAAGGTAGTGCCAACTTCGTAGATAAGAGCTTCTTCGATCGGAGTGCTTTCCCCTATGGAGTTTGTTACTCGAAATCAGCGGTGGGCACGAAATTTTAAGTCGGGAGCCCTACATCTACAACAAAAACTACCGTTGGTGTTATGAGTAAATTCTACTGAAAATCGGACAACGACGCACGCACTACGTGTATTTTGTTTTTGCATTAATCTGCTTGTGCGTCTTCCTGGCAATAACTGCATGTTTGTATTTTGTTTTTCTAAGTTCGGTCGCGATCGGTCTTTTGCTTGTGCGTCTAGCTGGCGCCACTTACCCAAACGTAACGGAAAGAGCCCTGGGAGCCCAAAGAGCCTCTAGGTGCTCACCGCCGCTCCAAATTTTTAAAAGTGGGAAGTAGAACGACTCATCTCAAATGGGCACTGCTTTGGTCACTACATGGCGATTGCTTTCACCGGTTATTATAATAATAAACTGCCACACACTCAAGATTCTTTAGCCCTGTTCATTATATAAAATTGCCAGTCAGTGTACAATATATAACTGCCACACCTTTAAAGCCACTTAACGTTGACATATTTACATATGTATATACTGACTTAAAGATTTTGTATTGCAACGCTGATTGATCAAGGTTCGAACGCAAGTTTTGTTGCGAATTGCATCACTAAGAGTGATTGAAGAAGTTTAGGCGACTTAGGGGGCCTATGATAGCTATGGTGTTTACAGAGGAGGCTAATTTCTGATACGCGTTCAGTCACGCGATACCCGTCGCCAGGAGCTACTTATAAGGCATTTGATTGATAGTTCTAGTCCTGAATTTGAACATGCCGACGTGCTAAAAATGAATATGTAAATGAACATTGCACACACAAAACAAGTGAGGGGTGGGCGGAGTTGGTGCAGTCAGCCACCTGTCAGCGGAACTTTGGAAAGTAATTGGAAAAGTGATGCGGGGGAAATGGGTCACTCACGTTTTCGGTTATGCATGTGGACTATAATGGTGTCGTAAAAGCAGGCAATGGTGGTGCAAGGTTAAGACTAGGAGGGATGTGGTGGGGCGCAGCTATGCCATTTGTGGGCCCATAATTCAAAGTTCGTCGCTCACGGCCGACACTTTGCGTGTTCCATAAAAAGGGAAATCAAAACAAAGCGGAAACGGTGTCAGTATGACAGAGGGAACAAGAGAATGAAAGAACGAAAGTACTCAAGCGGCGCGTCAGCCAATCAGAATGATATTATTTTTAATGGCGCAGAATTGAATTGCCGTTACCCCCGTCAACAATACTCATAGAACAATAGAACTATAAATGCGAAGGGCCTTCAAAAAGCAGCCGCGCTGCCACGCAATCGGGCCCAGGCTTGGGTCTGCGGCGTCCAGCCCAGCCCAGCCGCGAACTCGCACCTGCAATGTGGGCTCAAACAAAGTTTGGTCGTCAGAAACGTCGGCAGTTACTCTCGCAGTGCACGCGAGGAATTCGGATCGCTTACAAAACTTGACGCGAATGTGAAAGTTTTAGATTTGAAACTTAATTACATTTCAATTTGCGAACAACGTCCTCCGATTCCCCCACCTCCACCTATACGGTTCGCTTCCTTCCATTGTAAAGAAAGTTGCCCCACACATGCCACTCACATCTGCAACTGTTGCACGCTCCGAATCCTTGGAATGGGTGCCTCCTCTCCCGGCCGGAGCGAAGTGCGCAACCGTTACGATGCTGTTGGCCCAGCGAATTGCACGCAACGATTGCTGGTCAGTCGACGATGAACCTTTCTACGGCTCGAACAAAATGAACGTCTGGCAGACTCTAGAGTATCTTTCGAATATCAGCCTGCGTAAGCGTTACAACTATGAGGGTTTTGCAGACACGCAGAATGTGCTTCGAACGCTGACGCCCACCTGGCGACGCGACAGTTTTGCGGAGAAGTCCTCGAAAGCGGACGAGGTCGGTGTTGGCAAGTATGTGGACGAATGTGATGCGGGAGCTGGCACGCGAAGGTCCGGCAGTGCTCCGCGACATACAGTGGCCTCTGAGCTTCGGTCCAGCTTACAGTCCTGCGACAATCTAGCTATCAGCGTTCCTGTTCCCACAGCCAAAGGCATTCGAGTAGCACGCACTCGTGGAAAGCGTCACTCTCGCAAGAAAAAAAACGGCTCTACTAATTTGGATCCCGATTATGCCTTATCACCCGGGGATCTGCAGGATCTCGTGAAGTGCAAGTAAGCTAATTGATAAATATAAAAGCCAGGGCATATAAGCTACATTATAGCAGACTTCATTACTCGTTTCAAGCCTTTTTATCCTAAAGAAGCATTTTTATTTGAATTGTCTCTCAGTCTTGGCTGCTTCATAAAAAAACTATCTAAAAAATTATACCTTTATACATGAGTTACGAAAATTGGCTGCTTGTTGATGGATTTTTATTGTAAACACCCATAAGGTTAATCGAAAGTGCGTAAAATGAGAATATTGGACATCCACTAAGATTCGAGAAAAAGTATTCAAAAATTATAGATTTTCCTTTCTTTTATATAACCATTAAAGAATCGATTTCCCGCACCAGATACTTTGCTAGTGGAGCTGCCTGTTCAGTGATACTTTTGTTTGAAACACGTTTCTAATAGCTAAGCCTGTTTCTACTCCGCTCCTGTGCCTTTCACAGCTATACTATCGTAGTAAGTTCACAATTCTCTTCGAAAATGTTAGCTCCACCAGGCTTTCATTACGCTCTTTTCAATGGATTGTCTGTATTACTTGGTGCCAGATCAATTTGCTTCTTTAACACTATACAATACCCAATTCGCCTATCAATAGATTCAGAAAATTTATTTCAGTGTCGAAAGTTTCCAAAGCTCCTAAAGCGCAAAACCAATTCTCAAACCAGTTTTCTCGGCAGAGCTTTCAAAACCGACGAAGCTCTTAACTCTTAACTGCAATGTACATACATTCAAGGGCATTTTTAGGCCAGCTATAAATTATATCGTCCTTTTAAAATCCTTTTGTTTATCCTAAAACCTATGTTATTTCAAATATTTTAATTGATTCATTTTTTAACAAAAATGGAATGCTACAGTCGAGTGGGCTCAATTCTTAAATACCCTGTACCTTTTTAAAGTAATTGTCTAAACACTAACAGAATATACCTGCCAAATTTGAGTAAACAATCTCATAGAAGGTACTCACCCTAAGGGGTAGAGATGGAAGTGCATCAGAAAAAAAACACAGGCCTGTCCTTCCTTTGACTTTGAGAATCTGGACTAGGAGAATCTGTAAACAACGTTTTTTTATTCTATCATTATACTTTTTAAGATTCTTGTGTTCATACTGTAAGTAAAAGTAATATATCTTTTTAGCCTTTGGGTACCTAAATTCAGTTTATGTTAGACTTTAGAGAAGCTCCATAATTTATTTTAATCTGCAGTTGCGCCATAAATATTGTTTAACAATTGTAAGCAATTAACAATAAGCATTCGTATCCATAATCTTCATTGGCAGTTTACCATTGCAAATTTGTGAAAATCTAAGCTTCGACGAATTTTATCTTATAGCCTTCATTTAATGCATTAGCGTAGCAAGGCATATGTGATTATATGTAATTCTTTTAAACTTTAAAGCTTTAAACTATTAATCCGTGATTCGAAAGAGCGTCAAGCTTATGGGGACCCGAGGGGAGAAACGCACTTTGAAATAGATAGCGGATTGTGCACCCACGAATGCCCATCGGCGTCAGTAAGTTATGGTTGGTGAGAGGACGACGTCACCATCGCCCACCACCTATTACTGGTCCAGCTCAAAAGAAGAAACAAGAACTGCAAAGCTATCAGACACCCATGTAAGCCCCTTTAAGCTGACGACGACGTTGCTCAGAGAGTTCGTGGCCGTCTTCTTTCATTGCGCCATAAAAACAAACATTAACACGAGATGACTATGGAAGAACATATTATTTCCACAAAGAAATCAAACGCCAGCGCTTTTTCAAAGAAACGATAACTGCAGCACTGCAAGTCGTGGCAAAAAGGAAATAAATAAACATTGGAGTTATTTGTCAAGTTGTCACGGAACACGGCGTGCCACATGTTTTCAAATGTTTCCCCGCAGATATTCGCAGCTTGTTACCTAAAAATGTTGGCATTAAAGTTGGCAGAACTTAAGAGCGCACTCCAAATTTCTCCATGTCCCGTCACATTTTCAATGGAAATACCACGACGGTGTTTATTGCCATCTGCCAAATACCACTTGACAGTTCTCGGGCCATTAAAAAAGAAATAATTGTTACTTATTTGCCTGCCTCACGAATAGGCGGATCCCATCTCCTCTTGGGAAACGTATTGCCGCTCCAAACCTCGAAGTACAATATAAGAAGACTATACTATAGTTGATCTTTAGTCTTCATAATGTAAAAGAGATAAGTTGCTTATGCAAAAACTATGGTTTTTTATGTATGTTTTTATGTTGTTTTGTATGTTTGTTTTCTGGAATAAGAAAATGAGCAAAATGAGTATCAACCATGCGTGCAAAGTTTGCGGTTGTTAAGACGGCGTATTTGAGGCTACTCTGTCGCACTCTTGAAAAGTTTCTGCATCGATTATTAAGTCCAAAGACCAGAAAGTAGTCAGTCACACTAGTATGCAGATTCGGCTCCGAAGAAGGCGATGACCTTGAAGTCGGCTACCAAAATGTTGGCCTTCAACATTTAGTTTTGGGAATATTATTAGGTATTACTTTTAAAATCATTGCAACTCTCATCCAGATTGTTAGCTGCCTTCAACTTCACCTGACTCGCACTGGGTAATGCGCGATTTTGCAATGGACTAGAGCTGGTGCCGTGTCGTTGGTAAATATATTTACACACATACATTCATATTTATTCCAACGAAGTCAGACAAACCAACCCCTTCTATATACGAGTGCATACATACG